AAGATTAGCATAATTCTGTTGCATAAACTCTAACGACGTTAGAGGCTTCGTTAACTCTACCAATAGTCCCAATAGTACAGGCAAAATACTTCATTTTTTTTAGTGAACCTCAAACAAATTGCAACAGAATTTTTTCACCACAGTGCATTTCTATAAGGTCCCTAAAATGACATACTAAAAATCTTAAGAAATCCAGGTGGTGGAAATATGCCTAATTTGCATAAATCCAAAATGGCCGCATATTTTAGGGCTTTCGCACTGATTTGGTCATATTTCATATACTAGGTAGCTTTTTGAGGTATTTTAAACAACAATTGTATTCCTTTTACATTGATTTACTCATTATTCTAGACCTTGGTACCTTTCAATATCCTTAGTTTCCACAATTTGCGACATGCCGATAATAATTTGCGTAAATGCCATTTATTAATTTGCATAGATTAAAGTTAAAATCATGGCTGTCATGTGTGGACATGTCACAATTAAATTTCCCCTGATAATCTAAGTTCAGTCATGTACATAAATAAATTTCGGACCACGGTTCATTGCTATAAGGTTCCTTAAAAAAGGGAAGAAATCCAAATGGTGGAAATATGCCTAATTTGCATAATTTCAAAATTGCAACTAATTACATGATTTCTGATTTGGCCATAATTCTCGTCCTGAATTGCTTTTTGGGGACTTTGAACAACCATTTTTCCTTTTACATTGATTTCATCATCATTCCAGTCCTGGGTATCTTTTGAGATCATATGTTTCCTATGGGGTGTAATATTTTTTGTTAGGTTTCTAGCTCTTGTTAAAGTTGGTATAAGTGTTGGAAAATGTGATATCCCTTTGTTGCAGAGCTAACCCTTGCGCCGCTCTACTCAGACCAAAATTCAAGGAACAACTCAAGAGAACAGAGGATTCAACACAGGATTTAACAATCACAAAAATCAAATTACATGGAAAGAAACAGCCAAAAACCGCAAAACTCAATCCGAAAATACGTGGGCGAGGGTTTTATACCCCTCCCACATGGGTGCAAGCCCGGAATTGGTATGCAAAGGGAAGGAATTACGATTTGCAAAATTCACCTTATCATCCACCTCCGAAGTTACATAACACTTTACGGCCGTACACATTTAGTGAATAGCCTATTAAATCAACTCAGAAAATAAAAGGAATAATTTTAACAGTCTTGTGACACCCTGTGCATGAACTCATTTCAGGGACAAAAAAAATCCTACTTTAAATCCACCAGTACACTGCATAGGGATATCACATTTTGCAACATGTATGCCAACTTTGAGATGAGCCAAAACCAAACAAAAAATATTATACCTTATTTTTTGATATTTTGTAGAAAACAATGTTAGGATTTAATATTCATTCAAGCTTGTCTCAATGTCGGGTGATCCACTAGATCAAATTCAAGGTCAAAATAAAGGTCAGCATGTCATTATATTTAAAATTTCTCATGATGTAACCTTTCAAAGGAAATCAAGATTAACAAATTTGGCTCACAGATTATAGAGATATGGTCCATTTTGACCAAAATTGCCTGGGCGGTAGCGCGAAAACCGTTTGTTCGTTGAACCTAAAACTTCAAATTTTGGTTTTCCAGCCGAAATTTCCCCATAAGATAAATATGAACCAATCTAAAGAGGTTGGGGTTTAAAATTTAAAAGTTTTGGGGTGATTTGACACTGAATGACCCCAATGTCGAATGACAAAATGTTGTTTAAAGTACCCCGAAAAGCAACTTAGGACGAGAGTTATTAGATAGTATACTATGTCGTATTTTTGGCCATTGCATTTTTCTTTGCTAAAGAAGGAATTTTTCTCCTATTTGGATAGAGTTTACCTTCCTAAGCTGGAAATCCATTGGTAACATTTTTTCATCTACCATGCGGCGGCCTAATTTGTATCTAACTTCGGACCTGATTGTAATATGAAGTTTATTTTGATGGCGAACCCCATGTTTTTGATACAAGGAACCCGAGAAAATCATTGTTCATGGGGTATACTCCCAGTGGAGTACCCCATCAACAATGATTATATCTTGGGTTCCTTGGTATCAAGAACATGCAGTTTGCCACCAAAATGGACTTCATACGACATTCAGGTGCCACCTTATTATTTAAATGAAATCCAAGATGGCCGCTATTTTTGAATATCCAATATGGCTGCGACCCACTTGGGATGCCTAAATGTGCTAATTGGATTCCCTGGTATAAATTTTATAGGGTTTGCCACCAATAGTGACTTCATACGACATTCAAATCCAAATTTAATATGCAAATTAGTTCAAAATAGCGGCAATTATTAAATATCTAAGATGGCTGCCATCAATTGTGAGTACCCCGTCCACAGTGATTTACTTGAGTTCATTCAAAAACATGGACTTCATAGGACATTCAGGTGTAATGTTGTTATAAATGAAATCCAAGATGGCAGTTATTTTGAAAAATCCAAGATGGCTGCCATCTGTCTGGGATACATCATCAGCAATGGGTCATTAAGATTACTTGATATCAAATGCATGGGGTTTGCCACCGAAATTGACTTCGCACGACATTCGAGTCCGAACTTATTATGCAAAGAAGCCGAAAATGGCGGCCATTTTGAAATATCCAAAATGGCTGCCATCCATTTGGAGTACATCGTAAACAATAATGTACTCGGGTTCCTTTGTATCAAAAACATGGGGTTTGCAATCAAAATGAACTTTATGTGACAATTTCCACCCCTTGGATTTTTAACAATTTTTTAGGGACCTTAATATAGCAATGCACTGTAGTGTGAAATTTGACTTGGATTATCAGGAAAAATTCAATTGGTACATGTCCACACATGGCATCCTTTATTTTAACTTTAATTTAAGTCAGTCAAATTGATATACGAATTGATGTGGACTCCTAAAAATCCAGTGCACCTTACCGTTTCATTGGTTGAACGTTCACAATCTTCCCGTAGGCATGCGCAACACTACCAGCGAGTCAGAGTTTTATAGTTCTAAATTTAAAACGCAACGCCCCTGGGGCCAATTTCACGGCACTGCTAAGCACAAAAATTTGCTTAGCACAAAGAAAGTCCGGCTTATAAAAGCAGGTTACCAGCCAAAACTCCATGTGATATATATTGCTCGCAATTAGTATTCAGCTGTTGTTTGCTATAGCATGAAAATCACGAGGAGTTTTGGCTGGTAAACTACTTTTATAAGCCAGGCTGTTTTTGTGCTAAGCAATTTTTTTTGCTTAGCAGTGCCGTGAAATTGGGCCCAGGTGCGTTCTGCGCGACATCGCACAGAACGTGCCACGCACGCGTCAATCTCCATAAAAGGGTTGGTTACATCTTACTCGCCAGCTGAACACTCCATTATTTTGCTAGAGGGGTGTTTCAAAAAGCATGAAGTGAACTTGTTGAACAAAATCGGGATTTTTTGGAACGAATTATTTGATTTTTTTTATCGAAAAGGTATATATGAATGGGAATAAATATGTGCTCGGTCGGTATTTATCACTCTGTTTAAGACCGCTTAGAGTCTGGGTGCTGATAATTACCCTCGCCTCCGGCTCGGGTAATTATCAGCACCCAGACTCTAAGCGGTCTTAAACAGAGTGATAAAAACCTCCGGAGCACACATTTATTCCCTTATTATCGTACATTTGTACCATCAACCAAAAAAGATTCAATTCATGACCTTGATCTTGTACTACTGTAAATTGCGCCTACAAATAGGCCTATATTGTGAATAAACTATTTATGCGGGGGGGGGGGGGTTAAACTTTGATGCATGTACAGGGCGGTAGCGATGGCTGATTTTTGCTTTTTAAACTAGATCATAATACATGTACATGCACGTATTTGAATTAACAACCCCAAGTACACGATATAAATCCATTACTTGCATATTGCGGTATCGAAGCAGGCTACAGAAAGAAAGTCTCCTTTCCAGGGCGTACTATTGGAAACGAGGTTGAAAATAAAGTAAGCCCTTTGGGACAAGGTTGGGGGACACATTGTAGTCTGGTTCCCAGACCTGACAATTATTCCCGACGCTAGCGCTTATGTCTATATTGTAGGTCAGGCAGCCTCCGTGGCTAAAAATAAACATGACGACATTGACGGCCCTTTTTCAAAGCTTGGCTTCGTTCCGATTTCGCTGTAGCTTTGAATGTTCTGATCAAATTCTTAAATAAATCACTTGCTTCGTAAATATTATACAGTTATGATAATACAGTTTGATATTTCTGTAAGATAACACTTAATTGACTACTGTTGATCTGGTATCTTCAAAATTAGGCACCCAAATAGCACTGTTAGCAGGCCGAGTCGAATGAAGACCACGCCGAGTTTTGGAAAATGCCGGTAACGGTCGTCAAATTCAAAATAGTACATGACGCAGCAAAAAGTTCGCCCATACGATCCGAGTATACATGTACTTGATGCACAAAATGTTCGTTGAATTTCAAGTTTTCAAAAAAATGAAAGCAATGAATATTAATTATCAACTCATTTCAGAAAGTTTGTAATAAGCAATTAGCAGTAAATTAAACCCATATTATACTTTGAAATACTCGGGCGCATTCGGACTATCGACGAAATGAATTCGGCAAACTTCGGCAAACTTCAGAAAAAGTTGGAATTCCTCCCGTTTAGTCACGTGACGTAAATTGTAAAACAATGTATTACCGGAGGCTACCTGACCTAAGATTCATCAGGGATAGTCAGAATCGTTTGGTCTGGGAACCAGACTAGACACAATGTGGTCATCACTGGATCAGGGTGGCGTGCTAAAAAGAACTTAACCACATGTTTAATAATGGGATACACCGGTGAAGGGAATTCGGAAAAACCTAATATTGATTGACATCTGTCCTGTTAAGAGAGTTTATGTATGTAGCTAGAATGCTGTCTTACATCATATTATATCTTTGTGTAAATGCTCAGGTCATGTTTCTCTGCTAAGTATCTAGTGCAGGATTTTGCTCCTTTTGGGTATTTATTTATAGAAGCTGACATCATTCTTTTTGGGGGAGACATCATCACGATGGAGGACGGAGACCTGTCGAGGGACCGGGGTAAAGCACGCCCTCTAGAGGCGGTAGCGATCGCAGGGGAGACCATCCAGGCGGTCGGAACCCTGGACGAGGTTTTTTGTCACGCCGGGTCTAAAACCCAGACGGTCTACCTAAACCAACAGACCCTGATGCCTGGCTTCATTGAACCCCATACGCACCCGACCGTGGGCGCACAGATACGGGAGCAGTACATCACCATTGGTGCGGCCACTTTCAGGTATAACTTTGGGCCAATGAGTCATGAGCCAGGGCGCATGCTCACGCGCACGAAGTCGGTGACTTATTTGACCTCCGACTAGTGCAGGACAGATATCACATATCTAAAGGTGCACTCCATTCTGGATTTCAACATTTAGTGTTTCAGACTTTTTTAAAGGCTTGGTCGCTAGAAATTAGATCCACATATGCCTAAATTTCGATAAAATACTGATTATAACCTACATCTAACGCGGTGAGCGTCCCCCCCCCCTTGCCTGGGTTTTCCAGCAACGGGCGAATCACTTTCTTGAAAGCTCAAGTTGTAAATGGTTTTGTGTAGGCCTATTTGCTTTAGCTCCACTGTCGAGTCGCGATTGAGGTTTTATTATTAACTGAAATTAAATCTAACCATTAACACTAAACGCACATCGTCTACAATACGACAATAGTGTTTCGCACCAGTTGATCCGTTTGGTTGTTAACGCTCGCATTAATAAAGATGACCAATAATTATGAGGAATAAATTCTTGTAAATCATTTGTAATCCCCCGGCAATGAAAGCTCTTACGAGGAGATCCGCAGTGTGATGGTGAATAGGATCAACGAACTTGCCGCAACCCCCAACAGTAACGGCTGGGGAGCTTTCTTCGGCTGGGACCCAGAGCTCATCTCTGACCTACCGGCTCTGAACGCCGACGTGCTGGACGGATTTTCCGACACTATCCCGATCTTCGTGTGGGGCCAGAACGGTCACATAGCCTGGGTTAACCACGCTGCCCTAAGAGCGGCAAATGTAAGAAACACGACAAGTCGACCCTCTAGCACGTCTAGTAAAGTTGGTATCAGAGCGCACGAAATTATATTCTATATTTTTTTGATTCAGATCAGAATGGCCAATCACTAAAAATCTTTTCATGCATCTGTATGGTCTACACGATTGTCTGGTTGAAGCCAGTTCATAGGCGTCACAGGGTGATCCTGTGACGATAGCACCCCCGGCTTTATCCACCGGGGAGTCAGTCAGTCGGGGAGTCAGTCAGTCAGTCAGTAGCCGTGTATAATATGATGATCCACATGGTGCATTAACAGTAGAATATATTGTGAGCCGATCGAATGATTTTGTTTTCCTAGATCACCAACACTACCGAAAACCCTATTGGCGGGACCTTCGTGAAAGACCAAGACAACAACCCGACCGGTAAGCTTCTGGAGTTAGGCGCCATCGGGGCGGTGCAGCGTGTGATGCCACCCCTGGAGCCCCACGCCTTCGCCCGTAGCCTGGAGGATCTGTGGCGGATCTACGCCTCAGCCGGTTTCACAACGGTGGCGGACCTGCTCTACCGGCCCAATGCCGGCCTGGACGAGGCGCTGAGAAGGTCCACCGACGCCGAAAATTTTCCGCTTCGTCTTGGTACGTGCTCTTGTTTTGCCGTGGTTCTTGCAGAAGAAAAAAACTTTCTCTTTTCTCCTTTCCTCTCTCCGAAAAGGGATCAGTTCAAGCACTGCATATTCCAGTGCTTTAATACGCAAGAATTTATAGACATTGCTCACGAATAAACCTTCAGTTGACCAACTTAGATCGATCTTGCCACTGATTAAAAGTCTCCTCCCTTATTCCCTTTAGCTTTGTTTAGATTCAAGCAAGCGGTACGGGACGTCGACTGCACGGATTGCGCTGCCGGTGATGCGGGAGGCATAGGCGAGTACAGCTCCAGGTTGTGGGAGGCCGGTATCAAGCTGATCGCGGATGGCTCACCGCACAGCGGTACGTCAGCCATACGGGAGCCGTATCTGTACACTCCGCTGACCGAGACGCTGGGCTTCCCCGATCCGCCGGGCTACGGGATCCTGAACTTTGACACACGCACCCTCTTTGAGACCGTGAGGAGGTACCACCGGCAGGGGAAGAAGGTTTCGATTCACGCGCACGGGGAACGAGCTAACGACCAGGTCCTCAACGTGCACGAGCAAGTACGCAACTTCATACGCTGTGATCACACATACCTATAGAGTAGACCCTTTACACATATAACATCAGATGGCTTTTGTTTTTCTTGGATAGGTCATCGCTCGTTCGTCCATGTGCTCATGCTGAACTAAAATTTAAAAAAAAACCTCCGATAAGACGATTATCACGCATAAGGTCAATTAGTGAAGTCAATCACAAGTGAGGTCCGGAAGTGACACGCGGATGTGCAATGACGAAGGGATTACGTCAGCCGTTGAAACATCTATTCATTTACACCAGTTATCATCGGTTGCTATGTGCCGCCATTCAGCAATCCAAACTGTGGCAGCCATTTGATTTTTCCCATTCAAATCAATATAACCAAAACGAGGCTGGAAGGAAAAATAGTCTGATTCCTTTTTGCACAAAAACATTATCATTCAGTACTGCTATGATACAGGGAACATGACTGGAATGGTGGCAGCATGATAAAGTTATATTGAGTTTCAAGAACATATCGCCCGTTTATAGCCTTTACTTGACTAGTGACGTTTGATTTCTTGTGAATCGTGTTGGCTTGAGACGACTTGTGAGGATCAGTGACACACTGGCTTACTTTAAACATAAAACTTTGGGAGAGACAAGTGCATCATAACAGCAGCAATGAAACAAAATATCGTTAATACATTTTGAACCAACAGGTCCTTGCGGAGTTACCCAACCAGGACAACCGTCATCGCCTGGAGCATGTTGGCCTGATGACCGAGGAGCAGATCGAACGAGCCGGCAAGCTGAACGTGACTCTCTCCTTCTTCGTGGATCATCTTCGCTTCTACGCCAAGGTCTACAAGACCAACATCTTCGGTGACAGGGTCAACCGCTGGACTCCACTGTCCGTAGCAACCAAGAATAACATAACTTGGACCATTCACCAGGTAGGGCGAGAGGTTAAAACCAGTTTGGATAATCGCCGTATAATCACACACAAAAACACTATAATGGCAACGTACTAGGAACAAAAATAATAAAAACTGTTTGGCTAGAACAGTCATGGATGAAGGACAAGCGTCATGGAGCAGTCACTCTAGAGATATCTGGGGGTCCAATGAGTGTATGCCACCCACTGATTAAATACCCGGATCATGGGCGTCGCGGGGGGGGGGGGCAAGGGGGGCACTTGCCCCCCCCCTGGAAAAGCCCAAAAAAAAGGGGAAAAAAGGAAGAAAAAAGAAAAGAAAAAAAAAGAGGCGCAAAGACAAAGTGGTGTAAATTTAATGAGTTGGGGGGGGGGGGCCAAAATGTCCCTGCCCCCCTCTAAAACTGAGAAATCGAGAATGTGTTGAGAAATAGGCCTACAAGCATTTTTTGGCAAAATTTTTTTTGCCCCCCTCTAGAAAAAATCCTGGCGACGCCCATGACCCGGATTGATCTGTGCAATAGTACCTTTTCCTACTTTTCACGTCTGTGACCCACTGACCATGTACCGGGTTCGAATCCCGCCTAGTGTATTATATGGATATAATGATATTGTGGGTTTCACCAGTTTAATTTAACCTGACGAATTTCTCCCACTCGAAAAGTCAACATCGCTTAGTAATCTCTTGTAAACAGGTTGTTTTTTTTAGTCTTACGCAGTACGATTCTGCTTACAAATTTTTAGCGCTTCTTAATAGAGCAATCAAATCAACCCAATTTCTGCAGTGTAATACAAACCAGTGCTAAACCAGTGCCATAAGTTTTCAAAAATTTGCCCCTATTGTAAAGGTTTTAAACATGACAATATTTTTTTCTGAATGTACAAAACACAGGACCACCCCGCCTTTCCCGGAGATCCCTCCCCCTTCGCCAACATGAAGACGGCCATCACCCGCTGCACCAGGGACGACCCTACCACTCCCTACGGCCCAGAGTACCGCGTGTCTATCCACGAGGCTCTCAAGGCCTACACTGTCAACGCGGCTTGGCAGCTCCACCTGGAAGACAAGGTAGGAAGCATCCAGGTCGGCAAGAAGGCTGACCTGGTGGTGCTCTCCGAGAACCCGTACCGCGTGGACCCGTTTGACCTGGAGAGGATCCGGGTCGTTGAGACCTTCGTGGACGGGCGCCGTAACAAGCTCGCCCGGTTGAAGACTGTGAGGGGGATCGGGACCGACCTTCATGTCCTGGAGAGTCCTTAATTCAATTTTAATTTTTAAATGCGAATAAGAAACAATCAAAGAAAACAAACTCTATCAGACTAGACATAGAGATTGAAGATTTACTAAACTAACAACTTTATGTATTTTAAAATGAAAACACAAATTACACAATGAAGCTTTTTTTCCAGCAAAGTCATGAAATACACTGTCATGACGCAAATATTGATAAAGCGAAACAGTTCGTCCTGTTGAAGTCAGTTTTCTGCTTTCATTTAATTCAAATTACGACTTAGCTATTTAAAATACCAACGCGGTGTCTCTTGTTTAATTAAACAAATACCATGCATGAATACATCATTTAACGTAGCTATATTTCATATTGTTGATCATGGTGTAGCGTTTTCAGATTATCAATTCGTAATTATCACTTCGTCTTAATTTTTAGTTAATTATCTCACTATAATTATCAATGTTCCTTTTGAACTGTTTAATGATTAATTCTCCTGAGTGCATTGTTTTCCTTGTATACACATACACCCACACAGTGCCTTTGCAATGTGTAGTCCCTATACTTTTATACAGAGCAAATGACCTTCACTGCCCACACACAAGTCACTGGTCAGTTTCTTAGTACAACCAAGTTACTTTCAAGATCATTGTTTTAAGGAACTATATTACTCATTCCTAGTCATTTTCTGAGACTCAAGGAAACCACGATATGACTAAGTATCCCATTCTTAAGTATTTCTTATTCTCAAGACTTCCTGTTTCCACCAGTATATAAGTCCTGCTCCACTAGCAGTCCCTCATTCTGTTTCAACTCCATTTCTGTTTCGATTCCATTTCTATTCTACGTCAACCATTCGATAAAATCCAATCATGTAGTCAGTTTAATTCGTTCTGCTCATCCAGTCAGTTCTCACTTTAACCAGTTCAATCAATCAATGTGTATTAAGATATTGTTTTGGAATAAACGGTCACGGTTAACACAGTCCTCAACCAAAGAATTGTGTATCGACCTATCCATTCCCCAACAATGGTCACAGCGTCACTGTTTGTTGTCCATTATGTCGGTACAAAACCTGTTGATTTTGGTAAAGTTATCTCGTAATAAGATTTGCATTGTGAAAAAAAAAACTATGATCGATGCTTCCAAAATCTTATAGTAAACGTAAAAACTCAAAGCTATGCTGTAGAATTAGCGGTTTTTGTTTTGTTTTGCAAAACCCACTGCCTATTTATAACAAGTTACAATTACAGCAAAACAGATTGAGAAAGGGTAGATATTTTCTCAAACGGCGTGCATGGATGTTCGGGGAATCCCCCAGATAAGTAATACGTGTAATGATGAGTAAAAGTTAGAATGAAAACTATTGCCAGTCCGATGTTATTCATGATAAATACCAAATATTGTAGCCACGCAGTAGAGGGATGCATTCTGATATTGGTAAGTGACTGAGGAGTCCACCTCTACGTCCCAGATTCCTCGACTACAGACACGAATCGATTGTTGCTGAATTTCACCAATGTGCACCACAGTGATGAGTTTGTAACGCTCGATACCCAAGTCTTTGACTCTCTCCTGGATGTCGCCGGCTAACGCTTTGGCCTGCCTGCTGCACACCCTGGCATCGTAAGGCATCCTGGCTAATGTCTCGGGTATCATCTGTTCAAGGATGTCGCTGATGGTTCCTCGGAACTCGCCGAACTTCTGCTGCGGGTAGACTTGGTAGGACGGCTCCAGGAGGACGTCTTGGTGCGGGGACACACGCCTTCGTCTCGGCCGGTCGCTGTAGGTAATAAAGCGTCGTCATTGTCCTGGCACTACCTGTCGTACATTTTTAGAGGAAAACAATTGAAAAATTGGATTATTGTCGGCCAGATTTGAACGAAAATTACTCATCAATAGCGATCACGCATGCACACTAGTTCGAACTCTGTCAACCGCCGGCTCGGACCCTTCTGGCAAACTCGGTCCTGCCTCGACGCGGATGTTCTCATCATTACCAATTGCATAATCCAATAGAGACCGAGTTGTACTCAACGCCGAGTTGACTCGGAGCAAGGAGTTGACTCGGATGCGGCTCAAGGTTTGTGCCTCCCCACCCTTTGCAACCGTAGGTTTATATATATTTTAAATTCCCCTCTTGGTAAGTGCGAGTCGGTTAGCCCAGTCGGTAGAGTGTCATTCTCAGATCATCAATCTGGGGGTTGGTGGTTCGAGGAAAAACGACGGGCACATGCATTGCAGGGCGATACCATTGTCCAGTACGGATGCATAGCACTGCGTACCATGCACAGGCTCCTGCATTTTGCAGTCGACTGAGCAACCACCACTGTGCATGCGGTCGAATGAGAAACCCTTACTGTAGGGCGATACCATTGTCCAGTAGGGTTAAATATCTGTGCCAGTGGATGGTGACATGTACAAAGTGTGCGTTCACCCGGTGCGTGTGTGTTCAACTTGTGAAAACAACACCATTGAATCGTGTGTGTGTGTGTTGCTTTTATGAGCAGTTCTCTGCCCCTCAGAACAGGCACAGTTTCGACGGGCCCTGCACTAGTTATAATGCTATAATAGGGCGACTTTCCTAAAATGTCACCTAACCCAAGTTTACCTTATCCTGCCTCCACGTATTTCGGTAAAAGTATGTTCAGGGGCGGATCCAGGAACTAAGTTTTCGCAGGGGGGGGGGAGGCATAAGAAAATTATGCTAAAGGCATAAGACAATTTTTTGAACATTGTTTTCGAGGTTGGAGTCATTAAATCAGCTACCAGAATTCTGAGCTATAGGCGTGGGGCCCCAAAAAATTTGGATTCTAAATGCTCTGTGGTGCTATCTGAGGCAATTTCTCACCACTTAAACCAATATTTTCTAAGCAAAAGATACATTGTAGTACATAATATAGGGCCCTGTAAATGAGACACGAGTTCAAAAATCTGGGGGGGGGGGGGACATTTGATATTGTGTCCCCCACCCTTCAAAAAGTGGGGGGGGGGGGGGACCAGTCCCCCTGTCCCCCAGGATTGACGCCCATGGTGTCATGTAGATCAATGATAATTTTTTTAGAAACTCAAAATCTCAGTGGGGGGGGGGGGGGGGGGCGACTGGGGGGCGACAAGGTTTCATGGAGCACACGATTTCAACTTTTCAATTATTTAGTCTGTAGTCTGTAATAATTCTCGTAAATCTCGCATACGCTTTTGGGCCATGCGTGCTTGACGTCGGGACAAGAAACTGAGGTCAAAAAACAGGGCTGTGTGCGTGACACGGTAACTGACTGCAGGCTAAATCCGCCAGCCGCGGTGCTAAATGCCACTATCAACAAGATTAATCAAAGTCAAAGAATGACAAACAAATTGATTTGTGTATTACGGAAACGTATTTAGGACATGATCGAAAATATTTTTTAGGCCCACTACTTCGCCCGGGCGGATTACTATTTCGCCCGGGCGGATTACTATTTCGCCCGGGCGGATTAGCATTTCGCCCGGGCGGATTACTACTTCGCCCGGGCAGACTACTAATTCGCCCGTGCAGACTACTAATTCGCCCGGGCAGATTATTCTCCCGGCCGGGCAGACTACTAATTCGCCCGGGCGAATTAGTAATCCGTCCGGGCGGAATAGTAATTCGCACGGACGAATTAGTAATCCGCCCGGGCGAAATAGTAATTCGCCCGGGCGAAATAAAGGGCCGGAAATTGTGTGTGTGGCCATGTCCTAAATACACTTCCGTAGTTAATTGTATATCGAAACAATAACATGCAAGTGGAAACTTCGTTGGGGGAGAATCGAATTTGTCGACGGACACGAACAGTTCCTTTTTAAGGGGATGGTTGTTGCCAGGGGTATAAAGCAACAAGTGGGTAGAGGAAAGGCTGTCACTGAGTGAGCAACATCCATTGAATGGGTGCTCTGTGTCTCGAACTCTTCGTGTCTGCCTGACGTAAGAGTGCATTATAGGCGCATATTATTCGGGGATCATTCTTTCGAACTGTCGTCGAAGTCATGGCGAGACGTGGACCCGCGTTACTTCTGCAACTCTGGTGTGTCGTCGTGCTGTCGTTGAGCATGGTACTCTCCCGAAGTAAGTACCGTACGTATAGACCTACAGACCCAACACAAAACTCTCCAAATTATGGTCACCATATTCTCAAATTTATTCTCGACGTTTCTAGTTCTGATATATTTCTCCTCTGTCCTATTCCTTGCACTAGTCGCAGGCCACTATATTTAGATCCACATTCATAAATACCTCAGACAGTTTAGCTATTCCTATTGGTCGAGAGCCCGTCACGTGGCCAGTCTTAAACGGATGATAAAGACATGGCTAGCTGGTCTTAAACATTGATCTCCATATTAGACTGGATAGGACATCGCGCAGTGTTTGTGCACGAATGCGCGGCCGAACAATGGCGGCGCGTTTACTGCATGTCAGACGGGTAAACGCGCATTATGCTTTCACTTTGTTTACTTTGGAAAATGGATTATCGAGTGAAATTTTTCTTACAGGAGGAAGTTCAAGCACTCCTCCAAAACAAATCTTTAAAAAAAATAACTGAACGATGAAGAGTTACCCTCAATCCCTCCAAACAGCTTTTCCACACTTTCTTGATATACACTTTCTTATTATGCATTTTCGAAATTCAAGAACCCCCCATTTCCTTTTCCCTTTTTTTTTTTTTTTAAATCCCTCCTCCTCCCAAAAATGATTGTAAGTAAATTGCCATTTCATTTTTGGCACATTGGTCATTACAGCACACTGACATCAATGAAATGAATAGTTGTATTAATAATATGCTGAAATGACATCATATTTTTTTAACTGAACACTCACACGAGAAGTTTTATGGAGATTCATTCAAATGATTGATATATTTATTAAAAACCCGAACATAAACCAATTAGAATCTAAAAGGTAAAAAAACCCTTAATTTTACAAAGTAATCAGTAAAAACTTCTTCCCGTCCCTAGATTGATCAGGGAATGACATCGTTCACCTCTTGTGATATTGTGTGAAAGGAGATGAATCACAAACCAAAATAGTAGGCTACTATACTAGTTTTGTCAAAGAATAATTCAAGCTACGCACGGTCTTGTTTATAATTAAATGTTTAGCTATACTTCTGAAAATAAATATAATTACTTGTAAGTGTAATGAGAATCGTTTTGTGTGAGTGAATTTGACGGTGTATTAATGGCTAGTAATTGTACATAACGGCGTACACAATATAATTTCAAATCGTAAAAGCACTCATTGCTTTCTTCACCATACAAACTGTCAATAATGTGACAGTCATCTTGGGAGCTCATAAAAAATACTTGCCTTGAACTCCACAGCTTTTTTCCACAAAAAAAATCAATCAATGTTAACAGAACCTCCGGCTCGGGTAATTATCAGCACCCAGACTCTAAGCAGTCTTAAACAGAGTGATAAAAACCTCCGGAGCACACATTTATTCCCTTATTATCGTACATTTGTACCATCAACCACGAAAAGATTCAATTCATGACCTTGATCTTGAACTACTGTAAATTGCGCCAACAAATAGGCCTATATTGTGATGATTAAGCTATTTATGCGGGGGGGGGGGTAAACTTTGATGCATGTACAGGGCAGTAGCGATGGCTGATTTTTGCTTTAAACTAGTTCATAATACATGTACATGCACGTATTTGAAATAACAACCCCAAGTACACGATATAAATCCATTACTTGCCAATTGCGGTATCGAAGCAGGCTACATACAGAAACAAAGTTTCCTATCCAGGGCGTACTATTGGAAACGAGGTTGAAAATAAAGTAAGCCCTTGGGGACAAGGTTGGGGGTTCGCTCGTACCCCCGCCCTGCAAACAGGACGCTGGGATACTCTGATGAATTCACGCTCTGATTGGTTGGATTTTGCGTGACCAGTGACCTGCGCGTCATCACGGTCATGACTCTGCAAGGTTTGAAACGGCCGTTAAGACTGATTCATTACTCTTTCATTCCAGTTTAGAGATGTTTTTTTTCTCCTTGAAAAGAGTACTAATGTAGGAAAGTATGTAAAACTTATCTGTGTTGTAAATTTACAATTCCCGTCACTTGCTCAGGCTCCGTTTTGACTCACGAACGGTCGGATTGCATTATGCGACCCTCACAATTTTGTCCACATGGTTCGCATTGAAACAGAAATCGCATCCGGTGTAGCGTGAATTTACGTTTCTATGAAATTCAGACTCATTGGTAATAACGCGCATGCGTAAGTATGGTAATTAGGAAAGTGATCGGTCACGTGAGAGGGATTAACCAATAATGGGGAAAAGGGGTCCGATTTTCATAGGAGTCGGATTTTCATGTGACACCGGTATGGAATGTGCGCAATTCTATAGGAAGTTTTCGGATAGCATTTGCGCACATTATCTAACTGCGGTCTTGAACAGCTGCAGCCAGATGCTTTATACATAGGTCATAGACCACTTCCTTCACAAGATTCTGTGAAGCTCATCAGAGTATCCCAGCGTCCTGTTTGCAGGGCGGGGCTACGAGCGAAGGTTGGGGGACACAATGTAGTCTGGTTCCCAGACCTGACAATTATTCCCGACGCTAGCGCTCACGTCTAAGTTGTAGGTCAGACAGCCTCCGTGGCTAAAAATAAACATGACGACATTGACGGCCCTTTTTCAAAGCTTGGCTTCGTTTCCGATTTCGCTGTATCACATATAGCTTCGAATGTTCTGATCAAATTCTTAAATAAATCACTTGCTTCGTAATATTATACAGTTATGATAATACAGTTTGATATTTCTGTAATATAACACTTAATTGACTACTGTTGATCTGGAATCTTCAAAATTAGGCACCCAAATAGCACTGTTAGCAGGCCGAGTCGAATGAAGACCACGCCGAGTTTTGGAAAATGCCGGTAACGGTCGTCAAATTCAAAATAGTACATGACGCAGCAAAAATTAGGATTTTGCTCCTTTTGGGTATTTATTTATAGAAGCTGACATCATTCTTTTTGGGGGAGACATCATCACGATGGAGGACGGAGACCTGTCGAGGGACCAGGGTAAAGCACGCCCTCTAGAGGCGGTAGCGATCGCAGGGGAGACCATCCAGGCGGTCGGAACCCTGGACGAGGTTTTTCGTCACGCTGGGCCTAAAACCCAGACGGTCTACCTAAGCCAACAGACCCTGATGCCTGGCTTTATTGAACCCCATACACACCCGATCTGGGGCGCCCGAATGCTGAAACAGTACACCAGCATTGGTTTGGCCAATTTCAGGTAACTTGGGGTCAATGGGTCATGGGTCAAGGCGCATGACATTGACCTCCGACTGCAGAACAGACATCAATTAGGTATACTTTATTATGAATGTCGACCAAATTAAGTGTTTCACATTTTTGTTTTAAAGCACTGGTCTCATACACGATAAAATCCTGACTAGGGGTGGATTTACCTTTCAGGAAACGGGGGGGGGGGGTGATATGAAGGTTGGTGGGGGTTGAATCGCAATTTGCCGAAGGCGATACTTTCTTCTACATTCTAAGGCAAGTTGAGAATAAATTGAAGAACTTTAGGCTTTAGCACTCGATTTATTATTTTGGTCCCATTAGAGTCATGGCATTAGTCAGCGGCTGAAGCATTAAATCCAAACACGACAATGATGATGTTTCTTACGAGTTGGTCCATTGATCGTTAACAAAGCTTGCATGAATAAAGATGAGCAATATGAAGAATAAACTCATCTAATACATTTACCCCCCTCCCCCCCCCCCGCTTGCAATTGATAGCTCTTACGAGGAGATCCGCAGTGTGATGGTGAATAGGATCAACGAACTTGCCGCAACCCCCAACAGTAACGGCTGGGGAGCTTTCTTCGGCTGGGACCCAGAGCTCATCTCTGACCTACCGGCTCTGAACGCCGACGTGCTGGACGGATTTTCCGACACTATCCCGATCTTCGTGCAGGGCCGGACCGGTCACATAGCCTGGGCTAACCACGCTGCCCTGAGAGCGGCAAACGTAAGAAACACAAGTCGACCCTCTGTAGTAAAGTTGGTACCACTGGGCACCAATTCATAGTCTATTTTTGTTTTATTCAGGATGGTTTTTCACTAAAAGTCTTTTCAGCATCTGGTGTATACAATACGGGCGATTCACAATTGTGCGCCTCCAAGAGTTTGCAACGCGTTGGCCAATGCGCGAAATCAGTCGACCTTTTCCACACGCGCATTGGGTCGACCGATTTCGCGCATTGTGATTGGCCAACGCGTTGCAAACTCTTGGAGGCGCATTATTGTGAAACGACCGTATTGGCTGGTTGCAGCCCATTCATTGGCGTCACAGGGTAATCCTATACGATAGCACCCCGACTATGTTCACTCTACAGCAAGTCGCAAGTGACAGTCGGTCGGTCGGTCGGTTGGTCGGTCGGTCGGTCGGTCGGTCGGTTGGTCGGTCGGTTGGCAGTTAGTCAGTCAGTTTGATAGGTGCAAAAACTGAGGACGCTAGGCTGGCCCTCTACGGACCAGCCAAAATTCCAGTGATATATTTGAGAGTTGTTCTATAGGCACACAAAACAGCCGCTTAGGTTCGGGTTGGCGCTGAGCCGAACGAATGATTTGTTTTCCTGTAGATCACCAAAACTACCGAAAGCCCTCCTGGCGGGAAGATCGAGAAGGACCGCGACAACAACCCGACCGGTAAGCTTCTGGGGTCACCGGCCATCGAGGCGGTGCATAATCAGATGCCGCCCCTGGAGCCTCACACCTTCGCCCGTGGCCTGGAGGACCAGTGGCGGTCCTACGCATCAGCCGGTTTCACTACGGTGACGGAACTGTATCACCAGCCCGATCCCGGCCTGGACGAGGTGCTGAGAAGGTCCACCGACGCCGACGATTTTCCGCTTCGTCTTGGTACGTGTTCTGGTTTTGCCGTGGTTCTTGAAGAAGAAAAAAAATCTATTTTCTCCTTTTCTCTCTCTGAAAAGGGATCAAGTTCTCATAAAATTATGGCTGCTATAGAGTCGTCTCATAAAATCACAGTTGCTTTTTTAAAACCCCTTCTTATTAACTTCTAGTGTTAAACCCGTCTAGATTATTTTAGTGTTATTTTAGTTATATTTACTGCTTGAATCGGAAATAACGCAAAAGGAAACTGTCTCGTGGCTTTTAAATACACCCGTCAGTGAGGAAATGCTGGAAAGGAGGATTAAAGGCATTTGCTATTCAAGCGTTTAATGATTCCAATAATAAAACACTACTCAAAATCCAAAAACGAATGTTCAAAACCTAACATGTTGAAGTTTCAGTTCAGTGGATATTACAATTTTTGAGAAAACAGTGGGAAAAAAAACCCCATGCACATCAACCTCTTGATCGATTTCGTCCACAGCACAGCCACTCTGTATTTAAAAAATCGTTGGAAATCACTCTCGATTTCTTCTAAATGACAGCAAGCCAGATGGATTGATTTCATGGAGTGGTTAGTGCCAGTTCGATCTTTAATCACATGCAGTTTGATAGGAAAAAAAATCGGTAGGTTATAGATTATAGACATTACGGATGAAATTAGTTCGTCTAACCGCCATTGGAACTTATTCATCGTTGAAATCTATGTGTAGACCATTCTACTCGTTGTTATGAGCCTATACTAACGAACATCATTTTGTTGTTAGTATTATACCCGTACGTATCGCAGAGAGCATGGGAGGTGTTTTAGGTTTCGAGATAACCGTAGCTCGACTTGAGATCGTTCGAACTAATTCCACACTGGAACAAGCTGCGGTGTTATTTTAACACCGGTGTTATCTAGGCTGTATAGGACCATTTGGGTCAAATATTTACACCGATAGTCCTATAGGGGCCCTTTAGATACCACCTGTGTTAAATTTAACACTGCTGTTACAGTGCAGTGCTATACGCACGAATTTATAGACATTGCTCACGATTCAACCTTTAGTTGACCAACTTAGATCGATCTTGCCCCTGGCGTATCCAAAGTCTCCCTCCTTGTACCCCTTAGCTTTGTATAAATATGTGCAAGCGGTACGGGACGTCGACTGCACGGATTGCGCTGACGGTGATGCGGGAGGCATAGGCGAGTACAGCTCCAGGCTGTGGGAGACCGGTATCAAGCTGATCGCGGATGGCTCCCCGCACAGCGGTACGGCAGCCATACGAGAGCCGTATCTGTACACTCCGCTGACCGAGACGCTGGGCTTTCCAGATCCGCCGGGCTACGGGATCTTGAACCTGGAGACGCGCGCCCTCTTTGAGACCGTGAGGAGGTACCACCGTCAGGGGAAGAAGGTTTCGATTCACGCGCACGGGGAACGAGCTAACGACCAGGTCCTCAACGTGCACGAGCAAGTACGCATCTCTGGTCTTACACGGTCCAGCATACCTAACAGTAACATGATTTTTGAAACAAACACATCAACTTTATTTCAAAACTTATACCACAATCCGAGACGATATATGGCTAATAATACCTGGCACTGTCCGGAACGCTATGTTGTACCATACTGCGATGCAACACTTCTTAGGCGTGAGATTTAGTAAGTGTTGAGCTAACCTCATTTCACGAATTTCTTTTAAACTTTTGGGGAGGTTCTTGGGAAAAGTTTAGACTTGAGTCATTCCACATTCCTTGTGGGTTAGGCCTCAATTGACATTTCAGTCAGTCAGCGTAAATACGGGATCAAGAAAAGTAAAAAAATCTTGGATGGCTACCTTGGTAATCAATCGAGTCGTAGTCAAGTCTATCACAACTCATTTACAAATAACAGGGGATGATCAACCATGACTCTGTCACAGTTTCGTTGAAAAGCTTGACACGATTTGCGAATAGATAACTTGCCCATTGGCTTTTGAATCATGATGACTCGTGATTGACTTGGCAGGGCTTCATACAAAAGTTACTCTTGCCTTTATATCAAAATCTATCTTAATCACGTCGCTTTTATTAAGCGTTGCTTTTAATGTGAACCACTAGGTCCTTTCCGAGTTGCCCTACCAAGACAACCGTCATCGCATAGATCATCTTGGTCTGATCACCGAGGAGCAGATCGAACGAGCCGGCAAGCTGAACGTGACTCTCTCCTTCTTCATAGATCATCTTCGCTTCTACGCCAAGGTCTACAAGACCAACATCTTCGGTGACAGGGTCAACCGCTGGACTCCACTGTCCTTGGCAACCAAGAATAACATAACTTGGACCATTCACCAGGTAGGGCAGGAGATTGAAACCAGTTCGGACACACAATCGCCGTACAATCACAAAGACCCTACCCCCACTAATGACGAAGCGTTACGTCAAAGTAGTCAGCTTTAGAATAACCGTAGATGAAGAACAAATGTCATGGAGCAGTCGCTGTGGCAAGAGCTGGGACATGCTTTATGTGGTAACTAGAGGTTCCATAGGTTCCATGGTAACTAGTATGTCACACACTGATTCGATTCAAGGGCGGATCTAGAATACAATTTATTTGGGGGCCGGGGGGGGGCAAAAAATATTGGCCCCCAAAAATGTGTCCAAACAAATTACGGCGAGGGGATTTTTGGATTCTAAATGCTCTGTGGTGCGATCTGAGGCAATTTCTGACCACTTTAACCAATTTGTTTTTTAGGGAAAGATGGTGGTGTACTCATTGCCTGCCTTTATTGCGAAGCCAGTAAAAAACAAATGGTTCTTTTTTGGGGGGGGGGCATGGCCCCCTTTGGCCCCCCTGGATCCGCCCTTGATTCAATTCCCGAAATTGGTTTGTGACAGTTGCACCTTTTCCCACTTTCCAAGTATGTGACCAGGTTCGAATCTCGCCCGTGATCTCGTGGGTTTTCACCATTTTAATTTAACCTGACGATATCCCCTACTCGAAAAGTCAACATCGCTAATTGTAATATTAACAGGTTTCTTTCGGGCCACGCAGTACGATTCGAATTCAGTACGATTCAGTAAATTTTCCAATAGAGTAATTAATCAACTCAGTTTCTGCAGTGAATAAACAAACCAGTGCAACCACTTTTCAAAAACTACCCTCGATGTTTTAAACCGTTAAGGTTCTTTTTTCTAAATGTGTAAAAACAGGACATCCCCGCCTCTCCTGGAGACCCCACCCCCTTCGCCAACATGAAGACGGCCATCACCCGTTGCACCAGGGACGACCCTACCACTCCCTACGGCCCAGAGTACCGCGTGTCCATCCACGAGGCTCTCAAGTCCTACACCGTCAACGCGGCTTGGCAGCTCCACCTGGAAGACAAGGTAGGAAGCATCCAGGTCGGCAAGAAGGCAGACCTGGTGGTGCTCTCCGAGAACCCGTACCGCGTGGACCCGTTTGACCTGGAGCGGATCCGGATCGTCGAGACCTTCGTGGACGGGCGCCGTAACAAGCTCGCCCGGTTGAAGACTGTGAAGGGGACCGACCTTCATGTCCTGGATAGTCCCTAATCCAATATTAATTTTAAATGCGAATAAGAAACACTCAAACAAAACAAAAGCTACCAGACTAGACGTAGAGATTGAAGATTTACTAAACTAACAGCTTTATGTATTTTAAAATGAGAACACAAATTACAACATAAAGCTACTTAGCAAAGGAATACACTAATATGACGCAGATATCGATAAAGCAAACGGTTCTTCCTGTTGAAGTCAGTTCTCTGCATGCTTTCATCAAAGTCAAATTGAGACAGCTATTTAAAATAGCAACGCGGTGTCTCTTGTTTAATTAAACAAATACCATGCATAAACACATCATTTAACGTACCTATCTCACATTGTTTATCATAGCCACAGCGTCACTGTTTGTTGTCCATTAATGTCGGTACAAAACCTGTTGATTTTGGTAAAGTTATCTCGTAATAAGATTTGCATTGTGAAAAAAACTATAATCAATGCTTCCAAAATCTTATAGTAAACGTTAAAGCTCAAAGCTATGTTGTAGAATTAGCCGTGTTTTTTTTTTTTTTTTTTTGCAAAACCCATTGCCTGTTAAATTTTATAAAAAGTTACAATTACAGCAAAACAGATTGAGAAAGGGTAGATATTTTCTCATACGGCGTGCATGGATGTTCGGGGAATCCCCCAGATAAGTAATACATGTAATGATGAATAAAAGTTAAAATGAAAACTATTGTCCAGTCCGATGTTATTCATGATAAATACCAAATACTGTAGCCACGCAGTAGAGGGATGCATTCTGATATTGGTAAGTGACTGAGGAGTCCACCTCCACGTCCCAGATTCCCCGACTACAGACACGAATCGATTGTTGCTGAATTTCACCAATGTGCACCACAGTGATGAGTTTGTAGCGCTCGATACCCAAGTCTTTGACTCTCTCCTGGATGTCGCCAGCTAACGCTTTGGCCTGCCTGCTGCACACCCTGGCGTCGTAAGGCATCCTGGCTAATGTCTCGGGTATCATCTGTTCAAGGATGCCGCTGATGGTTCCTCGGAACTCCCCGAACTTCTGCTGCGGGTAGACTTGGTAGGACGGCTCCAGGAGGACGTCTTGGTGCGGGGACAGATGCCTTCGTCTCGGCCGGTCGCTGTAGGTGATGAAGCTCCGACCGCGTCGCTCGGCCATGCGCTGGGTGGTGCGCAGCTTGAGGTTGCGGGCCAGGCGCTTGGTGACCAAGAGCTGTCTGAAGCCCACCACCGACGAGGATGCCGCAGGCGGTCTGTAGAGCACGCTGGGCGGCTGACCGGTGTAGCCGCTGAACCGATCCGAGACACTGGACGTCTTGCGGCTCAGCGTGCCGGGACCTCGTGTCTTAGAACTCACGGAGACTTTTCTGCCGCTGGAGCTACTCGAAGCTACCGAAACTTTCCTGGAAGCTGCCACGGACGTCTTCCTGTCCGCCTGGGAGTTCCTCAAGGCAGAGCTGGAGGGCTTACGGACCAACTCGCCCGGCGTCTTACGTGCGGGGCTCTTCTGTCTCGTAACATTCACTTTAGTTGGTTTGCTGGACGCCATCTCTCCTCGATTCAAATCAACTCTTTCAAAACTCTCGAGTCCCTGGCAACTTTGGTTTGCTTCAAGCAACGGTGCGCCGATTAATGAGTGAGCTTGGCCGAGCAGGCAGCAAGAATATGTTGTATTGGTCCGTATACGTTTAGTTGATTATCAGTGATGTTTATGTGCGCTATGCGCTTACTACCACAGAAAGCAAAGGCACAGGTGGATAGTTTACATTTAACGGATCAAGTGTACAAGTCCGACCGCAAGTGGTATCAACTGTGGCGAAGATCGTATTCCAGTTGAGATCAACACAGTATCCAGCACAGGCCAAAATCAAGTCCGCTAAGATGGAGAAGAATGGACCGGATCGCTTACAATTTCCCGTGGAGAGGCAGCTGTGTGTTGTTTTCAGTCTGGCACTGAATCGCCGATCATTTCGGTATCGGAATTTTCTTGAGAGCTGTATAGCAGCGTCATCTGTGCCGGACGACAGGCGAATGCGCGCGTAACCCAACCCTGTACCAAGGCCTCTTAAATCTGCTCGACTGTTCACACGACACCATGTACTTGCAGGATTAAGGCTCCCTCAGCTTCAATAGGTAGCGGTCTGGAGTGTTTGTTTTCGGAATTCGGTTGCCAGGGCCTCATTTGAATACTTTGTTGATGAGGTGTTGGATGGAACACCTTGAACCAGCCGGCCTTTGTCTATGAAGTGCCGTGTGGTGTTTGGAAATTGTACTAATAAGCCTGTACAAATCCTATTGCAAACACATAGTTGTATAAACGCTGGTCCCTCGCATTCACGATAGCTGTATTTCGTGTATAATTGCTCTATTCGATGCATATTTTATAAAATAACCCTTTTCTTTAATTTGGACTTGGTTGAGTGAAGACAGTGATGGCATAACTAGGCTATTCTTAGGGGCACCTGGGGTGCACACATTTTTGAAAAGGGCACCTTACGGCAAGTGATATAATTATATACTTTTGTTCAATTCAAGATTTCAAAATGGGGGGGGGGGGGGGGGGGGGCACCCGGGGATACGGTCATCCGTTTTTTTTTGGGGGGGGGGGGCACACGTATACCCACGTGCCCCCGGTATTTACACCACCTAGCAACCAGCCTTTTGGAGGGATCTGTTCAAAATGACAATTTTCCAGCAGGATGCAGACGTGCCCGTAAACTCGAAGAGCATCGTCGTTACTAATTAAATATATAGGCCAACTTAACAACACATTAGTAGTCAGGCAGAATTGTTCATTTGATGATACAAGCATGACATTTGGCACACAGTCAGAGTATGTCATGGAAAAGACATTTGGCTATAGGGCCATCGCGGACATTTTGTTCTTCGAAAAAAATATTATAGAACAACATGCCATGACCGCCATTTTGAAAATGTTGAAAACTTCTCGTTATCCAATTGTATATTTTTTCAAAGGAAATATCTGTGATGGCCTTATACTTATAGCCAAATATATTTCCCATACGACATACTCTGACTGACATGTGTGCCAAATTTCATGCCTTTAGCATCAAACTGCACAATCTCGTCACCAATCTGCTGTATACTATAGGAAAAAAGAGACGAATATTTTGAAGAGCATAGACAGTACATCTTTAAGTTTACAACAGTATGCCTACCGCATGGTGTTGTTCGTGTTACTTCGGTTATTGGATTCAAAACGTACACATGATTCTAAATAAAGATTATACAAATAAAGAAAAATAAAGAAAACATAAGTTTAAATTTGACATTGTTCAAAACGATGAATTTGACCTGCCCACGGTCTCTGCGTGCTAATCCATCAAGTTCTTCAACCGCACAGCCACTATTCTACAGAAATCAAAGGAGCATTTAAAACGCTCGCGCTTTATTTGGTATCTCACACGATACAAACATACAGTACTGCAAACATTCTATAATTAAGTAGACATTGTAATCGCAGGCGGGGCACATTAATATCATGTTTGTATACTCGTATTCATTCAACCAGCATCATGTCAACAATGGTATTAACTCGCGGGTCGACCCATGCAACACAGCGACCTTTGTACTGCAAACAAAACGTGAAATCCAGCCTCGTGTTCGTTGATGAGCGCCGCGACCTAAATAATCGCGGACGAACGGCTAAAAAAAAATGGCCGCGCACTACAGTATTGAGTCTACATCTTCGTCGTTTTCAAGCTCTGTCCTTGCTCCGTGCTTTGGGTGGCAGCGAATACACAGTGAGTATACATCCACCGTTTATCGGTTATTCTTGATTAACGCCTCCCCGATAGAATTACGCAGAACAGCAAACCTCAGACCAAACACCTTTTGCTATCAATGACTGATTCACATGATTTCGTACTAAACCCATGGTTTTCTTTCTCAATAAGGTCTTGTTTTGGGTAATACATCCATGGTTCTTTTTCAATAAAGGTCTTCTTTTTTTTTTAAATTGATGAGAAGCAATACCAGACCATATCACACTTTTGATTTCTGGAATCTCTTCGACTTGTCCCAACTAAGTCTAGAAGAAGAATAAGTGGTTTTCTTGGAATGGTCTGGAAACATTGGAGAAATCATTCTTTGAAAGTGCTAATTGATTGGTGTCACTCTCTACACTTTCAGGTATGATCTAGATTTAACATGAAGTTTCCAGGCAGACACTGGAGTGAACTGGCATTAACGGCCATCGTTATTGGGTTAATCCTCTTGCCTCTTGTGTTCATTGTGCACGAATTGGTCGTGACTGTGGACGAGACACAGCCCCGCGACTCAGGGTACGACAGGGTAGGGGTTATCCCCGTCTTGCGCCGGCAGGGACACGGGCCGGACTGGCGTAGGGCGCTGCTCAAACAACTCAACTCGGACCTGCTCGATGAACTCACAGGCAGTCGTCGAGGATGGCGTCATGATCAACAAGACGATCCTGAGTCCCTCTCCTGCCACGACATTGACACCATCGACAAGAAAGAACGTCTGGGGAGGGGCGTGACCAAGGACGTGTACCGTGGGGTGTACCGGGGGCGCTCTGTCGCCTTAAAGATGGTCACTGAGAAAGTGGAGGACATCACGGCGTGCCGGCGACGCAACAAGTACAAGAGCACGTCGGAGTGCTACGTCTACGCGCACTACAAACTCATGAAAGAGATGGCGCTAGCGATGCAGCTGGACCACCCGAATATTGTGAAGGTAGACAATGAATCGTAGACCACAAGTTAATATTAGAACTGCCACCAACAGCGACGGCAACGACAATTAACTTGGTGACATATTCCACGACAATGACAACAATCATCAACACTCGTTATACACGTATTATAATACATGCCCGTTCAACTCCGTAAATTCGGACATACTGACATGTCAGACACTGTAATGAGATGCTATTGGAAAAGTGAATGTGATACATCACTAATAATGTGACATCTATGAGTAGAAACAATAACTACAGACCAAATTATAACGTACCGCCACCTTAACGACTTTGTACATGTACATCATGTGGTCGGATGTACGTTGTGGGGCGGAATTGCCCTGTTTCAAAAATAAGTTACATAATTATAATTATTTTTTTTAGACGCAGTGTTTTCTTGGGTTGTGAGGTGGAACAAAAGAATGCATATTATATAATTATGATTATGGTACAAAGGGAAGCAGGTGTATCCTCCATGGAAAAAAACAAACAAACGTATTTTGGAGGGGAGGAGATAGAGAAAAATGTAAAAATTGTAAGAAACTAATGAAGTTATTGTGTTGATGTTGACTTTAAGTGTTGATGTTCCTGACGCTAGCGTGAGTGTTTTGTTTTGTTTTGGCCTAGGGTCTGGGTATATGCATCCGGAGCAATGGCACTACCATGGGAAGTCATGGCATAATATCGGTGTACGAGATTGGAGACAGGATCGCAGGGAGCATGTTGAGACGGCTACCGTGGGATCAACGTCTGGATGTAAGTAAGGCACTCAGAAAAGCATACAGTGTTGCCTGTCCCACACTGGAAACTACCGAATGTCTATAGACAGTGGCCCAAACTCGCGAACTCAAAGCAAAATCGGCAAGAATCAGTCATCAGGGGAGCAGGAGATGCAACTTGCCCCCCCCCCCCGTTTTCGGGGGGGGGGGGATGTTCCTGGACCCCCTAGACTCCCCTGGACCCCCAAACCAACAGACGACTCAATCCCCAACCCCCTTTATTTCAACCCGTCCCCGTTTTCTGAAAGCTAGATCAGCCCCTGAAAACAGCCGGAAGAATGGAGCAGCCTTTTGGACGGAGGTGGGGGGGATTTTATCAGTGGTTACTGCTGCATAAAGACTTGCAATTTTTTTACGCAACTGCCATGAAAGTATATTTATCTACCCCTACTTTAAACAAAATGGGATAATATAACTCCAATTCTCGCAGGTGATCAAGCTTTCATAATTAATCCACTTTCACATTGTGTTCAATTCAATTTTTGTGATTAATGCATGACTTTAGGGTGATTGATCCCTCCAAAGATGACCATAAGACGATTTCTTCTACATTCTTATTTGAAAACTTAATTTAGGAACTCGTACCATTCTACTTATTCTTTTGGCCAAATTTGCATCTTCCAGTATCTTGTATACCTTGATGCTCTTTATGTGTTGATTCACCTGAATTCCATCCTCCCCTTTCATTCCTGTCCAAGATGAGCATCGAGATAGCGGATCTTCTGTATTACCTGGAGCATTCTCCCCTAGGCTCCCTGGCCGTCTGGGACTTCAAGACGCGCCAGTTCACGCTGGTGCAGGGCAGGCTTAAGCTCATCGATCTAGATGATGTCTCGGCCCAGGAACTGCCGTGCAAGAAGTCCGAGGACTGCAACGTGGAGGTCGACACTCAGGCAGGACGGGCAAACATAGGTGAGTCCTAGGCGTTATAGTCTTCCTTTGTTTTCCTTTGGCACGTAGCCTTCAAATTCGAGCACAAACTCGACAGCCATGGTCCGGGCAGCGTCTGGTGTTAGTTAAGACCCATAAAGCTATCTGGGAGGCACCTCAGATTTGAGTCATAAATGACATCATGTAAAGTTTGGTCTAGGTGCCCACAGACACATGGAGGCTAGAAGGATGATCATCGGGAGTTGTTTTCTTGGTAAATTGGTTGATGTCCCCTTGAACCTTCCAACATCTCCATCGCGTCACTTTGTGAGAGAGGTATTGGGATTTACAGCTTATTAATTGCTGCCTTTTATTAGATGCTGTTAATTTGTTGAGAAGGTTCTTCCTATAGGCTCAACTTCCAATTTAGACAAATTTCTTTTAGCTCGGGACTCTTCCGAAGCTCATTTCAAGGTTCTTCTAAATTTCAAGTTCGAAAAGATCGAAGTGTAATGATACTATAATATGGGGTGTTGACACCGAGGCTGACCGCGCGTGACTATTATTCTCTGTCAATCTATGGGCAGTTTCAAATGGTCATCTGTGAATCTCATTCTAGAAAACTTAAACTGCTGTTGATGTTAATTCAGTGTATTTTAGAATTAATTTCGTTGACAAGACTTCGAAACTTCGTGGAAGACATTTAACATCGATACCAAGATTTATTTTCGACATACTAGATTTAAGGCGCCCCAAAGGATTCCCCAGCCTAAAATTCCACTCTAAAATACTATTAATTAATCCCCTTTTGTTCTCCAGTTGACAGCAGCTACGGTCTGGTACCCTGCGTCAACTTCACGTGTCATGGTCTGAACGCCAAGTTTAACGTGATCAGCGCCACGAGGGGCCTGCTGGGTGAATCCCTGATGAGCAGCGCGCCCCCTTTCGTCCGGCACGAGGTCGAAGACATCTTAAGTTTGGCCGTCGTGGGAAACCTCGGGGCGAACGAACTGAAATCCCGCCTGCAGCAACTGATGTTTTTCAAACACAAGGAGACAGCTGGAGTCGTCAATTCTGTGAAGAAGACCTTACGGACATAACAAGAGACCATTTGTCATTTCAATGCGCCCGCAAATCAGCTATAGAAGCGCCCTCTACATCTCGAGGAGCGAAGTCAAAAGACAAGACTGAAATATTAATTTACATAGCACAAATTGCGCAAAGTTCGGTATCTGTATTGTACATCTTGGAAGCTTTATTTATCACGTTGGACAAAATTTTATTTCAAAGCAACCTGTCTATTTTTTTTTGAGTTATCGTCTCCTCAGAGCGAGTTTTATTTCTACTCAATTAAAAGTGACCTAAATTCGGCTGTGATTTTTTTCACAATTAATAAGTTATTCCTCAAATCATATGTCGGATTCTGGATCCTTAACTGTTCCCGTCAATTTTCCAATTTTTGTCCAATTATTGGACGAAATTTCAATTCAATGCAATTTTTCTTGAGTTATCGTTTCTACGTTGTTATCGTTTTATGTTTCGTCCACTGAATTAAAAGTGCCTCAGTGAAATTCGGTTGAAAGTTTCGCAAAGTTTGTCAATTTGAATATGTAACATTATGTATCATCCATTGAAATAAACAGTGTTAAACCCTCTTTTCATAATCAGTGGCGGCCGCGGGGGGGGGGGGGGGGGGCACTTCCCCCTGCTGTGCGCCCCTGCGATGTGCCCCCTTGAGATGAAAACAAACTTGCTCCTCAGCCGCACACGTAATGAAAGCATGATCGCGATACAAATGAAATTGTTTCCTCTCTTGTAATGTAAAAAACACAAGAACTGGTACCCCTCTCGCATGAATAAGATTGTGAACCTTCTCGAGATGGATACTACCCCTCGAAAGCATGCACAATATAGCGCCCCCGGCACGCAACATTAAATTGATACCTTTCAAGATGGAACACTGGCCCCTAAAAAAACGATAGTGCTCATCACGTGAATAAAATGGCCACTGAAATGGCCATCAAAATCAACTGTTGTCCTTTCGAGATTAAAAAATGGTCTCTCTAAATTAAAATGAAACATAAAGAGCAAGATATGGACATTGTTCCTCGTCATACTGTTTATAGCGAAATTAAATTATTATTCTTTTCCTTTACGCCACTTTCACACCGACAGAAGGTGCCCCCTTTTCTGAGCTTTTTCCCTTTTTTGGTCCCCCCCCCTCCCCCAGTTTGAAAGTGTTCCGACGCCCCTGATAAATCACAATTATTGGACGCCGGAAATCATGTTCGAGTTGTATCAATCAACATATTTTAGCTTGGTTCAATTAAAATTGTGTTGAATTCGGATTCTACTTCCCGATTAATAAATTGTAATTTCTTCAATCATAATTTGATCCCCAAGAAGAATGGTACCGCGTTGACGGAATAGCGCCCTCTGCAATCAATTTTATATGCAAATTGCCCTTCCGTGGTCTGGTCTCGGAATACTTGTGCGCATCAAACAAATACTGGCGACGTCGGGGTACAGACCAATCTTAGTTTGTTTATGGTTGCCAAATGAATTTTAGTGTGACTTCCTTCGGCTTCGCCAAATTGAATATTATTTTGTGCTTTCATCTTCACTTATTTTAAACTTTAAAATAAAATCGGTATAGGAGTGCAACACGTTATGATTGTCTGAAGCATAGTTTCCGATGGACGCAATGGATGTGTATCCAGAAGATACGGTAAAATTCAGCAATTGATTTTTAATAAATGTGATATTTTTCCTATGTGAGCCACACAGCAGTCACTTGGGAAAGATTCCCATTTCTGGCCATCACTTGTCACTTTGTGCACAAACTCTATGAGACCGGTCTGAAAGTTTTAAAGTGTTTTCTCACTCAGTAAATACTTCGATATGTTCCCTGCTAAATTTGACTTTTTAAATTTAGGACATATCACTTTCATACCGCTTTCAAGCGCCGCTAGTGGGTTCCATTTTCGTCACCAGACGAAAATGGAACCAGACGAAAATGGAACCCACTAGCGGCGCTTGAAAGCGGTATGGTACCCACATGCATCGCGCACACTGCATGTGCCCACGAGTGGAGCGCGTGCAGGGCGATAAGGATGATCTAGCCGATTTAGCAGATTTTCTTCGATTGTTTAGGTCACGTGTGAGTGTGCTGTGCGCAAAATTAACCGATCATCATGGACGACAGCATTGGTACTGCACGAATTTAACGGACAAGTCAACGAAATCATCAACAATGTTCATATTTTAGTTTTTTTGGTCGGTGTCAAGTCGATTAGTAGCTTCGTGAATGACTGCTGAATGGTATGAGGTAGGTAGTAGGAATCTGGGGTGGGATAAAAGAGGTGAAATTTGGACAATTTTGGAGAGGCCATTTTTTGGGGGCCTCTTGCTACCACATAAAACTAACAGACCATTCCTCCAGCGCTACATGTGAATGAATTTGAGCATGTCAGCTGGAGTTACTCAAGCTAGGTCACTAACTGACTAAGGGGAAAAATTAGTGATGGCCAGAAATTGGAATCTTTCTGTCATGGAAGTGGAAAGCTGATTTTGAGGAAATGGAAAAGAATGTTGCAACTTGCATCCTGATGGCAGTTATTTCATCGATAGTAATACTCTACGGAGTTCAGTCATTGCACAAATGTTGAAAAGACATGAATCTGGGACTGAGAATAATGTCCAATTTTGTTATAATTTGTATAAAATTCTTAGAAATTCATGACTCTCCATAGACTTTGTACACAACCAACAAAGTGGAGCAATTAGTTTTTTGAGTGAGTGTGTTTCCAAAGGTTACCGTTTCCAAAGTGTAAATAAACTTGCAGCAAAGTTTGTTTGTGAACCAACCCCCCCCCCCAAAAAAAATTATGATGACAGTGGGGCCCTAGATATGGAGGTAGGCCTAGTCCAGTATTTGGGTCCCATTTATGGGGCTACTGGGGCACTAGAGCTTTTTCTTAGGTTGGTCGGTCGAGTGTGAATGTAAGATGCTAATATCATTGTGGGTATTTCATACAGGACATTTTTGGTGACCATTACTCTGTTACTTAAAGTCACAAGTGTTAAGTAACAGGTCTGCCACATGTATTTAGGCCTGGCATTACTTGAATAATTGCTTTTTTTTCAATTTTGGTTTGTTTAATTTTTTAGAAGTCATCAGAGTCTGAGTGACTGTAGTCGGCAGTGATGACAAGTCACAGAGGCAAGGCGGAGTCTGCTGCCAGATCCGCCCCCTTTGGCACAGACGTACAGCCCAAGCGAAACATCAGAATCATCGGAGGGAAGCAGATTGAGATAGCAGTGGACTCTCCTCCAAGCAGGTGTGGCAGCTATGTGTTTGCTTAACACTTACTCCCTAGCATGATTTACTAGGAACCATACCCATCCTGGCAAATTCCAATACCATATGGGAAACTGCACTCACATATTTCTGACTTTGATTCTGGAGGTGTGTCAACCCAATGAAAAAGACTGTCAGTTTTAATAGGGGTGCTGTACCCATCCTGACAGATTCCAACAAAACATGCTGTTGGGGTTTGATGGGTTGAGTTCTGTTAAGGTTAATTAATGGACACTGCAGAACTTATAAACACTGCACAAAAAAGAAAGTCCACACTCATTGGAGGGGTCATAATTTTGAATCTGATTGTTTTATGATGATGTCATTTATATAGACCTGTGGGGAATTTCGTTAGATACATACCCCATTTGCTACCAAAGACTGTAAAATGTCCAAGATTTTATTTCCAACGGTTTATGAAAAATGATGCAAATTTAAAGATTACGCAAGCAATCGAGCATGACCATCATTGGAAATTGATACAGGAACTCCACTTTTCTTGAAAATGTCAGCACACCAGGTGCCATGATTTCACAGGATGCTTGAGACTATTATTCACTTACAGTCAAGTAAGGTATTTCATAATAATTTGGTAGTTTTGTTTGTTGATGTTTGCAAATGTTGTATATTACCTTTACATTATGTACCAACTTTATCGGACAGAAAACATTTTCATGCGTTTTCAGTGACTATTAAATACACTGCACACATTAGGAAGTGAGAGACTCCCAAACTGTTTTTTTTAAGGTAGAAATGGATTTTACAGTTTTCTGCAATGGCATCGCTGTTTTTTTTCTTTTCTATCCACAGTGCCAGTAATTCTCAGAGAAGCCTTCCCCCTCTCCAACAGGGACCAAATGGCACCCCTCCCATGGAAGTCCAACCACCCTACCAGGAATACAATAACAACAAACACCAAGTGGAATATTCCGAAAAGCGGGTGAGATTTTTTATCCATACTTCCATTTTATTTTGCCAACTAACAGTTCGTATTACAGATTCTCCAGATCTTCTGTCAATATGAAAAAAAAAATATGAATTCTGTTAAACGAAAGTCAATTTTTACCTTTTCAAAGAGTTGAAATATTTGGATGCCTCAATAATAAATGCTAATTTTTAATTTGAAAAAAGTCCCTTTTTTCAAGATTTGTAATGTTTCGTTGTATCTTGGCACCCGAGAGTGTTATGGGTTTCTCATAAGTACAACTTGTGAACTTGAAATTTTCAAAAGTTTGTAAATAATTTGCACTTTTAAAAGTGATCAAACAAAATCGTAAAAATCTAGAAACAACTTAAAAAAACACCCAGAGATTCTTCCTAGTATACATGACTTTAAAAGTGATTATATACAAGAATTATGATAGAAATGATAGTCCTTTTGTTTCATTATCAATAGGAGCGGATAACCCATTCACAGACAGCTCCTGCCGACAAAAGCAACTCACACATCCATGTCACAAGAGGGCGCTTCAACAGTTTACCCGGATCACACACGTGAGCACATTGACATTTTTTGTAACTTTTTATGCTTAATAACCTTTTAAGCTTTTGTGCTACTTAGAAAAAAGTTTTTTGTCGAACAGATATATTAGTGAACTGTCGATTAAAAATACATGACTTGTAGCCTCATGAAATTTGTCGTTGATTCATTTGTCGAAGATATGATATATGAAGTGTTTGCCGCCTTGTGTCTGAAACAGATCCAAAAATGTATTTTGGACTTCAAGTTTTTTTTAGCATGTCTCATAAGGCTGTACACAAAAACTACAGGGTGAGTAAAAAAAAAACCGAAGCCCAAATGTCTGGACCATTATTTTAGTGAAGTTCTGCATGTAGCACGTGTAAAATCTAGGATATGAAAGCCCAATTCATAAGGTTTCTTTTAGTATAAGAATCACTCAAATCACTCATGTAATTTTCAAGCTACGGAGTTTTAACACAACCACCGTTTTAAAGTTCTGTCCATGGATCACAAAAAGGTAAATGCTCTTTCAGCAAAACGAAAACAAATCACATAGGAATGTGTGTGAATTGTTTTCGTTTTGCTGAAAAAACGCACACCTTTTTTGTGATCCGTGGACAGAACTTTAAAACGTTGGTTGTGTTTAAAATTCCGTAACTTGAAAAGTATAAGAGTGATTTGAATGATTCTTGTACTTAAAGAAAGCTTATGAATTGGGCTTTCATATCCTAGATTCAGAAAGTGCTACATGCAGAACTTCACTATAACAATAGTCCCGACATTTGGGTTTCATTTTTTTTGACTCGCCCTGTACTGGGGCTCAAATCCTTGGATCATTGTTATCTTAGGTAACCTAAAGGCCTTTTCACACTGTCCAAAATCTCCGGGTTGGAACCGGTTCCAACCCCGAGATTTTTTTCAACCCTTTTCCCACTTCTAACATTTCAACCCGGTTCCGACCCGGGTAGCGTGCTCTAGCCGGATCGAAATCAACCCTGGGAGGGACCAGGGTTGAAAATCTCAACCCGGATCGAAATTGCATTTTTCGGCCTGAACCGTGTCGAAAATGACAGTGTGAACCGCCCGGGGTTGAGTCACTCACGGCCGATCCGTGTTGAGTTGAGGCCGACATTTTACCGAAAATCTGACACGCCGTGCATAATATTTCCCTCCACCACTATCGCCGTCACAACACCGATCATGAAACAATTGCTCCCTAATTATCATCCAATAATGTATCGGTGTATGGAGCATCCTTTACCGAGTCTGGGCTTGTATTAGGTCTGCAAAATGTACCCCAAAAAAGTACATTTCTAATGTTAAATAGAACGAATCGTCTAACGAAATGACAGGAGCCATTTTGGAAATATTGCACACAGCTGCGCTGGTGTCGTACAAAAATCGGACTCCCAAATCGGATTCCTTTACTCTCTTATTATTGGCCAAACCCTTTCACGTGACAGGTCCTTCTCCTAATAGGCATGCGCAATACTACCAATGAGTCCGTATTTCACAGAGTAGTAAATTCACGCTGAACACCGGCCTGTCCGTAAGCCTCGTGCGCGCAGCAGCCGCGTGCGTCGCAATGCATTATGGGATTGAGAAAATCATCGCAGCGCCCTAGGCCCTGTGCCGAATGCGATCCGTGTCGAGAATTTGTAGTGTGAATACACGTGGGCCGTAGCCGGATTGAACGTTACACGGTTCACGTAGCGGCCGTTCCCGTAAAGGACAGTGTGAACGTCGCGTCTCTCCGATCCGTGTCGAAAAATACTCGGGCTGAACCGGGTTGGATCCGGGTAGGTTTCAACACGGTTCGAAACGGAGATAGTGTGAAAAGGCCTTTAGTTATCTAAAGTCCTCCAACGTAAAGGATAATCTGTAAACCATTTCAGACCATGACACAAACTTTAGTTTCCAAGAAACTTTCTTGAACTTTTCTCCTCGATCTTTTACGCAGGGTCCTACCCCCCATCCCGAGCCCCAATTCCCTCTCGCCCACAACTCGGCACTCCTGGCACCAGCGGAAGTCTTCCCCCACCTCGTCCCCCTCCCTGTCCCCCTCCCCGTCCCCCACCTTTCAGCTGGGTCACCCCGAGGTCAGCCTCACGGAACAGCTCCAGGACCTCCTGAGGGACTACGACCCTTACAAGTTTCAAGTAAGTTGTGCCCTTCAACTAAATTCACTTTTTTTTCTACAGACAAACATTCAACTTGTATATTTTACTAAAGTGGAAAAATGTCCTTTCTATTTTTTTTGTTACATTTTACTACACTGTATTTATTCCTTGATGGATCTATAAAACCTTAGAGTGCTGGGGCGGTTTTTGGCGGTATAAGAAGTAACAGGCAGAGCGCTTTGGGCAGAACAGGGATAAATGGGGAACAAAAAGTGCGGTCTATTTTGCTAAAACAAAATTATTTACGCTGGCATTGTGAGATCAAATATTTTCATTTTTCACAAGTTCCTCATTCAAGCACAGCCAAATAACATGAGTCCCTTTAGCCTGGGTTGAATATTGACCCTGAAAAATCTAGCTATATACCAGCCCCTCTGACGAGCACCGTATGCTTGAGTGATAAAATCCCAGAGGGTTTAGCCGGCCTCACTGCAGGGCATGCATGCTCAAGTGACATGTTTCCCCAATCTCTTAGAAAAATACAGAGTGAGTAAAAAAAAGCAAAACCCAAATGTCGGGACCATTGTTTTGGTGAAGTTCTGCATGTAACACTTTCAAAATCTAGAATATGAAAGCCCAATTCATAAGCTTTCTTTTAGTATAAGAATCATTCAAATCACTCATGTACTTTTTAAGTTACGGAATGTTAAACACAACCACCGTTTAAAAGTTCTGTCCATGGATCACAAGAAGGTAAGTGTTCTTTCAGCAAAACAAAAACAAAGCACATGGGAATGTGTGTGAAATGTTTTCGTTTTTCTGAAAGAACGCACACCTTTTTTGTGATCCGTGGACAGAACTTTAAAACGGTGGCCGTGTTTAAAATTCCGTACCTTGAAAAGTCCATGAGTGATTTGAATGATTCTTGTACTGAAAGAAAGCTTATGAATTGGGCTTTCATATCCTAGTTTTAGAAAGTGCTACATGCAGAACTTCACTAAAACAATAGTCCCGACATTTGGGTTTGTTTCGTTTTTTTTACTCACCCTGTGGAGCCCAAGAGTGACAGAAAGTGTATGGTATGTGGCTATCCAAACGTGAACTTCAAACTGCAGTATGACTGTAGATCGTTGTGTGTGGATGTGGAAGGGCATTGTGCAGCCCCTGGGGACCCATTCAAACGTGTAAAAAACGAGCGGTTGTACGACGGTGGAACCGTGCGTGCCAACCTTGTCATCTTTGTGTGGACCTGTGAACAAAACAGGACCACACGATGCAGGTTGTGTCAACCTTGTGTGGACTTAACCAGGTCCACGCAAGGTTTCGCCTTCTCTGGAAAACAACTTTAGAGGCATTTTGGGGTTAGGGTTATCCGTCGCAAAATGAAGAGGAACACAGTGCGAGTAAAAGTACTTTTTTCTTTGGTTTTTCTTAACTACACGAAAACAAAGGAATATCCAACGTAAACGTGTACATTAAATGTGCAGTGCAGGGATAAGATGTACATGCAACCCTGATTCTTTGCAAATGAAAAATTGATTGAACTCGTTTTTTTAAAAACGTGTCAACGTCACATACTTAATTTCAGGACATGTACAAGGATTTAGCCGAGTATGATCGCAAGCTGTGCGGTTACGTCAGCCAGCCCCAGGCCAACATGATCGCGCTGAAGCACCACCTTCCCCTACCCACTAACACCATGAGGCTTCTGTTCTCAAGCTTCGGGAAAGACGACAACCCTGATTTGGTGAACTACGAGAGGCTGATACAGTACTTGGCCCGGGCCCAGCTGGGCACTGCGGAGGCTGAGACGCTGCTACAGGAATCTGTGAACAGGTAGATAAGGATCCTCATGATGTTTATTAACTGCTGACAGATTCAGGAAGGGTAAAAGGGGGAGTATTCAACCACAAAAGGAAAACTGGCAATGCCTAGTATAAATGAGAGAGCGAGATCTTAGCCATTGTCACTGACATGATCATGTACTTGCTATGTTTGCAGCATAGCATCAACCCTAGTCAGACCCAAGGTTTTTGCTTAGTCACGATCGGTCGGATTCTGCCTCCGGTCGAATATACCCCCACTTACTGGTAAACAGATTGGATAGGGGGAGAATTCAACCAGATAAGGAAAACCAGCACTGCCTAGTGTAACTGAGAGAGTGAGATCTAAACTGTTATTACTTATAACATGACCATGCGCTTACTTTGTTTGCAACATATAATCAACCCTAGTCAGACCCAATAGCAAGTGGTCAGATTCTCCCCCCAGTTGAAAATACCCCCTCTTACCCTATAAACACTTGAGTTTGTTTCTTATTCCCATCTAAAACTGTTTTTAAAGATCGGTTTGGACCACTTTTTATTTTATTTTTTTGACCATTGCAGATTTGTAAATGCTCCTGACCTGCCACCGGCCGATGAAGTTGACCTGGACCAACAGATTGCCAAATACGAGACCGATAAGAAGAACACACACAAGCAGAAACATCAGCACCATCACGACCAGAGGAAAAAACACCGTGAATCGAATGAATATCTCTTAGAGAAACTCAGTCAGCAGTTTGGCGGGCAGGAACAGACTCAGAGGTGAGTCATAGAATCGCGTCAATGTAGCTTGTGAAATGTTGTCCAGTTACTTTTCAATTCAATTCAAATAGGCATATGTAGAAATGCCTTTATGCAGACAAACAAAACAAGACAAAGACAAACAAATATAACAAGACATTACTGGCCAGCATCGTGCATTGCTACACCTGCTGCCTGACTAGAGAGATGCCTTCAAATGGTACGGTCCTTTGCTGCCACCTCTGCTTCCTCTACAGACCACCCAAAGTTCATTCTGGTGATGTCTCTCTGGATGACCTCTCTCCATGATGTGTTTGGTCGACCAGGTCTGCGTATTCCATAAGTTGGTTTCCAGTAGTACTGCTTTCAAAATTTTTCATTACATGATATTAAAATGGACGTGGAACATGCAAAATCTGAGACAAACACAACTTACCATACAAAATACCCACAGGGTTGTCTAAGGGGCGTGGCTAACTTGCAAACGGGAAAAGGTCAGTTACTTCTGGTATTGAAAGCAAGGGACTGAAGCTTGCAAGCCTGAAGAAATGTGAAGAGAGAAGCCCATTAAGACATTTTTGTTTTAGAAGTGGAACTGAAAACCCCAGAAGAATATTCAGGGGAAAATCCACGGAATCAGGTAGGGACAGAAAACCCAATCCACATGTGGACTAGGACAGGAATCGAACCTAGGCCGTAGAGGTGGAAGGCGAGGGAAGAACCACTGCACCAATCTGACTACAACCTGAAGTGATTGTAAATGATTGTAAATGATTCGATTTGAATTGATTTGATCATTGTCGCGGAAGTGCCGAGGGCAATCGGAGTGCTTCACAATACAGTGCCCCACTAAGACGTCACCATGGGGAAGCAATTTTTGCAGTGTATTGTGGGAAAACAGTCGAGAAAGATACCAATCAAGTTTTTCTTTGTTTGCACAAGGGCATTTCATCAGTTTTAAGGTATCTGGTGGATTTGCGCAATAGCAATTCAAAACCAATTTTTGATTTGGTATTTTTCGTTTGACTTGACATAGACTTAATGTTGAGTGGGGCTTGAGCTCCCACATCGTCCAAGGCAGCACACAAAAAATGGTTAGATGAACTAACCCAAGTATATTAACCAGTTTGCGCTGGGATTATTTTGACATTGACCAGACCCAGGCGTGGGATTATTTTTCACGAACCTCGATGCCAGACGGGTTCAGGCTGTCATCTGCGGGTAGCACACCCTGATATTTCCGGCCTTGCTCGCTGCGAGCGGGTCGCAGACAGATATTTCCGGCCTCGCTCGTTGCGTGTTTATCAGTCATCCGTTCCAAATACCGCAAAACCTTTGAATGTATACACGTCATCCGACCCCGTTAATAATGGTGATGATTTAACATCGACTTTCATTTTTGACTGTTCCAGTACGGGAGTGGAGAATGGACCAGCAGATCTTGCAAAGTAAGTAAGAAATTTAGAATTGTTTGACTGGTATTTCACTTCTTGTATGCAATCTTTGAATTGTCAATTGTAAATTGGAGGGGGCATGCTAAATGATAAGGACACTGTAAAGGATCATAAATCAACTGTACTCCCAGGGAAGATGCAACATTTGCAAACATCAAAAAACGAAATGACTCAAATTAACACGAAATACCTTACTGGATTGTAGAGAATGACAGTCTAGAGCATCCTGTAAAATCTTTGCTCCTGGTGTGCTGACATTTTCAAGAAAAGTTGTATTTTTCCAACGCTGGTCAGCCGACCAGCTTTGGAAAAAACTGGCTTTATTCAAAAACTGCTCCTATTTTTCATTTTAGTTATTCCGCATTTTCTTGGCAATTTCTTGGTTTTCTTGTTTTTTCCAGCATCTGCAAGCTCAAAATGTGAAACAAGTCGGTTTAACAATATTTGCTATAACATACTAATCCTCCAAATGCATATATTTCTGAAAATTGCAGCAAAAGCAACTGTTCCCTTTAACAATAATTGATTGAAATTCTCTCCACCTGTAATGCATTAAGGACACCGCAGCAAGTCTTCTCGGACAGACAAGACGCCAAACTGCTCATGCTTGTTGAGCAGCAGTATGTGCAGGGCAACCAGGAACCGACGGATCTGCATGCCATGAAGAAAGACTTTGTAGAGAGGGACACCAAGGGGCAAGGGGTGCTGACTATGGAAAAGGTAGCTGCATTGCTTTTATGAATCAACAGGTTGTAATTTGTTTGAGTTATCGCTAAGCCAGTTTTATGTGCTAAGCGAATATTAGCCTTGAATTGTACTCAAGCAATATTGCTTACAAAAACCAGATTTAAAATGTTTTGAATTTTATGCGTTGTATATAGCTTGTAGCCTCAAAAGTGAAGCTGCCATCAGGTCGGCCTTGCGTCGACAAGGAACAGTCGGCGACTAACTTTTTCAGGATCAAGCTGCGCCAGTGCGCCTGAGCTACGACCGTTGAGAACATATCAGTCCCAAAGTTTTTGCGATCTGAGTGTAACTGCGATGATATTAAGACAATCGGCATCAGTCGGTGCTACAAAAAAAATAACAATCGGATGAGTAGACAAATTTCAATTTCTGCGCAGCAACGGAAAATGTTCCGACGGGCGGGTATCAATCGCAGTCGACCTGTGTGACATTTTGATGTCATTTGTTGTGAATCGTCGTGGATGATATGGCATGGTTGCAATTGTTCTTAGTTGAGATGATGCTTGTTCCACGATAATTTCAATTTCAATTCAATTCAAGTTCAATTCATTTATTGTCCATTTAAAAGATAAAAATGGAAAATTTACATGTCTAAACATTGATGAAAGCTCCAAAACAGAACACTAAAAAATATAGTTATAATGATAAAACTAGATTTACACATACAATTTTACAGCCAAAAACAAAATGTATTAAATATTTTAAGATAACCGTCAAAAATAAATAAAAGGCCTTAAAACCTTAAAACCATTCAAGTGTAACCAAACCAACAAAGAAATTTAAACCGAGTAACCAACAGATCACCCCCGCCCCTATCGCTGCATTGACCCCCTTTCCATTGATTAGAACACACAATTATCTTACAACATTTTAAACTGTAGAGACTGATGAAAGATAAGTTAAAAACACATTAAGAACCAATCAAAAACACCACATTCGCCAAAACTGCCCTAACCACCCCGCCCCCACAAGCCTCAGATAAAAATAATCAGTAAAAACACATTAAGAATCATTACAGACTCTTACTGACAAAGGCACAAATGAATTAAGATAGCGTGTGGTCCTACATTGGATGCTTCGGAGTCTTTTTCCTGACCTCATGAAATAATAATAATGGTGCAAGGGATGGTCCTTATTTTTCATTATTTCACCGGCCTTAGTTAAAACACACCTGAGATGTTTTTCAGATAGGTCTATATCTTCTCACCGAAAATTTTACCAGCTTGGTTTGCTATCCTTTGTAGTTTGTTCATGTCTGATTTCTTTAGACTTTGGAACCACACAAAACATCCGTAGAGAATGACACTTTCAATCACAGAAGTGTAAAACAGCTTCATAATTGTTTTGTCCACATTGAAAGTTCTGAGCTTCCTTAAGAAGTACATGCGTTGATGCCCTTTTGAAACAAGTGCTCTACACTGTTCAGTCCAAGTTAATTTTTCAACTTTTATCATTGAGCATAATTTTTTTTTCATTGTATAGAGCTCCAACTTAGATATATTTTCATTTTGGATTCTTCAGGTTCAAGAAGTGTGCTTCAAGCATAGAATCCCTGTGCAGGGATCGTTGATGGCAAAAGTACTCAACAAATGCCGCACGGGTGACAACCAGTACAGGTATGCGTGCCGTGTTCTCAAGTTTGACCCATTCAAATTGAGAGATTTAGGGAATATTTGTGAGGGTAATGGCAGACTGTGACATAAACTTTTTGTTAGTATTCTCCCAGATTGTCAATCACTGTATGTAAAATTGCACAATGTTTGCATAATGAGTAAAGGCTGGTTCGCACTTCACGTAAATATGAAAGTAAAGTGAACCGCCAACATAGGGCTGGATAGCTCAGTTGGTAGAGCACCGGAACGGCAATCCGGAGGTCGCAGGTTCAAACCCCACTCCAGTCAATTTCGTTGTCCAACTTTGACATTTGTGAATTTGATGTTGTAAAACGTTTGACAGTGATACTGGAGTTGAAATTTATCGTGAATTCTCAGAGCAAGTGATCACAAGAACACCCTTTATTGTGTTTTACATAATAACATTCTTTGTAGGAAGGTAGGAAGAAGGGATCATTTGTGAAAATCTGCTTTTTTCCTCCATTTTAAATAATCAAAATGCTTAAACCCACTTCAAAATAGACCCCAGATTTATGCCGAACCAAAATGCATTTAGAGCAACTCAAGTTAAGACAGGCAGACTTCAGGTACCAATTTTCATTGTCTGGACCTTGAAATTGTTACTTTCACGATAATAAGCGCCATCTTGTTCACGGGGCAAAAAGAACACGCATTGCTGAGTACGCATGTCAATTGAAACCTTTGGTGCTTCCAAGTCATCATGCGTTCCTTCCAATATGCGCTCATGTCTAGCAACGCATGTTCTTTTTGCCCCGTGAACAACACGGCGCATATTACCGTGAAAGTGCTTATTGTTTGTCAACTTGAATTCAAATCTTTGAAGTAATTTACTTGGCATACCTGGCATTCTTGTCTGCAAATGAGTGTTATAATTTTATGTCACAAATTTTCATGTAATCCATCTACTTATTTATAATCCTCTCTTGCAGTTGGCCATCATTCCTAGAATTTCTGGGTCGGGTCAAACCCTTGGCCGCCCAGGGGCTGGAGCCTGCGGCAAACCCAGACGCCGGTCGCCCTAACACCTGGCCCAAGCAGAGAGATGATGGATTCCCCAAGACGAACCACAAGGCAGGGTCACCGGGCCTACCCCAGGAACCGGGGCCACCTCCGTGGGAAACCAGGAAACCGCTAGGGGTAAGGGAGTATAGTATTCAATCAATTCAGTTTTGTCTATTAGGCCCCCAAAAAAGTCTCCGGTTTCTGGTATGTGCGAGCGTCGCCGTAGCCATGCACGTCGGCAAAATGAATTTTTTTTTTTTTTTTCAATGCAAGATGATGTCTCAAAACCGCCAAACTCACTGGTTTGAATGGAATCCTGCTGTAGCACAATTTTAATGTGTTTTTAGATGGGGATACGATCGAGTATAAGCTTTATGTGGCCTCTCTTGGCTCCCATATATTTGCACTAAATTTACTCAGGCACCATTTGCAGTCATCAGCCGAAATTCAAAGGAAAAAAATGGTAAAAAAAAAAAAAAAAAGCTGCGTCACCGCACCACTTTTGGGGCAAGCTCCATACCAGAAACCGGAGACTTTTTTTTTGGCCTTACAGAAGTGGAAGTACTTTTGGCCTTAGAGAAGTGGAAGTACATTAGAAGTGGAAATTTTTAAATAAAGGTCAAGGGTCATGATCTGTGTCTAGCCCGCTGATCTCTATATAAAGTCGCAGAAGAAAGCCATTTGATGCCACATTGGAAAGACAGATTGTGTATAAAGGACAAGTTGCCGTCTTTATGGGCTCCGTGCGCCAACAAAAGAGGGGCCCTTTTACCTAGCAACGACGTCCCATGGGTGAAACAAGTGTAAATTATGGATGCAAAAGTGTTAGAAATTTCTCAAATGTCACTCTAGTGTCGTCCTATTACCTCACCTGCCCCCAATTTTATATTTCACACAGAGGCTGGGTGTCCGTTCCCCGACTGCCGTGGAACGGGAGATAACATTTTACGACTCGCCGTCACCAACTCACTCCCCCCCGACAAATCTCCAAGCCCCACCCCCGGGCCACCACCAGGCGAGCGGCATCAACGACATGCAGAGGGCCGAGCTGGCCGTGATGGCCCGGGAGCACAAGGTCAAGAGGTCGGTGCCAAAGCCGGCTGCGAAGACTAGAGACGATGACGAGCCGTGGTTCGTCCGATTCAAGCACCTGGCTCGCGGCTTGTACAACCTTGACAGCACCAATACCGGTGAGTAGATAGCCTCTTTGTGGAGTGCAGTGGTCCAATGGTTACGGTGTTCGACTGTCCAATGGTTACGGTGTTCGACTAAGCTTTCTTTTAGAACAAGAATCATTCAAATCACTCATGTACTTTTCAAGTTACAGAGTTTTAAACACAACCGCCATTTTAAGGTTCTGTCCACGGATCACGAACAAGTTCAGTGTTCTTTCAGCAAAACGAAAACAAATCACATAGGGATGTGTGTGAATTGTTTTCGTTTTGCTGAAAGAATGCGCACCTTTTTTTGTGATCCATGGACAGAACTTTAAAACGGTGGTTGTGTTTAAAACTGAATTGGGCTTTTATATCCGAGATTTTATAAGTGCTACATGCAGAATTTCACTAAAACAATGGTCCCGACATTTGGGTTTCGTTTTTTTTACTCACCCTGTATACGGCAAACCGGTAGATTGTGACCATAATGCTATATGTGTTTGATAAAGAGTTCACAATTGTCTGCTTGAAAATAAGCACTTCTGTCTAGTTTACAATGCACAACGTAGTTGCTAACCAAATACTTGCCTACTGCAATGGATTGTCCACTGCAACTGGATCTTCATGTGGCACTTTCACATCAAGCGATCGGAAGCTATATTAGCTTGTAACATGGTCATGCAATGTTGTTGAGTAGTGTGGACTTTGTTGCGTAGTGTGGACTTTGTTGCGTAGTGTGGACTTTGTTGAGTAGTGTGGACTTTGTTGCGTAGTGTGGACTTTGTTGAGTAGTGTGGACTTTGTTGAGTAGTGTGGACTTTGTTGAGTAGTGTGGACTTTGTTGCGTAGTGTGGACTTTGTTGAGTAGTGTGGACTTTGTTGAGTAGTGTGGACTTTGTTGAGTACCTGTGGACTTTGTCAGGTCATTTTGGAGCCTCATGTGTTATACAATATATAAAGCTCTGAATATATATGTGTCCATATTATGAATTCTTCTGTTTTCCAGGCTATCTGAGCAAGGAGGAGACCCGGGGTCTCGTCAACAACTACAACCTGATCTACCGACTGGGATGGGAACAGCCTCACATTGACAAATGCATTAATGGCTGTTGCCTTTCCCAGGGGAGGGTGTCAGTTGAGCATTTGTTGGAAGCACTCACACTGAAAGTCACATAAATGCTGATGGACCAGCTGGTAAAGGAACAGCCTCCGGCATGTACTAGGTAAAGGAGAAAGGCTCCTGAATCTGACATCGGACTCTGACAACATTTAATTCAAAGCTCCCAGTTGGAAAAGGAATAGCTAAAAGATTCAACGCGCCTTGCAGCAGCTGTTTCTATTCCAGAGGGACTGCCACATCTGCATGCATTAACTTCAGATTCCAGGTAAGTAAAATAAACCAGCTAGATTTTGAACTGCCTGGAATTTCTCCAACACTGGCTATTCCAGATCCAGTGGGCAGGAATTGATCAGAATCAGGATGACAATGAATTTCGTGTATATAAAAAGTACAAGTAGGCTTTCAAACTGAATAATTTGTATATAAGTACACAGAAAGAGGAATTTCGTTTTCATTATCTGAAATTTGTTTGCTCCGTCCATAATGTGCGTGCATCATTTTCTATCAGGTTTATCTTTTGTAGTTTGTGTAATCAAGAAATAATTGAATAGATGTCCAGTGTTTTGTGACAGATTTTGAAGTGCAGTAATGTGTGCATTATCCAATGATCTGCATTGTATGCGCCCATTTAGTTGCATTCACGCCCGCGTAATGATGTACAATGCTCACAATAGTACCATATGGGAACGGCAGTTCCATGAATGCCGTTCAAATGAGTGTCTATATTTGAGTAATTTTTGTCTGTCCATTATACAGAATCATCTGGGTTTTTTCTGCAAATGTGTAAACAGTATGTACAGTGTAGATGGGAATTGTTTGTCCGTCCAGGTTTCAAAGCAATTTAAGATGTTTTTTCCAGCAACCTTTTGATGAAGTACTGTTTGATACAAAGCAGCAAATATTAAGATGAGTTAGAGGTTTTCCTCATTTACAATCTGAGTACATGTTTTGTTTGAATTTTAGTGCCAGGATTCAGAACAGTGCACACTGAACGTTGGTTATCATAATGCCATTTGTTTGCTTTTCTGTGATCTGATACACCGTGCCCTCTGGAGACGTGCACACAATAGGGAACAAAAGATTGTATACGTCTCCACAGGGCAATTTCTATAGATGAATACGTCTCCACAAGGTTTTCATGAAATAGATATGGATTTTACTCAAAAACTAGGAATTTCCAAGGTGGGTTGATCCGTCGCAAATGGAAGAGTTTTAGAAAAGGGATATGCGTAGTATGCGTAAATGTTTTGTGTGTGTGTTTTGGAACATTTTCTGTATTTTAATGAAACTATGTAGTTGGAATTACTGAAGTTTTATAAACACATAGCGGGTGCTGTAGGCTGTAAACTTATAGAATTATGTGCTGGATTTTATAAACTAAAAAAAGTGTAGAATATTTGCAGAATTTGATAAAGCAATTGTTAGTAGAACTATATATCTTAATCACCCAGAAATTACGTTTCTTTTACGTTATTCATGAATTTCTCAGTCAAGTGGCTTGTGTGGGTTCTGACAGAAGTGAATAGCTTCTCAAATTTGGGCTTCATGGGAATGTACATGTACACGTAATTTCTGAAACGTCTTTTTAACCCTAACCGCCCTGAATCCTTCAAAATCCTCTTTGCCAAAGTGAAGGAATTTGGAGGATTGATGTTGTACATGGCAAAAGTGCGTTACTGATTTCGTAGGATGCACTTTGTCAAGGTCTTGGGCTAGACCTTGTGTTGTTTTTGCTCAGCCATGCATAAATATAGGCCTGGATTTTGCTTGAAATCCTCCGTACTGCTCCAGGATGTCACTGGCCAAGCCTCAACATATTGACAGTCACTGCCGCAGCATTTTGCAGGATTCAGGCAGTGGTCACCTTTCCACGGACCATATTCAAGAAATAATGGAGGAATTTGCAGGATTCTATTTTTCCATGAGGCCAATTGAGGATTTTGCAGGATTGAAACTACATCCTAGCAAAAAGGCCTAGGGAGTTGGGGTTAAATGGTGCAAAAATATCGATCACATTCCTGCAAATGTCTGACAATTTCTGAAACTTTTTTGAAACTTACAGAATTTCCCAAACAGTGAGCTTTTAAGAGTTTGACCTCCCAGACTTGTTTTAAGATCCCTCATAAAAACCCCAAAGCCTTTATATATCAGTTTGTAAGTCTGCTAACATTTCATGTATTTATTGAAGTTGTATGATTTAAAGTAAAGCATTAACAAACACCAATAAGTGCCTATCTGGTTGACAGCATTATATATTTTCCCAGTCATTAGTTATTGTGAAAGAAGCTTTAAGTATGGGATGAAGGATATACGGATATGGAAACACTAAGCTGCATTTAATGGTCTTTGCTTGCATCTGATAGTTGCATTCCGAGAATTTCTGTTTTAATACAAAGGGACAATCAGTTGACAATCAGAAAAATACATTCCAGATGCCTTCTTTTTGTCTTTTTATTGATTTATTTATATTTTTTAAACATACCTTCTGTGTGGTATTTCTTCTCTTGTGTTTGACCCAAAGAAAAAAAAAAAAAAAAAAAAAAAGTCCCGATACATAACTCTTAACAAGCATGCGTAAACATTCAAAAAGATTGTACAAAATAAATTACGAATGACTTTGCTACTCATATCAAACATTTATATTTCTAATCATTGAACCAACTAACAGCATTATGTGTCTGAGGCACTTGCTAATGATTTGTTTCTTCTTCATTTCTTAATGTATGGTATGTATGTATACATAAGATGGAATTTAGTATCGGGGTGATAAAATTCAAAATAAGGTTTTGCCCTTCACCGACCTGTAAACACTGTACATGGTATACTCAGTGTGTTACCTCCAGAGTGAAAGTGAGAAAAATTCACTCAGGTGGGACTCGAACCCACGACCCCCTGCTTTCTAGTGCAGACGTCTTACCACTCGACCATCGATCTTGTCGGGATCAATCGGATGTCTGGTTCGATTCTGATGAATCACCCCGACGCAAAAAGTTACATCTTAGGAATAGTTTCATTGCGGTACCCACTGCTACAGATTCGAACCAGCCAACTGATCGATCTCGGCAAGTTCGGTGGTCGAGTGGTAAGACGTCTGCACTAGGTAGCAGGAGGTCGTGGGTTCGACTCCCACCCGAGTGATTTTTTTTTCCAACTTTCACTCGGAGGTAACACACTGAGTATATTATTTATAAGTCAGTGAAGGGCAAAACCTAATATTGAATACATGTATATAGGCCTATATATAAATGTTCAGGCTGCTTGCATTCCGCCCAAGTTTTATTTCTTAAAACTGCCTTTCTAGAACCAAATACCTATAGTGCCTTGCCATTTTTGCAGTCTGTGTTACTGTTTCTCTGATACGTGTAGCTAGAATTTTTACTTTTTAGTTTCCAGATTTTGGGTGTCGTTTCTTCTGAAATATTTTACTTCAGTTAAATGTAGTTCTGCTGATGTGTCTTTCATAGAGTTTTATATAGTGTTTTAGTTTCTTTATTAAAAACCTGACAGTTGTATTTATAATGACAATGATTGTATATACTGCTCGAATAAATGACCATTTGTAAATTAATTATAGCATTAACAATTTGTGAAACTATTAAATTGCCTATAATTATTGTGCCTTTGACTATTGAACATTTATTGTTTATAAAATTGAAAAGATTTAGTAGTAAGTTCAAGAATAATCCCACGTGACAATTTTGGGAGATTTAAACTTTGGAGGTTGTACATTTTATAATACCTTTGCTAAGGCCAAAAAAAAAAAGGTCTCCGGTTTCTGGTATGCGCGCGCGTCGCCGTAGCCATGCGCGTCGGCAAAATGAAAAAGGTTTTTTTTCAATAAAAGATGATGTCTCAAAACCGCCAAACTCACTGGTTTGACTGGAATCCTGCTGCTGCACCATTTTAACGTGTTTTTAGATGGGGTTATGATCGAGAATAAGCTTTATGTGGCCTCTCCGGACTCCCATATATTTGCACTAAGTTTAGTCGGGCACCATTTGCAGTCATCAGCCGACATTTGAAGCAAAAAAGACAGGTAAAAAAAAAAAAAGCCGCGTCGCCGCACCACTTTTTGGGCAAGCTCCATACCAGAAACCGGAGACTTTTTTTGTGGCCTAATGCATACTTACAAAAATCTGTTACTTGGAACAAACATTGGAATGATTCAAATGTTTTTATTGAAGTTTAACTGTGCCTTTCATCCTACTTTGCCTTATCAGAAGCTGAAACCCAAATTTGGTTACCACATTTACAAATGTACAGGGTGAGTTAAAAGAAGCGAAACCCAAATGTCGGGACCATTGTTTTAGTGAAGTTCTGCATGTAGCACTTTCAAAATCTAGGATATGAAAGCCCAATTCATAAGCTTTCTTTTAGTACAAGAATCATTCAAATCACTCATGTACTTTTCAGGTTACAGAATTTTAAATACAACCACCATTTTAGAGTTCCGTCCACGGATCACAAGAAGGTAAGTGTTCTTTTAGCAAAACGAAACAAATCACATCTTATAGGGATGTGTGTGAATTGTTTCGTTTTGCTGAAAGAACGCACACCTTTTTTGTGATCCGTGGACAGAACTTTAAAACGGTTGTTGTGTTTAAAATTCCGTAACTTAAAAAGTACATGAGTGATATGAATGATTCTTATACTAAAAGAAAGCTTATGAACTGGGCTTTCATATTCTAGATTTTGAAAGTGCTAAATGCAGAACTTCACTAAAACAATGGTCCCGACATTTGGTTTTTAAAAAATTTTACTCACCCTGTATAACAAGTTTGATTTTGTAGACATGTGCATAATTTCATGTTGGGCAAATATTGTCCACAACTTTGGAAGATAGATCAGGAGTTATGCTAAAGATATTATACGAGATGTTTGGGTATAAAAAGATTTCTTTTTACAAATTCTGCCAATGCCAGACACTGTGTTAAGTTTTTGATGATTTTCATTATTTGTTTAAACTTTTTTTTTAAAGTTCTGTTGCAACATTTTTTCATAACAGATGAGTTTGATGAAGATATGACGAAGTTGACAATGGAACATGTTTTTGTTTTCCAACACTGTTTCGGGGTTTGGCGACTAATCATCACAGATTGAAAATTAGAAAACAGAAGATTGATGGCCTTTCACGTTCACACAGTGATTTTGTAAATTTTGTGCAATGTGATAGTCCTGTTAAATATGCAGATTACATGTAAATTAACATGTTAGAAATACCCCACGCCAAAATATGGATTAAATTGAATGGTTATAGGATTAATGGCTGCATAATAATAATAATAATAATAAAGTAACCTTTGCTTTGCCATGTTTTGTTGCACATGGTGATTCCTTCATGACAAAATATCTTTGGAAAGCATTTTGATTTCTGAGTAAAAATATTTCTGACAAACAAATACTTATACGAATAAAATGATATTACATATTGAGAACTATTGTCCAGATTCTTGTGTGAAGTGTAAAATATGTTATGAACACTTTTTTTTTATGAAGTTTATTGTTTAAACAGATAATGGTAAAAAATATACATAGTTTTCAAATGAAGCATTAAAAAGTTAATTCTTTATGATAAAAAACAAAGTCGGTTTTAACTCAGTAGAAATGTGTATCGGGTATACATACAAAACTGCAGATAATTGCATTATAATGTAAATCAGTCGCATGAATCAGGATTTTGATAAGAAATTCAATTAACAAAACTGACCTGGGTAGAATCATGCCCTTTTCGATTATTATTAATTTTTTTCTACCATTTATTGATCAATTTTAGGGATGATATGATAGACGGATGCATTTATGCAGCAACCAGAGATTCCACACTTTCGTATGTAATTGTCCCCTTTTGTTTGCTTTGTGCAACAGGTGTGGTTTATTTGATTTTATTCCCGGGCTCACGATGCTATTTTTATCATTGCATCGTGCGTGTTGGTACGTGTTAACTCCCATGTTTTCGGGCTCAAAAATGCATCATGCCAATTATAGGTGGAGCTGGCTGTCCAATTGTGACATCATGGAAACCTCAGTTTAAAATTTAAAAGAAAGGATTTAATTTACAGATCATAAATGTTCTTATTCCCTTCTGTATTTTGCATAGAAATGATCAATAATGCTAATCAAAATGTTAATGAAAAGGCTGAAGCGCATGACAGAATCTGTGTTTCTCTTTTGGTTTCGGGGAACAATACAATTCCGACACAGTGAGTGATTCCATTGTTCTGTTGTTATTCACGTGAAGTTTCTTTGGAAGGCACAGTTCTGAACAGATGTTGTCGTCAGTGACGAATGAAAATAATGTATCAGTGATGATCATTTCTGTGAAAGAGAGGCGTTGGTAGTATGTGCGTTAGCAGTGAGAAGAACTTAGGAAAAATCGAGAAATAGGAAACGTCGTTGGAATATACCACGATAGCTGGACGAGATTATGTTGACGTGCTCGTATCTAGTCCGTTCAAGAGCAGAAAACAAGATTTTCTGAAGCGCTTGGATGATGTCATCGAGCAATTGAAATGCCTTTGTCCGTACCATTCTGTGGAATTCTAGTATCATGAAAGTTGATAATGTCTAGCCTGCCGAGTTTTAGTTGATGCCTATGTGCCAACTTGTTGGTCCAGTTTGGAAACATTTACCATTCGCCCTGTATCAACAAACGAGAAGGAATATGCAGGCGTTGCAACTTGGAAGTAAAAAAGAAGAAGAGGAAACTCCAATCTTTACAAGACTTTGTACAGTGTTATTTAATTTTTAATGGCATAAAGTGTGAAGTGAAAAACGAGGAAATCAGCTGATCTGAGGAAAAGTTGTATGCCTGAATATGCGACAGTTAAGCCTCTGAAAGTTTTCGGTTGTTTATGGGACATTTGTGACTTAACATATTTGCTATTTTTGAGTTTTTCTTTGTGGTAGGATTGCAGTTGTAAGTTTGAATGCTTGAGGCATCCATTATATATAAAAAAAGGATACCTGTTATTTAGTAAAAACATTATCAAATGGGATGAAAATGATGAAATGTTTTGAAAATGACATGAGCATGACAAGACATCAAGGATGGTGCTTTTATCGAAGCCTGCGTTTGTTCGATGACGTTGCAAACTTGGCCAAAATGCTGATGTTTCTGGCCGTAGCTTTCAGTCTGGTCGCTCGTCCCGCCGACACGCAGTTGCAGCGGCAGTATGTGTCGTCCCAACCGGTCAATCTACGCCTGCTTTACGCCCAAGACATGGCAACGGTTGCCGTGACACCTGAGGATGCCACCTGTGGGATGCAGGGGTCGCAGCAAATTTGCTCCTTGGTGAGTTTTTGGTAAAACTTGTAAAGTTGAAAATGGTATCATGAAAGTTTCAAGTTGCAAAATATCAAGCGAATTAGTTCCTTCTTTTATTTCTTCGACCGAGTTCTTATTTTCATTCATTCAAAATTGAAATAAAAATGTAAGGTAGATGAATACAATTTCAGCCGTCAGAAATTGTAAGATTTGTAACTTGTGTTGCATCAGTTGGTACTGTTGTTTGCTATTTATTTGCTTTGTAATGTGATATGAGTGCAACATGTCACTTGAAGTACATATCAAGAAATAGGTCTTTAAAGTGCTTTCCAAAGCGTTTTCTGTACAATACAGTTTCTGAAAGAGCAGTAAAGTTCTGTACCTTCAAGAGTAGTATTTGCCAAAGCTCTAATTGAGGATTTTGTAAATATAATTTTATTAGTTCCAAGTTTCTTCAAGTAATAAAACCTGTTTCCATTTCTTGAAATTGAACAGGTTTTGTTCTCAAATTAATTGATTGAATGTTCATTGGTTTGCATTTGCAACATTACTCAGGAGTCTATATCTTCCGAACGCAGGTTGACCCCAGGATTTGTCAGAACTGTCTGGCATCGGACCCACGCATCTCCCACCTGCCAGAACTTATCTTAGACCCTAGCAACAGCACCTATTGGCAGTCTTCACCCTGGGGAGATGCCTACCCGTCTCCCTTCGTCGTCAACGTCACCGTATCACTGCTCAACAAGATGTACATCCTTGAAGGTGACGTCACTGTGAGATTCCGGACTTCGGCGCCGGAGGCAATGGTTCTGCAGAAATCACGGGACGGAGGGGTGACGTGGACGGCATACCAGTTCTTCTCCATCGACTGCGTGGCCGATTTCAGCATGGAGGAAACAAACTCGGTTTCCGTCATCGCAGACGTCTTAGCGCCCTCGTGCGTCAAACCTAGTGGATCGGACGCTGAACCCGGGGTTTACATGATCAAGTTCGACCTGACCGGGAAGTTGAACCCGCTGATCGAAAACAAAGAATCCTTCTATTCTGAGCTTGAGAAGCACGGACCTCTCTGGGAGTTTTTGACCTTGACAGACTTGAGGCTGGTGCTGATGCGGCCGGCAAGCTCTCTGAGTGGTGGGGCTAGTAACGGAGCCAAGCTGCATTATGGGATTTATAGCATCGATGCCGCTTTGAGGTAATGTGATTTACATTTGATTGGCTAGCTAATTTGAATTCAAATAATAATTATATGTAATGCTATCTTGTCAAGTAGCCTTCCAAAGTAGCATTACAATTGCACTTTGGTCTGCCTTTATATACACTTTTTAATTCTTTATCACCTCAGAGCTTATGTATAGTAGTTCGTGATGATGTCTGCTAGATGAGGATGTGACGTTGTGTTTAATTTTGTGAACATTTTTAGCAAATATTTTAAGTAAGTAAAAAAAAAGAGAGAAAAAAAGAAAAAGTTACTTTTCCCTCGCATCCATTCACTTTTGTGAGAACTTGAATCTCTTTCTATTGTGTGATCTTTTTATTTGACGTAGGTTCCTTTTCTATAATCTGGGCTTCATTTTTAACGTTTTTTTTTTCTTTTAAACATTGACAGGTGTAAACTTCACATCCTTACTGCTACATATCATGAGATAGATTTTCATAAACACTGTCAAACAATGGACACTAATTGAGTTGGAAAAGAAATTGGAGCAAGTTCTAAATTTCTTTTTGATAAGACGGGTGTTATTTTTTTAACACAGCAATCTTTTTCAGAGGTACATGTCTTTTTGTTCTTTAAGATAGTTCTGCTTCGATCCCCTTTCCATAAATATACACTTAATCTTAAGAAGCAAGCAGAAAACGTTCAGCTTTTTACCTGAAAATATTTTACCTTTTTAACAATCTTTAGTTGTGACTGCAACCTGCATGGGAGGTATTGTGAATTGGACAATTCAACCAGCCAAGTCCATTGCAACTGCACTCACAACACTGAAGGAGTGAGCTGCGAGCGGTGTCAGGCAGGGTACCAGGCATTGCCGTGGCAACCAGGGTCTAATCTGCCCTTCCCCGTGGGAACAGCCAATGAGTGTCAAGGTGAGATAACTTTTGACCAATCAGAAAATTAAGCAGATTGGTACATCACCAACACAGAAGGTAGTTTAAAGAGAATATACAACATTTGCTTTTGCTGTAATTTTCAGAAATGGATGGATTTGGCGGTCAGTATTTTGTAGCAGAGTTTGTTACACTGACCCTTTTAAAGTTTTGTGTTCATACATGTGAAGATGCTGAAAAAAAAACAAGAAAAAAATAATGTTCTTGTAGTTTGGTTTTCTGACCATACTTCAGATGAATCGAAGCAATTTATAGACATCAGGGAATTGTCAGGTCTGGGAACCAGACTAGATTGCTGGCACCCGTTCGTTACCTGGCTTGCAACTGTAACCGATTGCAAGCAAAATGTTGACTAATAAATTTGGTAAATTTGGGGCAGTATTTGAAAAAAAGTGTGTTTTTTCCAATGATGGTTGGCTGACATCGTTGAAAATTGATACAAAAATTCCACTTTGTTATAATTAGGTATGTTTCAAATTAGGTTTTGCCCTTCACCGACGTTTTTTAACACTGTATACTCAGTGTGTTACCTCCCGAGTGAAAGTTGGAAATAATAGTTTATAATAGTTTATGCGGTACCCGCTGCTATGTACATCAGATTCGAACCGGCCAACCGATCCCGTTAGCTTGGTGGTCGAGTGGTAAGACATCTGTACTAGAAAGCAGGAGGTCGTGGGTTCGAGTCCCACCCGAGTGATTTTTTCCAACTTTCACTCGGGAGGTAACACACTGAGTATACAGTGTTAAAAAACGTCGGTGAAGGGCAAAACCTAATTTGATTTATATCACCCCGACGCAAAATTCAATCTTATTATTAGGTATGTTATTATTCCAATATGTCACATGATATCAATTAACCCGTGGACATTTTCACTAGAAAAGATTGTCTGTCTAATTTTGTACAGCGTTCTTTAACTTTATAAGCTAATGTGTAAATGCGATGCAACATTGTCAAAATCAAATGCATTCATCCTCTGCAAACAGTGATGGCAGTGTTGTCCGGTTCCTGCCCACACAACAACTTCACTGTCAACCCAAAACACCCCTCTGTCGTGAATAGAACAGCCCCAGGCTGCAGCAGCATGTAATAATGATGGTATTACATACCAGGCAAAATAACGTCAATGGTCAATTAGCATAAGAATGGCCCACTTTTTTGTTGGTGTGCAACAGGCTGTTTGATCGTTGGATAAATGGACAGGCAGTATAGCCGGCCTGCTAGCAGTGGTGTACAAGTTGCTCTTGCATGTGGGCAGAGGAATGTTAGAGTGTTGTTTTGTTGTTGGACCATGGTTGAACCAACCTTTATTTACTCTTCAATGGCCTTTTCTCTCGTCAAAGAACTGAAAAATGGCTGTCTCTGACTCATTGTACTTTGAAGAGTTACTGGTGTAAAAAGTCTCTCCACTTGTGGTTCAGTGCAACAAATTTCATGAGTTGTTCTAATGGATCTTTGAGGAAACTTGCAGTGATGCTTGGTGGTGATAAGTTTTCCAATGTGGTTTCTTTTATTTGGATTCATACGTGCGTAACTCTTGTCCATGGATGACTGGATTGACTTGACAGTCTACCAGTGTGTGTGTTAACATTCAGCGACAATCAACACCGTATGTTGTGATTGTTGATTGCGTACATACTTCCTGTTCGGAATTGTCACCGATGGCGTCGGGGAGGATTTTTTGTGGCGTGACGTATTTCTCTGTGGGGCTGGTAGCGGCTTTGGTTTTTGTACAACTTCTGCAGCCGGTCAGGACGCAGAACTCCACTACGTTGACCATGTCTACTATGCCTACCACGTCTACCATGCCTACAACGTCTGCCACGTCTGCCATGTCTACCATGTCTACCATGTCAACATCGACAGGTATGGTTTTGATTTAGTCTGAAAATTTGGGACTCTCAATACTGTGTATGAGAGTCCCAAAACTTAAGGTATTGAAAACATTCGATACAAGAAAATAGACTGGCACTTCAAACAACCAGTCCAACACCGCTTCAGGATCAGTCAACTGTGCCAAAGGAAATGTAGAATGAACTGGGAAGTAGTCTCTTTTTACTACATATTTCTCAATAGTCAGCCACCAGACTAATTTCACTGAATGAAGAGGTCAGTCTTTTCAAACAGTTGGACCGTGGTTGGACATAAGCCAGTCTAGTCTTTAACCTCATTTTTAAATCACTTGACTTCCCTCTTACGTGCAAAATATTGAAGAAATGCCTCCTTTAAAAATTGAATTGAGTCTTTAAACTTGGTTGGTGGAGTACTGAGGACCTTTACTTTGCCCATTGCAAATTTTGGAGAAATTTGCTGGCAAAAGAGTGAGTATAAAGTTGGCCTGATCATGGAGGTAGGAATAGAGTTGCATGTTTCAGAGCACTCCTGGTCTCGACATTTCTGAACTTGATATTCCTGAAGTCTATGGGTTAAATCGCCAGATTTTAAGCCAGTTAAATTTTCATGACATGACTTTTTATGCTTATAAATAGGCCAAGTAAACAATAAACCAGTTTCTTGTCCCCGCCCGCTTCTTTTTTTTCCCGGCCGATTTTTTATTATTGTATTTTTTTTTTTAAATGCATACATTTGCAATATATTTTGCAGTTGGTCAATATTCTGTCTTTTTGTTTGTTTCCAACAAAATTGTAGCTATTATTAAGGGTTACGGCTCCTTTGGACACAATTTTGTATCAGCAAAATAGTTGACAAAATTGAAGAATCCATATGCCATCTTGGAAAATCCTCCATCTTAAATAGTTTTCAACTTTGTAATAATTTGACAGATTTCGCAAGGGAATGAAGGGAAAGATTTCCATATACGAAGTTCACTAATTTTCCTCTGTATTGACTAACAAGCCCCCAGATAGCAATTTCATGTCATCAAAGTCAATTTGAGCAGTGAGAAAATACAAGCATTTTCTTAGAAAACACTTAGAATTGTTCAGTCCAATCTCATAGGGTTTGTACACAGGGTGTTGAGTGAACTTCGTATATGGAAATCTTTCCGAATGAAGTGATGCAGTCTGTAATGACGGTCAGGGATACATTTTTGCGTACTGAAATGATTGAATTCAGTGACACCATAAGGATACTACCTTGTTTACTAGGGACAAATATGAGAGGGATCACAATTTCTTAAGGATTTTTGAACAAGGACTATTGAGATATAAAAGCTGTTTAAAAATAATGCTGTACCAACATACATCATTATTTATTGCATGTAATTCATTGGTCATACGTGTAAATGTATTACAATTAGTAGTGATTGTATCTTTATCATATTCTGCATTTGCGCATAATGCTGAAAAAAAAAACTTGGTTGTAGATTTTGAAGGATGGAAATTGTTCTATAATGCTTCCTTTTTTGTTTGTTTTCATTCTCCCTCCAGTGTTAAAGTATTTAAACTATTTAATTATGTACAGATACAACCCACGCTGGTTAAATGCACCATAAACAAACTGAACGAAACACTACCAGCACAAGTAACAGAATAAAACAGTGCCGTAAAATGTGTGATGATAAAACTTGCATTCCTGCATTCTAGAAATGCCATATTTTGATTTTCCCAATTGCTCAACAACACATGATAACAAAATATGCTTGGTATCTTTGTTATATTAGGGCAGTTCAATGACAATAATGTGGACATGGCTGAAAAAACGAGAAATTTATGAAATCTCAAAATTACAAGCACCATACAGTATGTAAGGCCAAAAAAAAAAAAAAATCGGTCTCTGGTCAGACCAACGTTTCGGAATTGATGCGGCGACGCGGCTTTTTTTTTTTTTTTCAAGCTTGGATTGTACAGACAAGGTGGGTACTATTTTGCTTTTTTTGGTGTCCTTATGTACATTGTACATTCGTGTCCTCCATAATTTGCCTTGGTGCTTTCGATCATTTGCCTTGGTGCAATTTCCCATTCCTTGGTGCCCTTTGGTAAAAAAAAATTGAGGAGGTGCGGCAATAGAGGGCGCTGTTGGAGCTACCGCGGAACATTTTGGGAAAAAAAAGATTCATGCGCATGGTTAAAATCGACGCGCGCGCTGACCAGAGACCGACTATTTTTTTTTTTGGCCTAACATCAAAGGTGGTATCAAACTAAAGAAAATTATGGTGACCTTTTTTGTGTGAGAAAAATCCTCCCTCAATACTTTGACGGAAGACCCCTCTGTAAAAGGCTCCAAATGTAACGTGGAATTGACCATTACATGTAAATAGTATGTACATGTTATTAAAGTTCATTTTAATTTTCATCAAACACATGTATTATTAAGGCTATTCAAAGCCTACTTAATACCAAAGCTAAATATGTGCCACAGATTATTGGTTGGCAATAGATCAAAATCAACTTAACGTTACAAAAATTGATATTTTTTTTTATTACCATAATCCTACAGCAAATTCTGTTTTGAAACGTTGAGCTCAATAAATGCGGTCGAATCCTGATAAGAAGAGCACTGTAAATATAACATCCTGCTTAAAATATTAGGTCCCAAGTCTTTGGTTTTTCTTTCTTTTCCATTACTGATAATACAGGGTACCTTTTATAATAAGGTACTTTGTATTAAAAGTCCTAAGGACCTTGTTATGAAGGTGTTTGACTGTAAACCCAGTTCACCTTCCTCATATGTTACAGTTGACATCCAACTGAAAGTTGAGGAACACGTGTTCCAGATCAACACCTTTCCCACCAAATTGACAAACTATCACAAACTACATGCAAGGGCGGACCCGAGATGAATAACTGGATTTACCATTGAATTCTACCAAATCAGCTTTTTAATTGACATCAAATCTGTAACAAGACTTGTCTGGTCGAGCCAAAATCTCTAAGCCAGAAACCCTTCAAATTTTCTATTGAGATCTTCCCAAATCCAGCAGAATCTAACAACAGAACAGCATGAATAAGCCTGCAGAATCGAACAGAACCCAACAGAAATTGCCTACAATTGGATTTTTGGTTGTAGCATGAAGGTCCATACATCTTGAACCATCTCAAAATGATTAGCAAAATTTTCATCGAATTCTGTACTGCCCACACGTTGCATATATACATTAACAGATCATGTTACTCGTTCAGAAATAAAATACACCGATAGGTATTTCTCCCTACGTGTGTACAGGCCATGCAATAAATCGTGCAACGTTTTGCAATATTTAATTACATCGTTGGGGAAGTAATGAGCAAGGAAATTACCTTGCAGTTGGACCATTCAACAAGTGTACAGTTTTAATTTAGAGATTGGACTGTGTATTTAACAACAAATATTGACACCTACATGTACGTTGTAAAGTCTTCACTGGCTTTTATTTTCAATTTTATGGTGAATATCTTCTTCTTTTTTAAATCTGATAAATATTGTATTTAAATAAAATTGAAAAGTCCCGGCCGGATGACTTTTCTGTGATTTTTTTTTAGTTTCTTTGTTTTATTTCATGTGGATTTTTCCTTAATCCCATTTGTATAATTTTTTTGGACGCTAACTCCATGGACATTTTTTATCAAGAAATTTCCTAAATCTATCAATATATAATGTTGTGCATATATTTCCTTGAAGTATATGTAGTATAACAACCTTTCAGCATTTCAGTATTAAGTCACATGTTAAGTGATTGGTTTGTAATCTGAATCCTTGAAATCTGGTACATGTATACATGTACAATGGAGGAACAATTATGGGAAGAAATTCTTTAAAAAAAAATTATTAATTTTTTTTTTTTAAACAGGGCCCCCACAGGAAACAGTTGTTGACTTCTGATGGGGCTACCCTGTTCAAAAACAAAATGTTAAATATAAAAAATGTAACAAAAATGGAGATTTCTGCAAAAATTTGAAATCTTGTCAATCAACGGCATGAGAATAATATGGGTTTTCCTACACATACCACTGATGCCTGCAACTTATACCAATGATCTTTACATGTACAGTCCTTCTAACATCTGTCCATATTTCTACATATTCGTGGAAAAATAAATCATTAGTACTTATCCGCCAGCGATTCTCATACCATACCAGCATTTTTTTTGTATACAGTGGACAGATTATAAAAAGCAAACAAGTTGTAATTGATTCTTTACGTACATTTGTAAAGCAAGCAGTGGTGAAAGGTTGTCATTATATTTTGAAGACTTGATTCAATGTTTTTTTAAATATTCTGACTGTTACAATAAAATGCTGGTATATGGTATGAGAATCGCTGGCGTATAAGTAATAATGATTTATTTTTCCACGAATATGTAGAAATTGGGAGAATTTAAAGTAGTCTCAAACTTTCCAGATAGTATAGTAATTTCATAAAACCTGTTCAAAATATTTGGGTTTTGGAAGACTTAAAATTATGGCTGTACAAAGAAATTCCACTTTGCGCAATGTTTGATATTTCTAACACCAAAATTTTGAGCGCCATGAAGTTGAGATGGTGGGTGGATTATGCTTATCACCAAGGAAACCTGAATTCTCATTGCTGATTGGCCACTCCCATAGCAACAGGACATAAATGAGAAATTTGAAAATGAGAAACATTTAGAAGCAAATTCTACATGTTGGAACTTGGAACTCACAAAGAATGGATACATTGTTAATAATAATAATAATGATAATAATTACGGGAAATGATTCATTTGGGAGACATTCCCATAGACATGTGCACAAAATTTGTCAAACTTAAATGTGCCCTAACCCAATATTCCCTTGTCCTTTTTCCACAAATTTTGGTATGTTTACTAATAAGACCACGAGCAACAAATAACCTAATTGTGACAATAAAATTGTGCCTCTAGGGGGCTGTGACATTAGGGAGACATGAAAATGTTTCCTTAACCCTTACCCTACTAGACCCTCCAACGCATGCCAATATGTGCCTCAAGAAAATCTCCTATGTTTTTTGCACGGCCCTCCAATATCTGCCATGTCATTTCAAGGGTAACTGGACAGGCACTCCAATACATGCCACAGAGAACAATGAGAGTCCTCTGATAACAAAGTGAGTGCCCCCAGCTGGTCAGTATCAGGCACCCTCCAGGGCCTCCAACTCCTGCCAATTGGAGCCTTCACTGTTAAGACAAACTATCTGCCAATAAACTGCAGCTGGAGGGCATTGGCATAACCAACTGACATGCAGTAAACTACCCTCAGAGAGTAAGGGTTAATGACCAATGTCTCCCACCATTCGAAGAAATTACGATACTGTGTCTCCTTAATGGTACATTTAGTCATATAGCGCTTTTAACTAAGACCAAAGTGCTTTACATTATTTTTACCCCCTGATCATGGGCCCAATTAAACATTCCAAATACCGTTTCAGCTATCTGGGGAGTATACAGCTCGATGCTGCCTGTTAGGCACAAGGAAGCTAGAATCAATCACAAGCAATAACCATCTCTGCCCTCACACTACCCATTTACTCATGGTCGGGAGAAGCAATGAATGACAAAGTGCCTTGCCCAAGGGCACACGCACCATGACCCCAGGCTGGACTTGAACCCACAACCTGCAGAATTCTCCGCAGACCATGAACTCAATGCCCCAGACCACGAGGCCACGGCACTCCACTTGTTGGATTTAATTGCGTTTTTTTACAATTTTTTTATTTGTAGAAACTCCAGTGCCAACTCAGGAACCTAGCGATACCAGCCGACCCATAACCACCGCGACAAATCCCCCGACAGATCCGGCCACAGATGGAGTCACAGACCCAGCGAACAACACATTGACAGATTCAGAAACTGCTGCAGTGACAGACCCAGTGAATAAGACGGTGACAGACCCCGTGAGGGAACCAGTGACGGGCACGATGGGACCCACGTTGGATCCTCGGCCCTGCATACCGGATCCGTGCCAAGGGAACGGAGAGTGCATCCTGGAGAATTCTGCTGCCGGTTACAGATGTAGTTGTAATAATGGATTTGCAGGTACTTACACACGTGCATCAAATTTACAAGGCATAGACCATTATCATGTTGCGGCCATTTACCCATTTTTCCCATTTACCAATAACCAAAGCGAGGCTGGAAGGAAAAATAGTCCGGTACCTGTTTGCACAAAAACGGCATTATCATTCAGTACTGTTACTGAATACAGGGAACATTACTAAAATGGTGGCAGCCTGATAAGGCCAAAAAAAAAAAGTCTCCGGTTTCTGGTATGCGCGCGCGTCGCTGTAGCCATGCGCGTCGGCAAAATGAAAAAGTTTTTTTTTCAATGAAAGATGATGCCTCAAAACCGCCAAACTCACTGGTTTGACTGGAATTCTGCTGCTGCGCAATTTCAACGTGTTTTTAGATTGGGTTATGATCGAGAATAAGCTTTATGTGGCCTCTCTGGACTCCCATATATTTGCACTAAGTTTAGTAGGGCACCATTTGCAGTCACCAGCCGACATTTGAAGCAAAAAAGTCAGGTAAAAAAAAAAAAGTCAGGTAAAAAAAAAAAAAAAGCCGCGTCGCCGCACCACTTTTTGGACAAGCTCCATACCAGAAACCGGAGCCTTTTTTTTTTTGGCCTAAAGGTCTATTATCCGTAAATCCAAACCCCTCTGCCTGTTACTCCCTAACCTGACCAAAATTGTCCAAAAGCCATCACTGAATGTTTTGTGGATTTGAGGAATGAATATAATATACATGTAATACCTTGTAAATACAGACAGAAATAATGGATAAAGATGGGTGTCAGCTGGGTGGGCAAGGGGGGGGGCGCTTGCCCCGCCTCTGGAAAACGAAAAAAAGAAAGGAAAAAGGAAAAAAAAAAGGAAAAAGGAAAAAAAAAAGGAAAAAGAGGTGCGAAGCCATATTGCTGTTAATTTGATGGGGGTGGGGGGTAGGGCAAATGCTGCCATCCTCACGCTCGGAAAAATGATAAACTGAGAATATAATGAAAAGTTAAGGAATTTTGGGGAAAAAATTGCTTTGCCCCCCCCCCCCCCCTGGAAAACATCCTGGCGACACCCATGTTTATAAAAATATGGAGTTTGTGTGAAATATTACCATTTATTTTAAAGATGTGAATGCGATGTTCATGCGCATAATTCTCTCTACAAGTGTGGCAGTCAAAACATAATTTATCATGTGTTTTGCGCTTGTCACCCAAATGTGAACATTTTAGCACTGAAATAAAAATGCTATATTATCCCCTCCCTTCATATAATTAAAGGTTTTAACTCCATTTTTTTTCTGTTTGATTAGCTAAAAAGCAGCGGTTGATCTCTTTATTAAAAAGGCTCAAATCTACCCTACTGAAGTTAAGCTTAAGACTTTTATTCAGCCAATGTAAAAAGTGAAAACAAAATGACATCAGAAATTGATTTGTTCTCGAGCTCTCTAAGAAAAGATAAAATAACGAATAATAATTACTGAATACACAGTTCAAAATGGATGACTACATGTATGTGATTGCGCTGATTTATTCTCAGACAAAAATGTATTAATTAGAATTTTTTTTGTAATTCTTTTTCAGGGTATGCCTGCGAAATAAACTTGAATCCTTGCCTGAGTAATCCGTGCGATGAAATTGAGACCACCTGCATCAGTGACTATTACAACCATTATCGCTGCGCACCATGGGCTGAGTTGAACGGCACCGAGCCATCCTTCATCACCACGGCAGTATCCATGGTGAGTTATGAAAGGTCGTGTTTGTTTCACAATACTTGTAATGGAGTCAGCCAGTTTTGTATTTAAACTGTGCAAGCTGATACCAAGAGTTGCCAATTGTGGCTTTCCAAAGGAAAATTGAAGGAGATAAATGTGAAAAAAAGCTTAAGGGGGTGATGACCAAATCTACAATCTGAATTTTTTTCATGACCAAATCTACAATCTGAATTTTTTCATGCAATTAAATGTGGTCCAGCATGGTAGCCTTAGCATAAATTATAGTTGTCCATCAATGTACCCAAACAGCTTGGCCATCCATTACCTTGTTTTTGTGGTTCATAAGAGAGCGTTTTCAAAGCAAATCGCCGTCATCCACGAACCGCTTATCACAACAACATTTTGAGAAGTTTGTAGAGGATGTGTCATGTGCAGGCGCAGTTCTAGAGCCTATATTCTTGGGGGAGGCTAGCAGGGGTGGATCCAAACATTTATGCAGGGAGGCATGCTGAAATGTAGACCGTATTTTCAATTGGTAGCGCTGACAAAATCCTACAATAATGCACACTATATAACCTAATAGTGTACAAATGCCCCCTTCTCACGACTATTTTTTTTTGGGGGGGGGGACCGTTCGCATGTGACGTCACCTTCTAATATTTGCTACTGACATTTTTTTTATGGATTTTTGTGCAACTTCATGGCAGCTCTTTTATAGTACATGTGCGACTGAAAATGGACCGTATTTGCATGTGGAAGTTGCATATGGGTACTAGTTTCCTCCACTCTTCAGCATGTTCAGGGGGACATTTTAACAAGATTCCCAAGACGTTATTGTGACACCAGTTCGTGGATGATAGTGATTCCTTGTGATAACGCCCTCGCGTATCCAAATATACAACAACAATGTCTAAATGACCCAAGACTAGCCTTTCTAATTGTAAAAGCTCATTGAAGGCCCCTCCAGAAAGCAGGGCCCCAAAGTATCCCCCTGCAAATTGTACCCATCTGTTATGCCACTGTCCTAAAGAAACCCCACAAAAACCTCTTATTTACATGCTTGAAAAAACCCAAACTCCTGCAGCACTTTGGGGACAATCTCAGTCCTTTTACTCTCTTGAAGGCTACGCATGCATTAAATCCTCAGCTAGGAAATCGTGCATTCCGTAAACATACAATTGAAGTCTTGGGGCGCCACACTGGTGAAAAGAAGTTAACTGTAAGCTTGGGTATTGAAAAGCTAACAATTGGTGTTCTGTGTGCAGGAATTTATCTTGTGTTGGTAAAGGAAAGAGTTATTTGTTAAGAAAAGGAACATGTACATGTAGGTGCAAGAAGTAGTGTAAGGTGTACTGACAGTATAAGATCTAGTGCTAAAATATTGAGTTGTTAGAAGGTTGAATGCAGACCTGTGCACATTATTTGTTTTGTTCCAAAGGTAGGAGCTACATGTATGTTTATTTACATGTATTTTAATGTAACAGATTGTGTATGCATGTCTTCTAACCACTGCCAAATCATGCAAGAATTTCTTGTGTGTTTTCACATGTTTCAGGGTTGTCGCTTACTGTCATTTGTTATGTTTACCATTCATGACTGGTGGTAGGCCTACTACTAAGTCATCAAAGTTTTGTTTATGAAGAGATGAATTTCCTATCCTTACCGCATTAAATTTTTCTATCTATTTATTTGTGCAGATTATCTTTTTTTGATTATCAGTTGATCTTGAGTTTGGTTGTGATATGTTGTGTTGCTAAATGTGCGTTTTGAAGCTATGTGAAGTTCAGGATCATGTTTCGCAAAAAGACATTGGCACTGTGCTCATAGTGCGCAGGCGTAATTACAATCAAAAATCAAATACTGGTCAACTACGTATTAGAGTCAAAAAGACTGAATCATATATTTTGAACACAGGCATTGTTGAAACTCGAATTCAAATGCCAGAATTCATTGCCAGAAACAAATAACAATAAGTAATGTGTTTCGTTTCCTTCCAGGATACCTGGCTGACCGGTTCAACCATAGGCATCATCGTCGGCCTGTGCATCGCCACACCGCTCTTCGTTCTGTGGATCGTCCTCATAGTCTGGTGGACGACCTGGCGCAAGCTGCACGCGGACGACCAGAAGAAGTACAGCATCCAGTACGCTGAGGAAGCTGCCAACAAGTACAGCAACAACAAGGTAGGCGTAGAAAGCACCCCGCAACAAAGTAAATTCAGAAGAGGAGACGTGTTGGGTTTACGAACTCTTGGCTTCGCTCTGGCTTCGGTTTCAGGCTCAAGCTTCATGATTATAGTCCCCTAGCTGAATTTTCTTCATCTTCCTTGCAAGTGCTGCCTTCATGTGGTTGCAGATAAACGCACTACCAGAAACACCGGGGCAAACCCCTTCTCTTAGCTATTACTGGATTCTGTTACGTGCATTACACAACGCACGGGACCTACGGCCTTACGTCCCATCCGAAGGACGAAGCAATAATGGTTAAGTGTCTTGCTTAAGGACACAAGTGTCAAGACCGGGACTTGAGCCCACACTCTGCTGATCAGAAACACCAGAGCTTTAACATGCTAAAAACACTGGCTAGTGCCAGTGGGTTTTCAGCAAAGTTTTGGATTTTTGCTGGATTGAGGAATATTCCAAAAAAAATTTGGTTCAAATACAAAACTCCATTCTTGATCACATTTCAGTTCTATAATAATAGAAATGTACCACAATTATTAATTTTACCCTCAGTATAAAATGGGCAATGCTAAGTCTTGGCTGGTGCCGGACGGCCGCAGCTCGATGCGCGCCCACAAGATGCGAGATCGCTGGCTGATTCACGAGTCGCAGGTGGAGCTGGGCAAGCTGATCTACAGCGGAGAGTTTGCCTACATCTGCGAGGGCATGTACAAGAGCAAAGAGCGAGATGCCCCTGATAAAGTGGTGGTGAAGCTCCTACGAGGTACATAAATAACTGAACAAATAAAACAAACATTGTTCGGGGGGCAGGGCTTATTGTCCTTACTTGCAGCAGAAGCTGTGAAGTGCAAAGGACGCAGTTTCAGCATGGTCGAGCCGAAGGCATGTAACGGCACCTTATGCAGCCGCCATACGACCCATGTCTTACCACTAGAGTGAATACCACTATAGTTCACTCTTACCACTACAGTGAACTGGCTCCCAGTCGCTCAACACATTGAATTTTGCACACTCGTCCATGCCTACAATTCTCTAAATCACCGTGCTTCTGACTACATGTACCTATCCTCTCTCCTATACAATCCATGAATGTTCATACTCCCTTCGTAGTTCCGATGCCATATCCCTTGTGGTTGACAAGTCTCACAAAAAGTCTGGTGACAGCAATTTTCCATTGCTCCCTCCCGTTTATGGAATGCTCTGCCTGTCTCCATCAGAAACACTGAGTCTGTTCTATCCTTCAAGAAAAGACTCAAGACCCACCTCTTCCGCAAACAGTAGCTGGTTTTCCTCATCCTTTCATAATTTGTTCCCTTCTAGCGCCTTGCATCCTTTGGTAATTTGGCGCTATATAAATCCAGTTATTATTATTATTATAATAAATATACCTAATCTTCGACTATTTGAATGTTTGATCATCAACAGAATATTCAAATAGCTTTTTGCCGTTTTTTTTAATCATAATATTGTGGCGCTTTATAGTCAGATGCAACTTTTTAGTCGACCGTAACTTTTTGGTCGACTTCGCGTCATTGTGCCCATCCTTTTAGCAGGTTAAAGCCCTTTACAGTCACAAAATGTTTAACTGAAATAACACTCCAACGGCAAATTATATCGATTGCCGATTGGCCTGCTTTGCGTGCAGCTTTTGACTGGCGTGGCAATCAGTTGCAGCTGGCACGTACAAAACCTGATCGGCGAGTTTTGAATATTCGGTCAAACGCAGTTTCGAATAGTTGAATACTAACTTATTCGGGAATGAATAGCTCTATGTACCATGCACCACAGCCAGATTGCAAGTGTTGATTTTTTTGTGGAGGGAGGAAAACCGGAGAACCCAGAGAAAAACTTGTTGACACAGGAGAGAAGCAACCAACAACTCTACTGACATTTATGACCCGAGCCGGTAATCGAACCCAGGCCACATTAGTGAGAGGCGAGCGCTTTATGCGCTGCACCGTGCCGCGTTTGTTGCCCTTTGGTGCCAGAGCTTTTAAAGTCCCCACCGGTCAATCACAAGTCAGTCAGTCTCATTAACAAATTCTGATGAACTGTGGCAAAGGCATTCCTTTGTTATTGTTCATCGTCTAGTACTTGTAGCATTACAGTTTTGAGATGTAAAAGAAAGATATTCATATAGTTTTAAATTTAAATTTTTGTTTGGTGGTAAATTTGCAGATGAGAAAGATGACGAGTCACTGAATGAGCTAAAGAATGAGTTTGAGGTGCTTGCCTGCATGGGGCGTCACCCCAACGTTGTCTGGCTGCAGGGCATGTGCACTAGGGTGCTGGAAGAATCAAGTGAGTCTAGCCATCTTTATTAAAATACATAAATTGCAGAATCATCATTTTTTATCATCAATTTCAGCCAATTTTCTTTAATAAATATCAATTTTTGTCTGTCTAGCATTCTAATTTTTCTAGCTTTCCCTAGATTTTTTTCTCATGATGCCTAATGTTTCCATTGGTGTAAATATTGCTTTCATCATTATTATTGAGTAATTTAAAAAAGAATTTTGCCCCCTCCCCCCAAAACCCCCATTGAGAATGACAACAAAAGTTGTGGGAAATGAAAACTAGTATATATATGAGTAAGAGTTGAGGCATTGCATGGTGGAGATACTTAATAAAGAAAGGTTTGCGGAAACACCATGTGCAAAATTTCTCAACTAAGAGAATGGTTCTGAAAAGAACCAGAGGTATAAACTCAACGATGCGGTCAGTATGCTCTGACCGTCTTCAGGAAGACGGTCAGAGCATACTGACCGGAACATCGAGTTTATACCTCTGGTTCTTTTCAGAACCATTCTCTTAGTTGAGAAGTTATTTGCACATGGTGTTTCCGCAAACCTTTCATTATTTAGTATATATATTGACAAATCTCGGTTCATCATAGACATTTAGAGAACAGTTCTGCACAAATCACATTTTGCTTGAAACATTCCACAAACCCATGCATATCTGTTTTTATCCGTTTGTGTATTACCAGCTCAGACGTGTCTAATCAACGAGTACGTGGCTCGTGGCGACATGCTTCGCATCTTGCGTCGCGGACGGTGTCGGCGAAGGGACCAGCCTCCCTTCTCCCCGACGCCTGTGGACGAACTGATGAGCTTTGCCTGCGATATCGCGCAGGGCATGAGACACATCACGCTACTTAGGGTGAGAACCAGCTGACTATAATTTTTTTTGGGGTGTTGCTACTCAGTGTCTTTTTAGTGGGTTTGCACACTTTCTTAATTGTGCCATGGTGAGAACTGGTTGACTAGGTCCCATTGAATAAAGAATTGAGTGCCTTTGAGGTTTTTTTTTCCTTTTTTTGCGGGGGGAGGAGAGTTTAATTGCATAGTAAACAGAATTATGTAGAACTTGCTGATTTTATATTATGCTTAACAGAAGGAAATTATCCCCTCTTTTTTTCATGTATTGAATACATGTAGATCAAACAAAAGACATAATTGTCTGGCTATGTGGAACAATAGCCAAATTTGGAACATATGGAACAAGTACTGTTGGAACAATGACAGCATTTGGAACATTCTTGACATTGCCCATTGCAGTCTTCCCCACGCACCCTTTAAAATCAACAAATTTTGCCCCTCAGCAGTAAAGTGGTGGGGTTGGAGGTATGAATTCAAAAGCTTTATATTGTCAGAAAGTTTTGGGGTTTCACTCAATTTTTGCAATTATTGAACTACTGAAATGCTTTTTATTTCATATTTTGCAATGTTGCCGAACCATTTTATTTTCCCCTGGTCTCAACAGTACGTGCACAGGAACCTGTGTGCCAAGAACGTCCTCATTACCTTCAACAACAAGGCCAAGATTGCGGACTTCAGCATGGCAACTGAACTCCCTGGCTCCACGGAGTATGTACCTCACGCTGAACACAGAAATGTAAGTCTGCAGCATCCTCATTCCTCCCTCAACATGTCGTAATCTGAAAGAGCTTGTCATTTATTTTCTGTTTCTTGTTCATGATTTAAAAATCCTTTGTCTGATTAAACAAAAACAGTGCATATTTCATACAAAACGTGAATATACAATGTATCTCCTGTATCATTTTTCATTAAAATCTGTCAATTTCACTCCCCGTCCCCACTTCCTCCACCACACTTTAAGACGACAAAACAAAGCACAGCTCGCTTACGGTTAAAGAAATTGGTGCTGGTCAGTAGCCCTCCTCCCCCCCCAAATGTTTTTGGCATCAGTGTATTTTTCACTGTAAGAAAGTTAGCTTTAAGTTTCTTTCTTAGTTTTGATCTTTCTATTCATGATCAAGGGCAGTTCATAATGAAGGCAGTTAATCATAAACTTTCCTCAACTTTTTCCAGAAACATATCAAGCGATGGATGGCTTACGAAGCCCTTCTGGAAGATGTGTACAGCATCAAAAGTGATGTGTAAGTAAACTGGCTGATAAGAAAAGCTTATTTAGGGGTTACTCTGCATACATAGTTTGACCATGCAAATATGGTAGGCACCATCGACTGTAAGGATTGAATGTTGTGCCTAAATATAGTGTCTCTGAGTCATTTAATGTAGTTAAGTTGTAACCTTGTAAAGGGAGTTTTTTTCTCATTTTGCCATTTTTATTTTGTTAGAGTGGGAAGGTTGTGTGCTTTCACCTTCACTTTCACACAGTGGCGAATAGGGGAGGGTGCCATGGTGTCTCTCCCCCCCCCCCCCCCCCCCGGAAAGTAACACAAGAAAACGTCACTTTGTTAACCTGGTGTCAGCTAGACTTTTGGCTGGTCCCCTCCCGTCAGCAGAATCCAGCATTCGTACACCACTGCTCTCACACACCGCTCCTCTCATCACACACCCCTCTTCGCCATAATTATGGGCCGGCTCATTTTCTCCTCAAAACGGTATTTTGGCCGCATCCCAATCTCTAGCCTAGAGCTATTGTCTAGGCCTTCGCCCATTACAACTACGTGGGAACATGCTGGCAGAAGACGTAGCATAGCTCTGAAAGCCAGTTTCAGACATTGCATGCATCTTCTTAACTATCACACATTCTAATTGTTGAGGTGTTTATTTTGTGGCGATTGTTTTCAATCTGTACAGGTGGTCGTTTGGTGTAGTTCTTTGGGAGATTGTTACCTTAGGTGAGTTCAAATTGTTTTGATGCTCACAGATGTTATTACAGTAAAAGGTTATTCCAGCATTATGTGATGTCAATGACAGCCCCTTTAAAGGGCATCATTTGCTTTTGCTGTAATTTTCAGAAATGGATGGAATTGGGGGGGTTGGAAATAAATAGCAAATATAGTTACACTGACTTTTTTGAGGATTTGGGTTCGAAAATGCTATAAAAACCAAGAAAAACAATCATTTTCCTGTAGTCTGGTTCCCTGACTCCATATAAGAAGAAACAGAGCAGTTTACATACAATGGGGAATTGTAAGGTCAGGGAACCAGTCTAGCTGGCTTGTACCCGTTCATAGGTGTGTAATCGATTGCAAACAAGTGCGATGGTCAATTGGGGCCAGTATTTGAAAAAAAGCCAGTGTTTTCCAACGCTGGTCGGCCGACCAGCGTTGGAAATTGATACAAAAATACCACTTTTCTTGAAAATGACAGTATACCAGGTGCCATGATTTTACAGGATGCTTTACACTGTCATTCACTAACAGTCCAGCAAGGTATTTCAAAATGATTTGGTAGTTTTATTTTTTGATGTTTGCAAATGTTGTATTTTCCCTTTAAGAGCTCAGTGAATAAATTTGAAAATACATTTTTTTTCAATTCTTATACATCCGTCATCTAGTAATTGTCAAGGAAATTACAGACTAGGAGTTTTGGATCATTTCTCTGAATCATTATTCAGATACATTTGTTAATTGGCTCAGACATGGACGTTATATTTCCTATCATAATGCTGGATTTACCCAAATATAAGACAGTGGGCACATGCGTCCATAGCCCAAAAATTTTCAAAATTTCAGTTCGTCGGAAAAATGAGGTAGCGATGCATAAATATACATATTTTTTTCTCAAGGTGGAATGCCATACTACAACATCAAGACTTCTGATCTGTTCGGCGAGCTGCGGGATCACAATCGCATGGAGTGGCCGAACCACTGCTCCCCGGAGTTCTACGATCTCATGCTGCGTTGCTGGCACCGTCGGCCTGAGAGCAGACCCTCCTTTGACATGCTGTGCACGGAACTCAAGAAAATGAAGCCCATGGCAAAGGTATTACAGACATTAATTGTGATCTACATGAGAACTAGTTGAATAGCACGGGTGAGATTAGCCAGGATTTTTTTTCTGATTTCAGGATTTTTAAAGAAACCCTTACGCCACATTTTTATTGCCTGTTGGGCAATATTTCATTTATGACACATTTCACTTAAGTTTGGCGTTGCGATACTCCCTAAATTAGGAAACAGGTAATGGCGTAACTGTGGCAGTCATCTTAAAGTGGCCTTAAGTTATGGCATACAAATTGAAAATGGACAATTTTACTAGGTAGGCTGGTCCCTTGCCAGTTGATAATTCTGAAGACTTTAGAAAGAGGCAGGAACTAAGAAGTGACAGCATCATTAGCTTACCAAATTAACTAGCCGTTTTTTGTCCATTGGAAACTTTAACATATTGGGGGGGGGGGGGGAATTACTTGCGAACAGCTCATTCAAAACATTTTTTAAAACTTGTACCAACAGAAACACCTGAATTTGAAGGGATACACCTACCAGCTGTATGTGCCAGTGAAACTGGAGGAGGATGTTATCGACACGACGCAAGATTCTACGTTTGTCTGAGTGGAGGAAACAAGCACCAACTATCACACTCCGGAATCACCGTAGTAACCAAGGAACATGTTATCATGACACAACAGGGATTTTGAGTTACCAAGCAAAGAAACTCCCCGAGCACAGAAGAAACATGTTGCTAAGCACGAACAGGTTACCAGCCAAAATGCCATGCAGTGTACATTGCTTATATAACTGGTTCTCAGCTGATATGTGCTTAGCATGTAAATTACCTGAGCGCTGTTTTAAGATATAAGCAGATCCCTTAAATCTGAGAAATACTGCCTAGCACATTTAATTATGTACTAAACGAAAAAAAAAGCCGGGTACCAATCAATATTAATTGCAAAACATTTTGGTTGGTAACCTGTGTTTGCTAAGCAATTATTTTCTGTGCTAAGGTAGTTTCTGTGATTTCACAAAACGCTAAGACACGTCTAAGGAAGGGTAACTTGTCTTAACTAGCGACTCGTCCTAGGATCAATTTCACCAAACGTAAGAAGCGTTCAACATTCTGTTGTGCACTGCAAAATAACTTAAGGGTTTAAAGTACCCGTATTAATGGTCCATATTATCCTTGTTCCCAGGTTAACTTTTAACTGCATGCACAAGAAGTACCCCCTCAATGGTTATAAAGGGAGAGTTAGGGGAGACCACTTCGATGGCTGACGCCATCGTCAGGGTCCATGGGCCTTATTCACGAGTCGGCCATATTGAATTGAAAGTTAGGTAAAATCTAAATTTTTGGAAGTTGCGAAGAGAAACGAAAGCAATTTTATTTATAATAAATTCCAGTCTGCTTCAATGAATAATTTAACATTGGTAATTAACCATTCCCTAATGTTTAAAGCCATATTTAACAAAAAAAGGACAGTAAAATAAAGGCTGCATTGTGCCTGCATAAATAGTCTGGCGCCATCCCATTCAACAGTTAGCAATTAATGAAATACATTCAGGGAACTCGACAAAAATGGCCAACTTGTGAATAAGACCCATAAGGGGCCGAAGTTAAGATTCGGGAAATGCATGAAGTATTAATGCAACTCACTGTAATATTTCACAGCAGTCATGGCAGAACAAAGATGCTCTGGTCAATAACAATGCTGCATCAGTGAAAATGTGAGATAAAAGTATTTTTAACTATTAGACCCTTTTTGTCATTTTAATTTGACCCTTTTTGTCATTTTAATTCAGTTTTACAAGAGGTCTACTCGTGCACATTGCTGTGCAACAAAAAGCACAGACCTCAAAACGTGGCTGCATTGCAAAGGGGCTGTAGTAGTTTTTCGCTGAGCTCAAAAACCAACATGTGCCTTTTTTTGGTTGTCTTCCTTGAAATCGCTCAACCTTATAAAAAGACTTCATAATTTGGGTTTTGTATCAAAAGCTGCAGGAATTTTTATTCTGTAAATATTGGAGGAAAAAAAAGTAATATGTAAATGTGGCTTTTTGGAAAAATAATGGTCTTCACTGTAAGAATTTTTTTACAAACTGTTATTCAGAGCAATATGTAAAACCCTTTAAAACCCTGCTGGTCAGTTTCAGGTGAAGAAATATGAAGTGTTAAACTGTGTCACACAGAGAGTCACTGCACACAAAAACAGCACTGTGGAGAGCAGTGAAGCGTGACTGAATCTGCCTGCTTGCCCTGAGCTTAACCACACAAAAGAATTGAGCAGGGATTTGAAGCGTTATCCATACTCCACAGAAGATTTACCTCAAAAGAATTTGAAGTGTGGGCGCTAACTCTATAGGTAAAAGTGGTTTTGCAAAACTTGGGGTTGTTAAGTGTGGAAGACTAGGATCACAATACCACTTTTGTCTTTTGCAACTATTATCCAATTTTGAAGGGAGTTTTTTTAAAAGGCACTGGATTGGCAAAATCATTTTACACAGAGAAGATTTTAAAATAGAATCAAATATAACTTCCAACTTTTATTATGTAATATAGCCTGGTGCATGGTACAATAACAATTTTTGATATTAAGCAAAATGTGTGAATTTTTTTTTATACACGGTTATGGTTGTACATATTAAATTTATGCTGAATTAAAATGGCCTATTTAAATTATTTTAAAGTATTGTCAAAACCGATATACATGTATTAAAAATCAAGGCTTACCCCAATTTGTCAAAACAAAATGTCTTTCTGTTTTATATAAGGAAACTTCCATATTGTGTTAAGTTTTTTTGCGGTTAATTGCAAATAATCTTCCTGTCCTATATACTTGCGTTTGTAGTCTTCCTTAAAACAACACAACTCAGTGCTTGTCAAGTTTGAACAAGTTTGATATAATTTGTTTTCAACTCGTCCAATATTAAAATGACTTTCCTAAAACTGTTTGAACACAATTTTTTCCCCCATGTTGCTGCTCCAACTGCAATCCTTTAATGGACAATACACTAAAGACATTTCAAAATAACATTTACTGGTTTTAATAAAGGATTTTTTATTAATAAAGGATACTTGTGTTCGTTGTGATGTGTCAATTATTTTTGCAGATACAGACCGATTCAGCAACAGCCGTTTTCTGAGGTGGCACTGCAGTGGCACGAGGCTCACGCGAGTTGCGCTCAGGTAGTACGCATGCACTCTGGGCTCCTTCGACCAATAGTGTTACCGAAATGCATGCACGCCTCATCTTTAAGAACGCGTGTGGTGTTAAACAGTTTTTGTTGTTGACACTATTTGACAAATGGTGGTTTTATTCATTGCAGTTAAGGGCAAGTTCGTGCAAGAACTATTGTTGACCAATGGTTAACCATAGTTCGAATAAAGTTAGCCCGAACTCTGTCTAGTCGACGATGGTTGACTACGCTAGTCGACTATTTGGAACCAGCCTACTGCGGCTGGTCGCGCAACGATTTATAGCTGGTTATCAATAGCAATTTCCATAGCATAGTGCAGAGCGGACCAACTTTCAACAAAAAAGGCGGAAATTCATTTTCATTGCACAGTTTTTCCGTGTTAGTTTACGATTATGTCATTGTACAATAATATTGGCGATTATGTAAGATGTCCTAAACTATACACAATCACTATTATTTGTGTAAATAAAGAGAAACAGCAAGTGTTGAATAATTGTGCGACCGCCATTTTGTGACGGTCGTTGACATGACAATAGTTTGACTAGAATTGTTCGCACTTCAACTTCAGTGCGCATGCACTAGGTACGTCACGAACCAACCACCAGTTAACCACTGGTCCTTGCTCTAATGCCCATATTTGCCGATGGATACACAATTTTGCCAACAGGAAAACCATTTTGTGGACAAAATCAAATAATTTGGGTGGGGGGGGGGGGGGGGGAGACACCCCCAACCAGAACAACCCCACCCCCAACCCCCCCCACCCCCACCCACAACCCCTAACACCCCCACCCCCACCCACAACCCAATAACAGTCTCTAATTCTCACATCTGTGATAGATGTTCCAACATCAAGTCGCCATAGTTCATACCGAGTCCTCCATAAGGAACACAGTGTGAGCTAGATGCTTGATGCTTGTCAGTCAGTTTCATGAACCGGGCCAGGTTTCTTAGTTCTGCAGGGTCTTGCGTACTGCCCTCGCTTGTGATTGTTAAGTGGCGGGGAGGGGTGATCCTGTAGCCGGGTGCGGTGCTCGCTGCTTCGAGTGCTTGACTGAACGCATCCAGTCCTGTGTGAGTTATATGCCTGTTGAAGCTATAATGGAACAATAAAAAGACAAAGTAAGGCAACAAAAAGAAAAGAAAGGCTCCGGTTTCTGGTATGCGCGTTTGTCTTGACTATCCAAATTTCCAGACGAATGTTCGTGTTGGTTGAGATCCTAAGTGGATGCAGAATTCTCAAGCCTTATGGCCTTACTGAGGTCACCTCAAGCTCCACCCTGAAGGATATTTTTGAGAGTTTTAAGGGGATCGAAGCGTCATTATCTGCAACATCAGCCGAAATTTGAAGAAAAAAAAAGTAGGAAAAAAAAAAACCATGTCGCACCACTTTTGTGGCAAGCTCCATACCAGAAACTGAAGACTTTTTTTGGCCTAAGCCTAATATAAAACTGGACCAAAAAGGCACAAAATCATACAGGGTGAGTAAAAAAAAACCCACTGAAACCCAAATGGCAGGACCAATTTTGAATGAAGTTTTGTCTGTAGCCCTTTCAAAATCTAGGATATGAAAGCCCATTTATTAACCTTTCTTTTAGTACAAGAATCATTCAAATCACTTATGTACTTTTCAAGTTACCGAATTTTGAACACAAACACCGTTTTAAAGTTCTGTCCACGGATCACAAAAAAGGTAAGTGTTCTTTCAGCAAAACGAAAACAATTCACATGGGGATGCAAGGTGTAACGAACGTTATAGTATGAACGTACGAATGCGCGCATATGCTACATTTAAAAATCAATTAAAACGTGGGTCCATTGTTCCACCTAAAGTATGGTGGCTGCGCGTCCATGTCGGCACGAGTGCGCGCAGCGAGTGCGCGCACTCGTTTTTTAAATATAACTCTATGGATTGAGATCATTGCGAGAAGTTGCCCCCCCCCCCCCCTTTGTGTGTGTGTGTTTTTTTTTTTTTTTTTTTTTTTTTAGAGTTTCACCCCGAAGTGTATATTTTCTAATTGCTAATATTTGTTATATTTATCAATACAAGAGTGATCCCTCATCTGGACTTATGTACTTACCTGATATCTAAGCACAATTTAGAGGCTTGGATGTCAGTGTCTGTCGAGGGATGTATGAAGGCATCAACCAGCAAACGTACACACTCATTGGCTGTAAGGCACCGCCAAAAAAAAAAAGGGAAAGAAAAGGTGTAGCGTTATCGTCGGTTTCTTTTGATGGGCTTTTTGTGAAATGGATGAGAAGTAACATTTTTATTTTGCAAAATGTAGTTACACTTACATTTTGAGTAGATGTACATTTTAAAAATCGGGTTTTCTCCATATTCAAATTGTTACGGTGTTCGGCCCATGTGCCATAGTACATGGGTTCGAACCCAGACAGGGAACATGGAACTTGTGTCCTCGGGCAAGACACTTTACAACGATTGCTTCTATATGTCACTTGGTGGTCGGTCAGTCTGTCTGTCTGTCTGTCGTGCTGTCTGTCTGTCTGTCCCCAAAAAATTGACCAAAAGTATGGTATTTATGTGCCATTGGTGTCGCAGTTTTGGGCGTCACATTTTTAGGCTCCGGCAGGGATCGTTTCGATCGATTTCATGCAAGACTTTCATGCAAGACTTATTGCAACATGGCCAGAGCTTATTGTGCACTCGCACTTGTTTAAATGATGGCAGGGGAGTATACTCTGTCTGTGCTACTTACTCAGGTTATTGTTCACCAGGAGAAGTTGGCAAAGAGTGGTGTTAAGGCGGAGGGCTTCCACAAAAGCCTTGGCATGGGTCCAACCTAAAATCAAACAAAAACCAAACACTGTATACTTCGACCCTTCTTCGCAGGGTCCCGGGCCAATTTAATCAGCCATGGCCTGCATAAATGAGGGCCTATTACACTGTTATAACCCAATTTTTTGGTTACAAATGAGCGTGAATCCCCATCTAATGGAGTAATTTTGTAAGTTGCTATGATTTTAATTAAGGGATTAAGGTGAGCTTCTGAGGTTTTTATCACTCTGTTTAAGACCACTTAGAGTTTTGGTGCTGATAATTACCCGAGCCGGAGGCGAGGGTAATTATCAGCACCCAGACTCTAAGTGGTCTTAAACAGAGTGATAAATACCGACGGAGCACATATTTATTCCCATTCATAAATACCTTTTCGGTAAGAAAAAATGATATAATTCGTTCAAAACATCCCGATTTTGTTCAACAAATTCACTTTATGCTTTTTGAAACATCCCTCTTGCAAAATAATGGAGTGTTCAGCTGGCGAGTAAGATGTAAACAACCCTTTTATGGAGATTGACGCGCGCGTATCATGTTCTGCGCGATGTCACGCAGAACGCACCTGGCGCGTTGCGTTTTGAATTTAGAACTATAAAATTCTGACTCCCGGGTAGTGTTGGGCATGCCTACGTGAGGATTGTGAACGTTCAACCAATGAAACGATAAGAGGCACTGGATTTTTAGGAGTCCACATTTTATGTGACACTGGAATAGTGTTTAAGACCAGCTAGCCATGTCTTTATCATCCATTTAAGAACGGCCACGGGACGGGCTCTCAGTGGTGAGAGGTGAGCACTTCACGCACTGCCCCACCATGCTACCCATATCAAATTGCTTCAATAAATGTGGCATAACTATTGTCGTGGCATAACTGTTGTCTTCAAGCAAACTTGAACCCTCGATCCTGCTTTGAAACGAAGGCATTGGCTAAACGCCAATTAAAATGCGTTGTCACAAAATGTGACATTAGGACAAAAAACCTAACATCATGAAAAAAGGATAATCAAAATCCAATCTGATCATACCTCTTAACACAAACTGGCACCCGCTGAGATTCAACTTGGTGAGCGGGCTTGTCTGTAAGAGCATAACCAGGCCCGACTGACTAGCCTGGTGACTTGTACCGGAGACCCCTTCACCCAGGCTAGGGCAGTAGGTGTTACACGCCACATTCAGTTCACGAAGGCTTTTACAATCTGCGGAAGAAATAAATACAATTGGGGGAAAAAAAATCACTGCGGGAAAATTACGGGGATTAGAAGTTGTTCTGAATCCAAACACTAATGCCTGACACATTGAGCCTGTTGAGGATAACTTGTCCAAGAACTTATCCTTGATAAGTGATGAGATGAATTCTAAGATGATTATTTGATTAAGAAAAAAAACGAACGTCATGATCAATCTCAAATCAGGATAACTTGATTACACACGGACAGAGTTGCAGTCGATTCGATCACGAGTCATCACAAGACCATGACAAGTCAAATCACAAGCTATGTAAAATTAACTGTGACAGAGGCATTCCTTTATTATTCATCTCCAATTACTTGTGACTGGACTTGTGACTGGACTTGTGACTGGACTTGTGACTGGACTTGTGACTGGACTTGTGACTGGACTTGTGACTGGACTTGTGATGCACTTAAGCCGGGGCTTGTGATGGACTCATTAATATATCTGATCACACAGCATTGACAATATTAACAACCAAAAAACCCCCAAACCAACTGAAAATCACCTTTTGCACAGATGAAAAGCCTGTCCAGCATTTTGGTCCCAAGCTGGCAACCTTCCAGGTTCAGATGTCCGATGGCGCAGTCTGGCTGCAATAGCGCCCTCTCTAGACAGGTCAGGGAAAGCAACTTGTTGTAGCTCAGCTCAAGGGCGCCGAGCTGGCTGAAGGCTGTAACAAAGATTGTGAGCGGGATGACAAAATTCTCAATTAAAATTTATTTAAGTTGAACAAAGTACTTGACTGAAGCAGAATTTGATCCTGCGCTCTACCAACTGAGCTATCCAGCCCTATGTTGGCGGTTCTCCCAATTTGTCAATATCCTTGTTCAAGAGCGCTAGTCAGAAGCCACAACATAAACACCAGGCAATAAAGCCCACATGTACTAGCTATTTGTTTATGTGGATATTTATGTAAATTAAGTTGACCCCACTGTCAGACTCTATCCATAGTGAGAGACATTCAAGGTTGTCTTCAGACTGTACTAACCATCTCCAAGATGATCAAGTGAATACTGTGCGTTGTTGTCCCCACCCTCAAACGGTCCATCAGCGGAGAAACTAATGTCGGTGGCTTTCAACTCCAGCGTGTCAAGCTTAGATCTGAAGAGGAACAACAGAACACAAATACACGCAGGAAGTAGAAAAGTTTTCTGTTCACGATGGAATAGGGATAAGAAGAATGTGATTTTAAAAACTGGGATCAAAAATTACATCATGATAACAATGCAGTGCAATTTCCTGCTAAGCGAGTTGCAGTCGGGTCATCGCAAGTCCATCACAAGCTTGTGGCTTGAGACTGAGACTGACTTATGATTGGCTTGTGACTGACATGGGATTGGCTTGTGAGTGATTTGTGATTGGCTTGTGATTGACTTGGGAATGGCTTGTGACTGACTTGTGATTGGCTTGTGACTGACTTGTGATGGCTTGTGAATGATTGTGATTTGCTTGTGACTGATCTTTGATTGGCTTATGACTGACTTGTGATTGGCTTGTGAATGATATGTGATTGGGCTTGTGACTGATTCGTGATTGGCTTATGACTGACTTGGGATTGGCTTGTGATTTACTTGTGACTGGTTTGTGATAAGCTTGTGTCCGACTTGGGATTGGCTTGTGACTGATCTTTGATTGGCTTATGACTGACTTGTGATTGGCTTGTGAATGATATGTGATTGAGCTTGTGACTGATTTGTGATTGGCTTATGACTGACTTGGGATTGGCTTGTGATTTACTTGTGACTGGTTTGTGATTAGCTTGTGTCTGACTTGTGATCGGCTTGTGACTGACTTGGGATTGGCTTGTGACTGACTTGGGATTGGCTTGTGACTGACTTGGGATTGGCTTGTGACTGACTTGTGATTTGCTTGTGAGGACTTGACTGCATCTCTGGCTGCCAACTTGGGAAACAGCAATCAACGATCACTCAAAGAGGAAAAGGATTTAACCCAAGTCAAATGACGTAATGACACCAACCTCGTTAGAAGAACATTAAGAAGGGGAAGATTGCAGTCTTTGACAACGTTGTACTCAATAAGTAATCTCCGCAGTGCGCCACCGCGCCCCTGTGCCCCAATCAACGCCGATAACAGGTGTTGACAAGTATCCTGCAACATCACTGCAAAAAAAGACGCCATGCACTTTATGTTATTCTAACCTTTAACCTCTCCAGGTGCGAAAACGTGCAGTTCCTGCTTTTTGTTACTGCGCATCTATGTAAATCGGCCCTAGTACTGTAACTCGGTGACCTTTGACTTTGGAGTAAAAATACCCAAGGTAAGTTCATTCCATGACTGTTTTATTAAAACTTGATTGGGAAAGGTACAAATCTACAGATTCGACGTGAAACGACCTTTGCTGGAATAAAAAAACTCACAATTGTCTATGAATTCCAGTTCCCGTAGGCCCGGCCACACACTCAATACACGCTCAAGCATCTGGCTGTAATCTGGATAATGAAGGACAAAACCGCACAGAACCAGATGCTGAATGCAAGGGTTGGCAGCTCTACCGCAAGGATGCCAAGTTCTGGTGTCAGCAGGGTCAGCGCGTTGACAATTGAGGTCAGACTCTGAGAGCACAGTGTCGGCAGATCTGTTTGAGGCTGTGTCACTGATAGGACATGCAAAAGGCACTTCTTCGTTGGTATCCAAGTGGGATGAGGGGTGCGGATACTCTGGAAAGCTGGAATCCGATTGAGTGTCGATGGGCTCCGAGAAGCAGAAATCGTACAGGTCCTGGTGCCTCCCTGGCCCTTTCGAGTTGACATCCTCCTGACTAGGTCTCCGATAGACTTGCTGAACAGTCTGAGCATCCTGTATGATTCCTAGTGATTCCGAGCACTGTCTGAGAGAGTCGCAGTGTTTTGCTCCAGGAAGAAACCCGTTGGTATTTTTTCTCTTGGGACATCCTCTTGCCTCCGAGCAATGTCTCAGAGAGTCTGTGACTCTCTGAGACATTGCTCCGGGAAGAAACCCGTTGGTAGTCTTCCTCTTGAGACATCCTCTCGCCTCGCGCTCACTTCCGTTGCTCTCTCCGATGTCTTCGCGCCTTCCGGCGCACACTTCCAGGATGCCGAACAGCTCGGCTGGGGTCAGGCACTTGGGATGCTTCAGGGTGAACTTTCGCAGGACCCCGTGGTGAATCAGTTGCTCCAAGAACCTCTTCAAGATGTCTCTGTATTTCGGAAGGTATTGGAACAGGACCAGCTCCCTCAGGTTCTTTTGAAGAATCCCCATAGTCTGCTCACTCCTCTGGCAAATAAATGCAAACATGACAGAAAAGTCAACGCCAATAGATAATTGTGGCTCACATTTATAGAATCAATATTTCACCGCAGACTTGCAAAATGCAAGCATATTTTTTTTTGCAGACCTGAATGTACGGGAGAAGTCGACTCTCCAAAAGCAGCGAAGACGGAGAGTAGTCATCCAGTGGTCCTTGCATCTGGCTCCAGTCGTTGCCCCATGATAGAGGATTTTGAAAGATTTGCTGAATTCTCACACTCTGCACATCTGCAAGAAGGAAGAGATTCTGAAGTCTTACTAGGTTTTACTGCAAGGTTTGGTCTGTAAAACTATACAATTTAGAATTTGAGCAACTTGGGAATTTTCGCAAGTTGCAAGAAACCGCCAGAGATTCTGCCTCAAATTTGAATTGCTCTCAATATTGACGTTCTGGAAATAAATTGGAGTTACAGTCGAGTCACTTGGGTCAAGGTTGAGTCCAAGTCTTTCGTAACTTAAGTTGAGTCTGAGTCACCAAAACTGTGAATAGAGGGGCTTCAATCCACGTCCAGGACTCGGATTGCACTACAGAGAAATGAGTACTGATGGACTTGTGATGGACTTGTGATGGACTTGTGATGGACTTGTGATGGACTTGGGATGGACTTGTGGTGGACTTGTATTGGACTTGTGATGGACTTGTGATGGACTTGTGACGGATTTGTGATGGGCTTGTGATGACTTGTGATGGACTTGTGATGGACTTGTGATGAACTTGTGATGGACTTGTGACTGACTTGTGATGGACTTGTGATGGACTTGTGATAGACTTGTGATGGACTTGTATTGGACTTGTGATGGACATGTGATGTACTTGTGATGGACTTGTGATGGACTTGTGATGAATTATGATCCATCACAAGGACGTGAAGGACCTCAACTACACCACCCTCCTTCTGTTATACTCACCCCCCTCTCCAGTCCCGTCTTGGTTATTGTGACCCAACTCCTGGAGTCGCACCTGGCACATCTTGTCAAGAAACTTCTGCCGCCAGTCCTGATTGGCCAACTGGGGGTCGTGACACGCGCACTGCCTGGAAAACTGGATCCCCCAGGTTAAAAGATAAAACTTCATCCAGTACCGCTGAGCATCAATACCTGAAATTAAAGACGTAAACAAAAAAAGTGAAGACAAGTCGCCTTAAAATCGGGGCCTAAGTTCACGGTGGTGCTTATAATTAGCAGAAAACATTACTAAGCAACTGTATGCGCTAAGCATAAATCTACTGATGAGACCCATCCTCAGCAATAGACATTGCATTACATTTTGGCCAGTAGTGTGATTTCGCTAAGCCAATACATTCCTGGCTTAGCACTTTGCTCCAGGTGACTGCTTACACTACAGAAGTAGTCAAGTAGCTTAGACATAGACTCAGGCTCGTTGGAGACGGAGAACATATTTACCTTTCCCCTGGAGAGTGGGATGCAGTCTCGCCAAGCTGTCCACACTTAGCACAGATGCAAGGTCCTCAATCAGATGGGACGGTAATTCTGAAACAAATTATATTGCATATTGCCAAAAAGGGTAAAAAGAATGTTAAAGGGAATGTACATCTTGGCTTTTGCTGTAATTTTCAGAAATGAACTATTTTGAGGGGTTAGTATAACAGATCAAATATTGTTACACTGACATGTTTGAAGTTTTGTGTTCGAAAATACTGGAAAAACGAAGAAAAACAAAAATTTCAAGTAGTCTGGTTCCCTGACTCCACTAAAGATAAAATGGATCATTTATAGATGCCGGAAAATTGTAAGATAATGGAACCAGTCTAACTAGCCTGCACCCGTTCATGAACATGTTACCAATAGCAAACAATTTGGACTGAAAAAAAATTGGTAAATTTGGAGCAGTAGTTGAAAAATAGTTAGGTTTTTCCAACGGTGGTCGGCCGACCACCGCTGGAAATTTATACAAAATACCACTTTTCTTGAAAATGACTTCACACATGGTGCCATAATTTTACAGGATGCTTTAGACTGTCATTTACCAACATCCTAGTAGGGTATTTCGTAAAAAAATGGTAGTTTTGTTGTTGCAAATGTTGTATATTCCCTTTAAGTGTATTTAACAGAAATCCAAAAAAACTAACGTCAAATGCACTTTGTGGCAATTGTCATGATTGAAAATGTAGTTACGTTTCCCTGTTTTTTAAAAAGTACTTAAGTTATTAAGTTAGACCTAATTAATTTTTTTTTATCATACCAAAATGCCTTCCACAACCTTATTATCTTCTTTTAATTCAACTGATCCATATTTATGGTAATTTTGAACAGTTTTTTGGGGGGTAGAAAATGTGATTTTCTTACGCATTTTTCCGTTGATGCCATATGTGAATCTATCAACAGAGTTTTCATACTCACTGTCCACGAAAGAGCGAATAAAAAAAAAGTACAGACACAAAATAAATGAATTTATTTATTCATATTATTTTTTACTTAAATAAATACGTACCCTGTATACTACTGATTTGCATGTGATGATCTTCCACACATTTCGAGACCTGTCTCAAGCAAAGTGTCTCCAGCCTGAGGCATTTCAACTCGTCCTCGTCCTCTTCCTTCATTATTTTTTTTTAGTTCATAAAAATTGTATTCGATTGCAACTATGCAAGTTTCTTCTGTGTCATAAGACTCCTTCAATTTCCAAACTTTGATCACTGAGATTTGTTTTAGTTAACTGGGTACCTAGGACCACTTTATGAAGATCTTTGAAAGTTTGAGTTTCGAGAGGCAAGTGGTAGGGCCTACCGATACACCAACACGATTGCGGCATATGCAGAGCATTTCTTGGTCTTTCTTGTTGGGCCACTTTCCGGCATTGTTGGGGTTTTGCATGACACAAACTAGTCCGAAAATTTGGGACTCTCAATACTAGTGTTAGCCCCACTAGTGTGGCCGTCGGTATGCTGCGCTGAACCTAAGGCCACACACCGTGGTACCGCGCGCTACTGAGGACGAAGTTTTCATAAAATTCAGGGCAGTTTCTTACATTCTCAGTTTCTTACTTTCTTATGGTTGTATTCTATGATGTCTCACCAATCACTTCTGGAATGCTAAGGTCTAATGATGTTCCATTTTCCGAGATATTCTTCAATCTTTCTGGAGTCCATATGCACTCGTGAAACGTCTGGTGATGGCAGCCATTTTGAATGGGACAAGAGATGACCTCAAGCTGTGACGTCGCGTGTATGCAAATTGCTTGTCGAGCGCGCGAGGGCGCGAGTTGCAAATGCGACGGCTGTTTCCTGTACCATGCATTTATCGGCAGGGGGCCACGTGCACCGATCTCTATTCAGGATCTACGGCACAGGAAACAGCCGTCGCATTTGCAACTCCCGCCCTCGCGCGCTCGACAAGCAATTTGCATAAACGCGACGTCACAGCTTGAGGTCATCTCTTGTCACATTCAAAATGGCTGCCACCACCAGACGTTTCACGAGGGCATATGGGCTCCAGAAAGATTGAAGAATATCTCGGAAAATGGAACATCATTAGACCTAAGCATCCCAGAAGTGATAGGTGAGACATCATAGAATGCAACCATAAGAAAGTAAGAAACTGAGAATGTAAGAAACTGCCCTGAATTTTATGAAAACTTCGTCCTCAGTAGCGCGCGGTACCACGGTGTGTGGCCTTAGGTTCAGCGCAGCATACCGACGGCCACACTAGTGGGGCTATACTAGGGCGTTTTCGAATCCCTGTTCTTGACAACCCGCGTGTAACACAAGAACGCCCTCTCGAGCTGGTTGTTACGAACGCGCGGGTGCGTGTCGCATCGATATAGAGCAATGCAAAATGGCCGACAATCGTCTGAATTTGTACTTAGGCCTATTCCAAATGAACGAGGACGACTCAGAAGATGAATGTGAAACAGACCAAACTGATGTGGCATTCATAGCAGCTCTTCTTTCACGGGATAAGAGAGCAAGAATTCATGGGTTTACAGAAGAGGTAATCCCGGCCATGCAGGAATCAGAATTCAGGTCCCACTTCCGTCTGTCCACCAGGACCTTTGAATATATCCTAAATGTCATCCACGATGCATTACTCCCTAAAGCCCCCGGTGGCCCGTTTGAAGCAGTTTCCCCAATGAAACAACTGCTAATTTTCCTGTGGTACCTTGCCAACCAAATTACTATCCGAGAACTTGCTCTCAAATTTGGTGTGTCGGAAAGCACCGTGCATAAAGCCATCAGAAGGGTGTCGGAGTGTCTCACCGATCAAAGGCAAAGGTTCATCCGATGGCCATCAAGCCAACGCAGACGGGAAACTTCTGCCTCATTCAGGGTAGGTGTTTTTTTTTTTACAATTTTTTAGGGGGCTATAGCCCCCTTAGCACCCACCCCCGCCAATGAATTTTCTGTGGCTTTGAGGTAAGATAAAATATATTTTTGCTTTCTACATGTCAATGAGTATTCGGACAAATACCCTGTAATATTGGGTGGAAATGGATGGATGCTTTAAAAATGAGAGGGGATGCAAATTTCGAAGCTTATTTATTAGTTCTGGGCAATTCCACGGTAACGGAAGGACGTTTACACTCATTAAACAAAATTTCAAATGTGTGTATCACAGACACTGTTCATAGTTACAGCAAACAAATGTCACAATTGTATTGCTATAATGCTACTTTCATTTTCCACACTTTTGGGGGGCATGAATGCCTCCCGTTTATGAATTATGAATATTAATGAGGTCGGTAACGGAAGGACGGTAAAACGGACAAGGCTTTTCCAACTTACTCGCGTTTTGCAAAAACTCTGTGAATTTTATGGGGCAATTATATTTTAAAGGTAGGAAATGGAATCCCTGAAGCTTTATCTATGCTATACCGCCTTTCATTTGACTTTAAGTGTTTCGGTAATATAATTACAACGTTTTAAGCAGATTATGATTTGGTAACGGAAGGACGGTAACGGAAGGACAAAAGGTTTACTCAATTATAGCATGAACAAAATGTGAATTTACAAAAAATTATACAAGTGAAACAAATTGCTTAAATGTGTAACTGAATGTGAAATCAACAATATGCAGACCTGGCATAAATAATTATACCCAAGAAACTATTGAGATAAAGATAGAAGCCTGCTAATTAATGATAACAAAAGAAAAACGAAAACAACCCAAAACACATAATTCACGAACACAGGACTACTACAGAAATGGACTTCAAATCCATCACCTCAATCCTTAAAAGTTTAAATACACAGTATTTGAACTCTTGAGTATATTGGTTACATGTTCACCAACAACTTTTAATAATAATACCGGTAGGTTCAAAGGTTTACCTAAAGGGTGGGGGGGGGGGGGGGGGGCGACCAGCCTACATGTACATTTAAGGTAAAAACATCTACCGGTAGAACTGATGGCTTCAGTTAGGTGTTGCTTTTAATTGAACTCTAAAATCAATGTTTGAAATCAAATTACAATGATTTAGAGTAGTAACAATTAATTTATAAACATCCAAACTGAAGTTGTTAACTTGGGCATAATTTGTCAAAGACTGCACCTCACATGTCTTACACATGTAAATTGAATGAAAGTGCCCCAAAGTACCGGTACTTTCTGCCATCTCATTTTTGACTTAATTTGCTTCTGGAATGGCTTCACAGAATTCGTATCTTTCTCTATTGTCCATGAATGCTGATGGCAGCAACTTTATGATTTGATTTTCTGCAACAACTCCATACATGTACAAGTACTGGTACATCGGCATATATGTACATGTACATTGTACATGTTGTACATGCCTGTGCCTTCCTTTGTAATAAACACCTTGCCCTGCTTATCCTGCTTTTGTGAAGGTGGGTCACATGAATGTCCTTTCAATGCTCATTATACATGCATGTATTTGCAGTGACTTTCATTTTTCAAACATGAGCGCAAATGTCGTAACATTTGATAAAAATACTATTTGTCCTTCCGTTACCGTCCTTCCGTTACCAATTTGGTAACGGAAGGACGTGATTTAATTAATTGTAATTAAAAAACGAGAAGTACAGCAGTGTCAGTTATAATGCCATATTGAAGGCCTACCTAAACTTGCTTTGCACAATAACTTTCAATGCATTCATACTGCAAGTTTTAAAAATAAATTAAAAATATGTATTTTTTCGGTAACGGAAGGACATTTTCGAAGGCTGAAATATTAGAAGTCACTGAAGCGAAACAAATTACGCAAAATGTTAAAAACAAGTTTTAGTCGGTTTTTCAAGACCAATACTTTCTCATGACAGAAACTGATGGCATTAGTACATATTTTTGTGTGTCTATTGGTAGAATACTTTCATATCACTATTAATCATATTTTTAGGATTAAAACAGGATTATTACATAATCCTATTTTTTGGTACCGAAATGTATAAAAAATAAAATTCCGACTTCAAATCTTGAAAATATAGACTTTTAGCTTTCATTTGATGCCAAATTTGTTTAAGTCACATGTATTTGAATTTTTTGGTGTCATGTCCACTTTGGTGTGGAATTGCCCTACTGTAAAAAGCGAGAGCGATGCCACAGCCAAGTGGTCGTAACCCCAGATTCTGGAGAAGGTCTAAACATGATCATGTCGGAATATGCGGATACCACTCTTCAGAGCTCTGTGCACAGCATGCACAAATGTTTCTAAATATCTGCAATGTAAAACACATGCATGACCGGGCGAGCATTGGAATGCTTGCCTAAATTTAAGGCTGTGCAGTGGGAAAACCCTGGTAACCTAGCCTGGTATTTTCTTTTCTCATGGTAATTTAAATTAGTAGTGTAAAATTTATTGAATATTCAGGTTTCAGTCTTCAAGTTATCGAATATTGCAAAAGCAATTTGCTTGTTGGAATATTGGAATAAAAATGTATGCTGCACACATATACACTTGCCTGTGATTTTTAAATTTTAATGATCCATGAAACAGCTTATAATAACTACAGTACCGGTACATCTCAAAGCTTTTCCTGCAACTTTAACCAGTACAGTATGCAGTAGCAAATTTAAATTGAAGAAATGTTTGGCAAATGTCAAATATTTGAATATTTGGTCTAACACAGATTCTAGTGATCAAATATTAATTATTCGAAAATGAACAACACTAAATGACTATTTTTTGCGATTCCAGGATATTTCAGGATTCGATGGAATTGTAGGTGCCATCGACGGAACACACATCAGAATTATGAATCTTCCTGGAGGAGACCAGGATTATATAAATCGGAAGAAATTTCCCTCCGTACAACTGCAAGTGGTGGTTGATGACGAATTGCTGATAACCGACACCAATGTTGGATGGCCAGGTGGGTAATTCTTGGCTGGATTCAGTCCTGTAGGCTGTTCATTCTGCAACATGGCCAATCACAGGACAAGTATCTCTCAAGCATAAAGGTCACTGTGTACATGTACATGTACATAGTGTAGTCTACATGTAAAATTTTACAATGAAGTGTCATCTCGTTCCTTTACCATGATAATATTACATGAATCTTTGGCTCTTTGAACCAGCGTACGATTGTTAAGCTGGTTCAAAAAGAGCAAAGATTCGTGTAATATCATCAGGGCGGGAACATTAATAATTAGTTGAAGTGACGGCACATATCTGTAAATGTACAGTGGCATGGTCCCTCTGGTACTGAAAATTGGCAAGTGCCTCCATTACTGTAGTCTTTCTCAAAAATAGGTTGCCACTTTACAGCTGCCAGCATCTGTCTCCAAATGCAAATTCCATTTATAAACCGACTGTGCTGCAACCTGTCAAAGCTGCGACTGCCCCAGAGAAATTTTACAGTAATCTTGCAGTATTTAGCCAGAATGAGAAAGTCTCAACTATATCTCCCCTTTATGATCTCCCAGGTTTAAGATAATAACAGTAGATCGCACTTATCCATATGGTGATCATTGCCCTGCTCATTAGACCCATTAAATATTCCTCATGCCTACCATCTCAGCTCTCAAGGGAATATACATTCGATGCTGCTATTAAAGCACAAAGCAGCTAAATCTACAATTGTTGTTTCCAATATTCCATTCTAGGTTCTGCACACGATGCCAGAGTTTTCAGAAATAGTGGCATTGCAGATCGAGCAGACCATGGACTGCTGTTTGATGAAGACCAGTTCCTTGTGGGAGATTCTGCCTATCCCCTTCGGCCATACCTGATTACAGTGTTCAAGAACTATCACAATCTCACAAGACAGCAAAAGCAGTTCAACAAAAAGTTGTCTTCTTGCAGACAAGTTGTGGAGCGTGCAATAGGGCTAACAAAAGGACGCTTTCGCAGGCTACGAGAGGTGTACTGTCACCAGGTGAAATCTATATGCCAACTAGTTACTTCGGCATGCATATTACACAATATGTGCATTTTAGCCGATGATGACGTGGAGATCTTCGTTGAGGAAGAGGAAGAAGTGAACGAGTATCACAACATGTACCACAACCATAATTCTGGAGTTGATCTTCGCAATAGGCTGGTCGAAAGTGTCCATTGAACTACATTGTAATCTCATTAACGAGTGAGAACATACCATTGATGATCCCTCATCATGGGTCAATTACAACCATTTTGATGGGGAAAAAGCCCCAAAACAAATCCTCTCCTATGACTGGAAGTATTTTGTCAAAGGTGTGCATTATCTTATAGACAATCAACACTTGCCATTTCTCCAGTGGGGAAATTCAGATTTTTGGGTGGGGTTGATGTTAGATTTCTATTTTTTGGTCCTATTGTAGTGGTGGACAGGCAGGCACATAGGTCTCCTGATGATAAAACTCACTACATGTACATGCATTTAAATAATAAATTATTATACTAAATTATTACAAAGCTCACTACATGTACATGTATGCATGTAAATACTAAATTTTTAAACTTAATTATTGAAGAAAGGATACTGTATACTGTAAAAAGGATTATACCTGAAGATGAAAGGAAATGTAGAAAGAATGGTAGCTGTAGACAAGGTGGGTTCCCTTTTGTGTTTTTGAGTCTGTCGTGGGGAGGATAAATGAAGACTTAACTATGCGCTGACTAAAGACAAAAGAGGGTATGCATATTGACGTCACACACTCAAAGAATGCCCTCACTGGCAGCTCACCGAGAGAGATTGACCCCCTTGGCCCTTCCTCCATCCTCACCTGCTTATTATTAGTATATTTGAACAGGTAATAAAAATTATAAACCAATTCAATTCAATTCAATTCAATTCAATTCAATTCAAAGGAAACATTTATTTCCATACTTTCAACAAAAAATTGAAACTAAGTTTTTAAATACAAAAAGGTAATTGAATACAGTAAATAAATAATACAACAATGAAGTATAAAAAAGAATTGAATTAGGGTGAAGACTGTGTGAGATGAATAAAAACAAGCAAATAATATATTTCAATACCATAAGTTTGCCTTCAATTCTGTGTTAATGTACAGTACTGTTTGTTATATCACGTCCTTGGATAGTGCAATTTCATTGGTCAAGAACCGTCACGTGTCAGGGTACCAGGATGCACTGTAACCCTACCGGTTAACATTAACACTGAACAGTAAAAAAAACTAGATCGTCTCACTGGTGTGCGCCAAAATTTAAGTGCGTTTTTATATGCTGGAGTGCGCGTCGGGAACAGTGAAACTCACCGCTGAAAAAGGCGATTCTTTACACGTACGTACGTGCCATGGAGAATCTAGTTGAAACAAGATTCTTTCACTTTCCAGCGCCAAACGGTAAATCACACTATCCAAGACGTGATATAACAAAACAATTGTTTCGCCTTGGGTGCCATTCGTTCCCTTGGGTGCACAAAACGCCATGTACCACATCACAGCGTGCAACAATTATATAATGTTATCTTTTGCACTGTGTGCACTACATGCAAGATATGATTTGATATTCAACACTAATGCTACAACTGTAAATTTTCATATTAGTACGTCTGCCTTCTAAATGTGACAGCCAAACGTTTTAAAGAAAAGCCATTATATACAACAAATGACCTGGGCCCAATTTCATGAAATCCGTAAGCATCTTACCAGTTAAATACCCTGTAAAATTTCCTGATACCATTGGGACCGATTCTCTGTTTAGGTTAATCAGGGCCATGAAATTGGGCTCTGATCAAAGATCCTGTACTAAGTGGAATGGAACACAGAATATTATGCATTTTGCTCTTCAGGCCTCATTCTTTTCTAAGATGTCAAGAAGGCGGTCGAAACGTCGCATCTTTTCCTCGTGGCGACGATTTGCCTCTGCCCTCTGAACCTCTGCATATTTGTCAAGCCATGCAATCGTAGGACTTTTCCTCCCAAGCTTCTTTGCCTTCTTTTTAGGGGCAACCTCATCACTAGCAGTAGCTAACTGACTAGCAGCTGGGGCAGCAAGTGGGGCTGCCTGCTCCTCGTGGTCTGAAGTATCTGACTCGTTAACAGTACAAGCTGTGGTTCCTGAATCCATCACAAAGGTTGGCTTTGTTGATGGCTTATTCCCATACAGCTCATTGAATTCATTATAGAATTTACAGTCTTTCCTATCATTCCCTATTTTGGAATTGTGGTCTACTGTCTCCATGTATGTTCTTTTCAAGCTCTTCCATTTATTGGAACATTGCTCACCGCTACAGTCAATAGGCACTTCTCTTGCGATCTCCTCCCATATGGGTTTGTGGGCTTTGCATTGATGAAACCGGTAATCTCTTTCACTTCTCAAGCCAACTAGCACACTGGATGCAGACTCAGGCCAACACAGCGGGACTTTTTTTGGCACTTCCTTTGATGTGGCTGAAACATCAAATGAAATTGTTAAGGTTAGCTATTGATCGTGACTTTTTTTTAAGCTGTTACAACAGAGCAATTTTTAATACAATTTCCATTTTATCTCATTAATTTTTATGCTAAGGTAACAAATTAATATCTATTTCTCATCCAACAAAATTTATCAAACTGATGCAGCTATGCTGCTCTTCTTGGGATCCAAAATTTTGATCCCAAGAAGAGCCAAGAAGAGCCGCATGGCTGCATCAATTTGATAGTTTCCAAGGACCGTCTAAAGTTTCACTGACCCAAACATTCCTGGGAGCAATTTGTTTCAAACACAAACAGTTTCTCCTTATTAAAAAAAAAACATTTTTATTCAATTTTTGATGAAGCCAGATTAAGTTGCATAATCACGGAGCATTGGGTATAGCAGCCAAAAAATTGCATGAAAAGTCAAAAGAGTTTAGGATAACCAGTAAAATTGCCCACCTAAGGTAAACAGTGCAAGGGCACAGCATCAAAATCACCTCTTTTACTCAATATGGGGGACACATGAAAGCATATGAAATTATGGAATATTAAGGTCAAATTAGAAAAACAAGCTTGCTTAACCGTCAGAAATTTGGAGCTAAAGCCGCCCTAGGACCCCTGGCTCCTACTCCCATGTAGTGCCTGTTGCTGAAAACGAAGAATTGGTTTGAAGAACTCACACGCTATTGTGTTGGTCGTAGCAGATGTTGTCGAAGTTGTACATGTAGCTGTCACACAAGATGTAGCAGATGTTGTCGAAGTTGTACATGTAGCTGTCACACAAGATGAAGACTCCTTCGAGCAGCACATCTCCCCCAACTCCAGATAGGCTTGCTTTAACTTCTGAAGTACTTCGGCATCTATAAATAAAGTAAAAAATGGAAACTTGATCTTAATAGTGCAACTTGCTTCCTTTTTGGAGGCCGCCTGGATTTTTTTATAATTTTTATTTATGAAAAATGCAGTAAAAACACTGAAAAAGTCCACAAATTCATCAGAAAATAAATACTTGCGAAATATGTGAGTCAAAGTTTTCAGTATAGACTCTGTTGGTCACTTTGTACACCACATAATATCGATGTGTGATCGCTACCCCTGCGACAGTGCGAGCATGGCGAGTTCACAACAACTTAGCCACTTGGTTCCCAGACCAAAAGATTCTGACTTTTCCTAATGAATCTACGCGCCCATGGAGTCGAGGCCGAGACATGAGCGTCAGGAATAATTGTCAGGTCTAGGGAACCAGACTACGTACATGTATGTCTATTGATAGTTTTAGACTACAGTCGTTTGAAAATTCAACCGGAATCTGTCTGCCATACTGTATGTGGTAAATGCTGACTTCAAAGCCAGAATGCAACCGGTACTATGAGACTAGCTCACGCTGGAGCATGTGTTTAAAGAATTCGCTCGCGACTTTTGGCGGTTTAAGCAAATGCATCTAAAACTGTTCTTGGTAGACCAATACAACTCTAAGGACACTGTAAATATGTTCAGTTCTCTTGTCCAACTTGTCTTTCATTTTAAAAGTGTCTTTGAACAGTGGAAACACTAACGGTTGCAGGAAATTTTTAAAATGGTGGCCATCTTGAAAAAAATAAAAAATACAAAGCCCCTCTTCCTCCTAGTTTTCAAAAACCCGGACGAGAATCTTTTTTTTTTTTACTCGGCCTAACAAGCCCCCAGATAGCAATTTCATGTCATCGAAGTCAATTTCAGTAGTGAGAAAATACAAGCATTTTCTTAGAAAACACTTAGAATTTTTCAGTCCACTCTCATAGGGTTTGTACACAGGGTGTTGAGTGAACTTCGTATATGGAAATCTTTCCTTAAATTCATCCCTGACCTGTCACGTGCCTGCTACCAGTAAACTGAACCAATTTATGTTTTCCCGTCAAAATATTAAATATAAAGGGTGCTTAGCCATGTCACCCTTTGTTGCGAAGATATTATTGGCAGCTTGTTGTCAACAAAAGGTCGTTAACATTTATATACAATTACACTACAAAAAATTGAAGGCTCTATACTAAGAATAGGCATCGGGTCATGACATAGCCTAGAGTACCTACCTTGCCTTTCAATGGCATTCCAGGTTGGTAAATCCACTGTAAATGTGGCTCTCCCATCACCAAAATCTATGGTCACATCTCTAAAGTATCTGAAAACAAATACACGTACACGTACATATTAAACACTCCCTTTCATGCTCCCCAATGTGCCCCCCCCCTCCCCACCTGAATAACTAAACTCACATGTATGATTAGCCCCATAAATGTGGCCTATTTACTGGACTGCCTCCGTAAACATAGGCCACACATCCACATGTACAAAAATCGTATCAAAATTTCAACAAAAAGTGGGTGAGTATGCTTCTAAAGCAAAAAAATCCTACAAACTAAGCCTAAATGTGAAAATAAAAATTTGGCAAAGTCGACAGGATTTTTGTACATGTGGACGTGTGGCCTATGTTTACGGAGGCAGTCCAGTAAATAGGCCACATTTATGGGGCTAATGTATGATGTGTGGAGCCGCATATAGTGCAGTTTCCATGACAAATTCTAGCCGTTTTGTGACACTCACTCAGCATGCTCAGCAAGGCTTAAGCCATATGCATAACTACAGCTGACAATCAACTCTTTTTTGACTTATGACTTTGGCATTGACCTGTCCAAGTCAATAGTTGAAAAAAAAGAAACGACCGACGACAGCTACAGCAAGCTCCAAACAAATTCACACATGTTGACCGTATTGTTACAAACATGACCATAACATAGCCCCATAAATGTGGCCTATTTACTGGACTGCCTCCGTAAACATAGGCCACACATCCGCATGTACAAAAATCGTGTCGACTTTGCCAAATTTAGATTTTCACATTTAGGCTTAGTTTGTAGGATTTTTTTGCTTTAGAAGATTTACTCATCCTCTTTATACTTAGGCTAATCAGAAAGTGCTGCCTTTTTCAGATGTTTATTTTTCGTGAAATTTCCAGATTCATTTTTACATGTTTGCGTATCAAAATTTCAACATGTAATTTCACAAAAATTAGACATCTGAAAAAGGCAGCACTTTCTGACTAGCCTATAAAGAGGGTGGGTATGCTTCTAAAGCAAAAAAAATCCTACAAACTAAGCCTAAATGTGAAAATCAAAATTTGGCAAAGTTGACACGATTTTTTTACATGTGGATGTGTGGCCTATGTTTACGGAGGCAGTCCAGTAAATAGGCCACATTTATGGGGCTAACCTAGCCCTGGTGGACTCCCTTTCCTCCCTACGTTGAAGACTTCGTCCAACCTGGGCTAGGGGCTAACCATAACATAGCGCAGCCACACAATAATGACAAAAGACCGCGAAAACTCGTACGGTACTGTCGTAGTACCGAGTAGGTATAACAAAAATTGTTGCAAAACCGGACATGCGGGGATGAAATTGCAGACCTGCACTAAAATGGTATTCTTATTCCAATACTGAGTATTAGCAAAAAAAACAACCACAAAACAACTTACGAATCTGCACAGTCCGCCATTTTGTTCAAGCTGCACCTCGCCGAACCCTCCATCGACCGGGGAGTGAAAAAATCGATCCGCGAACGCCCTCTCGGGTCTGTTCGTCACGTTCGAGACCGCTGTTCTCGTGTCGGGTTAACCCGAGTGTTGTCAAGAACAGGGATTCGAAAACGCCCCTAGTGTATGAGAGTCCCAAAACTTAAGGTATCCATATCGTGCAAAACTTTGTGCTGCATGATAAAACCAGTGTCAATCAAATTTGCAAGCTTCTTACTCACTACAGTTTCTTCAATAATCCCTGAAACTTCTGCCTAGCAAAGTTGCTGTTGTGAGCATTGCATCACCAAAAATTCAGCTTTTAATTATAATTTTGCAGAGAGTTATCGAAATCCATACATGAAACATCACGTTGATGTGTACTGCAATGCATTGTGCAAAAAGACTCCTCAGCTATAACATTTTCATCGTGTAGATAAAACAGCGCCCTCTTGTTGATCTGAGTGAATGCAAAATGTTTCATTTTTTAGCAGAGGGCGCTATGTTCATTTGGCCATTGATTAAAAAACAAGTAAGCTGCAAGGCTCTTCCTACACCTACCCAGAATACATTGGGAATCACACACCCATTTCCAGAGCATGGAGATTGACGTGGGTGGTTTTTGAACTGCCAAAACCTTGCCTTAAAATTGGATTTAAGGTCTCAAATTTCGTAGGTGACATGCTTGCAACTATAGCATTTTGATGTATGTGTTGTGTGGGCATTAATTAGCCAAATGGTGAGTAAAAAAACGTCAGTAGTAATTTTGCACGTTTTTATGCACTCACGGTCCCAGTCTGGACACAAACATGACAAACTTTCGGGGGCAATCACATCCCATTCAAACTAGTACATGAAGTAACACTAACAGAGGATGGATTCTATCATTCTTGATCCTGCACAATCGTCCGATACCTCTGGTTTAATTTGGTATGACGTTTTGAGGGGATTTGGGTAAATAAAAAGGAAAATGTAGAGGGGATTCTTCTTCACGTTTAGCCCTTCAAGTTGGAGGGCGCCACCAACTGGATAAGTTTGTCCATTCCTTGGGTACCCGTCTTTTCAGCAGTATGGATTAAATTGTTAGAGACGTCTGGGTAGAGTTCAAAATGACGGCGCCCGTGGACGAGAATTTAGAAGAATCGGTATGAATTTTTACTGATGATTTCCTCATTTCATTGTTCGTCTTTGTAATTTTAAGGCGCAAAGAAATGTGCGCAAATATACATAAAGCTTGCATTGAGGTGTAGAATGAATCAGCATTGCAACTCCTTGGAACTAGCCACTTTTAAACTACCACGACACGTTGCAGTGTCTAGAACATGTAGAATGGGAGGGGCGGGGCTTGATTACTGGAAGGGGGACTCAGAAAGATTTTGGGTCAACTCGTACCCGAGTTAACTCGTACCCGAGTCAACTCGTACTCGAGTCAACTCATACCCGAGTCAACTCGTACCCAAGTTAACTCGTACCCGAGTTAACTCGTACCCAGGTTAACTCGTACCCGAGTCAACTCGTACCCGGGTCAACTCGCACCCAGGTCAACTCGTACTCCCCTCCTTTTTTAGTTTGGAAGTACGGATGGATGGTTAACAAAACTTCCGATTTTACCCTCAAAAACGGCCACTGAGAAATAGTAGTTACGCCGCCAGAAATACAAATAAAGTTCAATGATTAGTTGAAGGCGGTGGTATCAAATGTTGATCACAATCTGGATGAAAAGGGAAAATGTACCGTTCATCGGCAAGGGCTTCATCGCGAACGGACGGGTACCGTGCGGAGAACATTTTCAAAACGGCATCAGTGTGGTACTCGCGAGTCGACGGAGCCCTCGCTGATAAACGGTAAATTTCACTTTTCATCCAGATCATCAGATGTGTTATTTTTAAATTTGTGTAGTATTTTCTCTTAGTAATGATGTTTTTTCTTTCTTTTTTCAGAGACCCTGGATCACTGAGCGAACTGCTACGTCTTTTTTTTGTTCGGTCGAACGAGTTTTAAGGGCATAGTTTTCTTTTTACGAATTTAGTATTTGAGACCTTTTTTTTTTAAAGAAAGCTGCTATTAAAAAATGAATTTTGTAATGTAAAAGTAATATTTTTCAACGTTCACTCACTCCATTTTTGGCATCATTTATTGAATAAAAACTGCACATGGCACAAATCTCTTTGGGAAGATTGGGGGCCCTGAAAGTACAAATCTGAAGAGAAAATATATTACAGGAAACTTAAAAGAGTCACACGGACATCGTTATTTAATTTATAATGATTCTTTAATATGTTGGTCATTTTTTGTACAATTAGTTCGTTAAATGTCGTAAAAAAAATCTTGTGCAGCTTAAATAAAGTTTCTGCGATAAGTTCAACTAGAATATTATTTTGGTAACAGAAATGTAGGATTTAATTATTTGTTTACATTTGAGGCATCAAGGAAGTAAACACGATAAAGGAAAATGGTGGCTCGTTTCATTCAGAGATGCTCTTTCTATAAGTTTTAGGGGACCAATTTGTTAGTTGATACTTGGGTGTGAAAGATTGTTTGACATTAGCAAATTGTAATTCAAGTGCAAGAGAAAGTTTTATTATCTTAATCAAAACTGAGCTAATCGGGTTTCGTCCTCGAATTTGTCGAAACTTGACATCCGATTCGATTCATCATGAACTGTGTGACAGACCATCCGATCGATCGGATTGAGCAGCTGAAATGGTTCATCGGAAAACCACAGGATCATCTGTAAGGCCAAAAAAAATAATAAGTCGGTCTCTGGTCAGCGCGCGCGTCGATTTTAAGCACGCGCGTCGATCTTTTTTTTTTCCAAAATGTTCCGCGGAAGCTCCAACAGCGCCCTCTATTTCCGCACCTCCTCAATTTTTTTTACCAAAGAGCACCAAGGAATGGGAAACTGCACCAAGGCAAATGATCGAAAGCACCAAGGCAAATTATGGAGGCCATCAATGTACATGAGGACACCAAAAAAGCAAAATAGTACCCACCTTGTCTGTACAATCCAAGCTGAAGAAAAAAAAGAAAAAAGCCGCGTGGCCGCGTCAATTCCGGAACTTTGGTCTGACCAGAGACCGAATATTTTTTTTTTTTGGCCTAATATAAAAATAAAATAAATTGATAAAAGCATGCATACGTTGGCCGATGAGTGCGCGCACTAGGCCCGGCAAAAACGATGTCACCGTGCACGGTACGACCACGTTGGCCGATGAGTGCGCGCACAGGCCCGGCAAAAACGATGTCACCGTGCACGGACGACCACGTGGACCGGCGAGTGCGCGCACGGGCCCGGCAAAAACGATGTCACTGTGCTACGACCACGTTGACCAGCGAGTGCGCGCACAGGCTCGGCACAAACGATGTCACCGTGCACGGACAACCGGCCATATCCCTTCGATCTTCCGTTCGTTTCACTGATTTTCTTTTCGAAAATGGGCAACTATTTTGAGCTGCGGGCCGGGTACGAGTTGACTCGGGTACGAGTCAACTCGGGTACGACTTGACTCGGGTACGAGTTGACTGGGGTACGACTTGACTCGGGTACGACCTAACTCGGGTACGACTTGACTTGGGTGTCAATTTTGGGGTACGAGTTGACTCGGGTACGAGTTAACTCGGGTACGAGTTGACCCATTTCCCTCAGAAAACATACAGCATTCGCAATGGTGTTTTAGCAATGCCGTAGCATTATGGCTGCCATTACGATAGCCACTAAGTTTCCATACTACAATGTAATAGCTATCTGCTGAGTTAATGTGTGGAGTTATTTTTTGGGCAGTGTATATTTTGCCGGAGACGGCAAACCTTTAGTAAACGTTAGTTTGCCGGATATGCACTGAACATGCGCAGTTACTGTTTTTTTGTACTTATAACATTTTCCGGTGACAAGTTTTAGTCTGGCTCCATGCCAAAATTATCGTTGTTACCTCGTATTCATAAGATGGGATTCAGACCATTTTATAATTTCGGACTTTATTTCCCTTTTAAAAAAAATCCTCCAGAGCCACAAATCTGAAAAAGAAAACAAAATGTAATACTCTGCAAAAAAATGCTTGAGACATGTTAAAATAATAAAAGAAGAATATTCTTGTTTATTTGGGGATGAGATTTGAGAAAAAAAAAACTTAAAAATGTGGTGCGGTCGGAATCGAACGCGAGTCATCCCGCTTACTAGAGCCTTTGCTTAACCATTACACCAAACGTGCTACACAACTTCTGGCTGGAATTTAATACATCTTATAATTCAGCCCTATTTTAAAGAGTACAGCGCCCTCTGTTGATATGGATTGTCGCCGGCAAACCTTTAGTAATCGTTAGTTTGCCGTCATTACCTCCGGCAAAATATCCACTATCTATTTTTTGCGTTTATATCCTGACTTCTGAGTAACAAACAAAATTGTGTAGTTTTATCTGGTATCAACTATGAACTGATGTTTTCCTTGCAGACCTGAACTTCAAATACATCAGTCCTCGCTCCCCTGCATTACACCCTCCGTTCGGCCCATGAAACTACCTCAACCTGCCCAGCAGCAGCCTCTAGTTGAGGGAGACGATCCCAAACCCCGGCCCTACTGTTGCTGCAGCATGTCCTACACCGCCCCCAAGATCTCCAGCTCCAAGATCGTGGCCCTCTGCTCCATGGCCAATTTCATCAACGCGGCGGACCGCGTCATCATGCCCATCGCCGTGGTGCCCATGACGGACGAGTACCACTGGAACATGGGAGTACAGGGATGGATACTCAGCGCTTTCGCCTATGGCTACATCAGTAGCCAGGTAATGATCTCATTATTCACCTTATTCAAAACGTCGGTGAAGGGCAAAACCTATTTGATTTATATCACCCCGACGCAAAAAAAAAAAAAAAAAAAAAAATTCCATCTTATAATAGTTTATGCGGTACCCGCTGCTATGTACATGTACATCAGATTCGAACCGGCCAACCGATCCCGTTAGCTCGGCGGTCAAGTGGTAAGACATCTGCACTAGAAAGCAGGAGGTCGTGGGTTCGAGTCCCACCTGAGTGATTTTTTCCAACTTTCACTCGGGAGGTAACACACTGAGAATACAGTATTTAAAAAAAACGTTGGTGAAGGGCAAAACCTAATTTGATTTATATCACCCCAATGCAAAAATGTGCCCAAGAGAATCTATGTTAACCCTAACTGCCCTGAATCCTTCAAAATCCTCTTTGCCAAAGTGGAGGAATTTAAAAATTCAAGAAATAATGGTTGAATTTTGCAGGATTGAGGCTATATGCTATTTTTCCATGAGGCCAATTGGAGGATATAGCCTCAATCCTGCAAATTCCTCCATTATTTCTTCCATTATTTATTATATGGTCCTCAATATGTTGAAGTTTGGCCAGTGACATCCTGGAGCAGAGCGGAGGATTTCAAGCATAATCCAGGCCTATAAGACCTTGACAAAGTGCATCCTAAAAAATCTGTAACGCACTTTTGCAATGTAACCTCCATCCTCCAAATTCCTCCACTTTGGCAAAGAGGATTTTGAAGGATTCAGGGCGGTTAGGGTTAATTAGAAGGACAGGCATGGGTACCTGTAGATACTGAGTACAGGCATTTCATTGTTAGTGATGAAAGCTAGTTTGGACAAAAAAAAGTAACACCAGGATATACTGGCTGGCAGTCTCTAGCAGACGTCATGCTGAGCTGATATGTAGGCTCACCCTACGTGAGAGAGTTAACCTTGCACCAGCTTGTCCATCAATTTCCAGGTGATTGGGGGCAAAGCGGCGCTGAGGTTCGGCGGTCGCATGACCCTGGGCATAGCGGTCACCGTCTGGTCGCTAGCCACCTTCATGACGCCGATCCTGTCCCAGACCGTCAATCTCCTCATCATGTCCCGCATCCTGCTGGGCTTCGCCGAGGGCTTCTGCCTCCCAACCATCTTCCACATCTTCGCCCAGCACGTGCCCGTGGAGGAGCGGTCCCGGGCCTTCGGCTACCTGGTGGCGCTGGGGTCTGTCGGACAGACCGTTGCTTCAGTGGTAAATTCTAGTAGTGTTGTTTTTAAAGGTAGTTGACAACATTTGGGAAAAAAGTCCAGAAACAAAATTAATTTGGGGGGAGGGGGTCATTCTGCTCAGAAATTTACAAAAAAATATAATGTTAATCCACACCCCCTAAAAATCTCACCTTAGAGTTGTAAACACAAGCAAATTTGATTCACTTTTAAATATGGAATGCCCTGGGAATCACCACATATAACAAGCACTTCATGGTAGGAATTCAAGCGTTGTCACAATGTTGCGCTCATAAAGTTTTGCTAATAAAAGGGAGGGGAAAGTGGCCAGGAAATGCCTCAGATCGCACTACAGAACATCTAAAATCCAAAATTTCCCGGGATTCTTAAGCAGGCCCCAGACCCCACACCGTAACAGCTTTGCGCTCTGCGCTCGCATATAAAAAGTCCCACTTTGAGATATTAAGAACCCTCCCCCCCCCCCAGTCGCGGATAGGGGAACCGGCCTGAAATTACGATATAGATTTGATACCGGCTTTAAATAATCTAAACCATCTGCCTCTATGTTGTTCCCATCCAGATTTGCCCTCATCTGTCCTGGCCGATGATGTTCTACGTCTTTGGATGTATCGGTCTCCTCTGGGCATTCATATGGGTCTTGCTCTTTAGAGATGAGACTCCTGATATAGACCCACAGCTACTCTACAACCCAACGGTGAGTCAGGCCTTTCCCAATCAAAACGAAAGCAGAACCACAAATCAAATCCGATCCTAGGACCAAGATCACAGCCCTGCTCTTTATAAGCAGAAATTATTGCTGAGCAAAGTTACGCACTAAAAAAATCAGATTGGCGCCAGTCAGAAGAGGTATACGTCATATTACAGCTTGGCTGGTAAACTGCTTCATTTCATTTCCCCTACAGCTGGACACCACCAACAGCGTGCGGTGGACCAGCTACATCTCCCACCGGTCCCTGTGGGCCATCTACGCCGCCCACTTCGCCATGAACTGGTCCAACTACATCGTGCTGTCCTGGCTGCCCACCTACCTACAGAGGCACCTGGGGGCTAACTCTAAGGACATAAGCTTCACCGCGTTGCCCTACATCATGAATTCACTGGTCGGAGTCAGTAAGTTTCAACAAGTCCTCACATGTCCTCACAAGTCCATCACAAGTCCATTACAAGTATTTAAAAAGTCTTCACAAGTCCTCATGAGACCTTACAAGTCCTCATGAGAACTTACAAGTCCTCACAAGTCTCGCCAATCCTTACAGGTTACTCACAAGTCCTCACAAATCCTTACAAGTCAATTACAAGTCCATCACATGTCCCTGAAGTCCTCACATAATCCATCATAAGTCCTAACAAGTCTTCACAAGTCCTTACAAATCCTTACAAGTCAATCACAAGTCCTCATGAGTCCTTACAAGTCCTCATAAGTCCTTACAAGTTCTCACAAGTCTCACATATCCTTACAAGTAAATCACAAGTCCTCACAAACCCTTACAACTCAATTACAAGTCCATCACAAGTCCTCACAAGTTCATCACAATTCCTGACAAGTCCATCACAAGTCCTCACAAATCCTTACAAGTCATGTGGGATTTAAATTACGACCTCCAGGACACCCTAACGTTGCTCTTCTAACCGAGCTACCGAGCACACGATTTTCTCTTACAGAGCCTATGTCTGTTTCATGTAGACCAAAAGTAGAGTGCACAACAAAAGAGACGCTATCATACCTAAGAGGACAAAAAAGCAATAAAGAACTCCATGTGCTCACAACCCTTGGCACATCCAAGCTGATTAATAGTGCTTTGAGGTTAGCACAACTCTTTTGCTATAGACAAAGCAGGCGGCAGCCATTTTCTGTGGTGGAACCGTGGAATCCGGCGACCAGAATTAGAAGCTATTCTTGCGTTGGTGTCACGCTCACGCGCATGCTGCACTCATTCTTAAAGACGAGGCGCACGCTCATTTTGGTATTCCTATTGGTCGAAGGAGCCCGGAGTACATTATGTTCTACCTGAGCGCGACGAGCGCGAGCCACTATAGTTAACACAACTTTACTGCTTACCTTTAAGCAGCGCCATTAAATTGGCCCTGGTCATATCACATGTTCCTCTTCAACGTGAAATGGTTTTTCTGTCGTCCCTTTGTCAACAGTTGCGGGTCACCTCGCAGATTCACTGATCTCCAAGAAGCATTGGACAGTTCTGTCAGTCCGCAGGTTAATGACCAGCATCGGTCTGATTGGTCCGTCTCTGTTCCTGCTGTGCTTCAGCTACGTTGACAGTCTGGCACTGGCAGTATGGTATGTGTGGAAAAACAACTCTTTAACCATTGTGTTACTGTGCATTATCCCTACCCCCAACATGTTTTCTCTGGGCACCCTGCCAAATGCAACAAAATGCAATGTTGATGAAATAAAAACCATGCTAAATGCAGCAAATTGCAACAGTGGATTCTGTTGCATTGTGCAGTGAACCCAGTGCATACCAGCCTTGGCACCAAGCAGTTACCCTGCTAAATGCAACCAAATGCAACAGTGGATTCTGTGGTATTGCCTTGGCACTATTAGCATCAATTTTCATGCAATGAATTTTTCTTTGGGAACATATTTTGTGCATTTTTTTACTCTTAAATTTATGAAAATTATTTGAAATCCCGTTTTGGTTAATTTTATTGAAAAGTGCACTTCTGTAGACATTTAAAAATTGTCCATGCTTTTCCGGACAACTGAGGGTGCTGTTGCTGTGATGTCATTTCAGGAAGACACTCTTCAATTTATGGGTTTTCTGTTAAATTTTGTTAGGATTTCATAGGAGTCCATTTTTCATGTGACACTGGAAAAGTGTTTAAGACCAGCCAGCCATGTCTTTATCAACTATTTAAAACCGGCCATGTGACAGGCTCTCTACCAATAGGAGTGGGTAAACGGTCTTAGGTATTGTATAAATACAATGTAATACAATGAAGTCCAGGTGTTAACGGGTTATCAATAATAAAGAAATGCCCTTGACACAGTTCATGTGAATAGGATATATTTAGAGACTGAAAACCAAATCCTAACACTCAAACGGTAACACTTTCCTCTTGTCCAGTTTTGTGTCGATATCGTTGGGACTCTGTGGCTGTAACTCATCAGGCCACATGAGTAACCATCCAGACGTAGCCCCCAACCACGCAGGCATCACGTTTGCTGTCTCCAACACACTGGTGAGTACAAGTTGTCTTCTCTTTATTCCTTCAAAGGGTAAGTTAAAGGTAGGGTAGATTATTTGTGATTTTTTTCGTTTGAAGCAACAAAAGTGCTCAATATCTATAGACGGGGGCTTAACACCTAACCTGATGAAGTTTTAGCTCAGTGAATGCTGTATACTCCGAGAAAAACCATATTCTAGGATCTTGTTTTCAATTCAAAATTTGCGAAGTTGTTTTGAATTTTGAAATTGCGCCCGAAATCGGCGTCCGGGACACGTTCTCATTCAGCCGATTGCAGCTATGAGATTTCATGTGCTGAACCGACAAATAATAGTAACCGCAAGTACGTGTATGTCGGGTGCCCATTATTGAATTTTGAAATGCACACAAACAATATATACGTTGCCCTCAGTGCCCCCCCCCCCCTCTTGAAAAATTGGTGCACCCTCAGGTGCCCCCTAGCAGCTTAACCCTAACTCCCCAGCCTAATTTACTAGGAACCTTACCCATCCTGGCAAATTCCAACACCCACATGGGAAATTGTACACACACACTGTTCGACTTAGTTTCTGGAGGTATGCCAGACCCAATGTAAAAGACCATCAGTTTAGGGGTAATGTACCTATCCCAACAGATTTAAACAAAACCTGGTGTTGGGCTTTGATGGGTTGAGTTCGGTTAGGGTTAACCCTAGTTATAGCACTGATGTGATCTCATGCCAACAACGGGCAACACAGTGCATACTTCATATCTTGACAAGCCTGCCATGCAGTTGTCTATAGCACTATGCTGTCATCATGACCTTGTCCATTTTCAATATGGAACTTGCTGACACAAGAGGGCGCTCTCTTTACATGTCCAAATTGGAACTCACCACCCAGTAGCACATGAAAAAGGCAACACTCCAATGTATTACACTTTGGCTTCCAGTTTATCTGAGTTTCGTTTAAGCTGAAACTACTCTTTCATTCATGGGGTCTGGACGCTGATAATGGCTCGGGCCGAAGGCAAGCGTCATTATCCACGGCCAGGCCCCTGGTTGGTTTAAAATGTACTTGTTTAAAATGGCTAAGCACATGTTTATTTCCATTCATAAATACCTTTCAGTCAAAAAAATCAAAACAAGTCAAAAATTATAAATTTCCAAGCGATTTAGTTCAACAAGTTTACTTCATGTTTTGTGAAACACCCCTCTAGCTATGTTTATGGTATGTACTAAAAATCTGCTTATATGGAGATTGGCGCAGAACGCAGCGGTGCCGGTGTGGTGTTAATTTAGGACTATGAAATACGGATTCATTGGTAGTATTGCGCATGCCTAAGCGCATGCCACTCACGTGATGGGATCTCGACTATTAGGAATGGGTAAACTGTCTTAGGTATTAATGAATGATTTTTAAACACCAATGAGTCACCTTGCACCTTTTAAATTTAGTTTATCATGGATTGTGTCGTAATTCTCTCTAGCTGGGATGTTTTGCGATATAAAGTTTCAAATATGACACTAAAGTATTCATACGGTTATGGAGTACCGAAGTGTGACGTCATTTAGAACCAGAAAATGTAGTGCAAACGAATGGAGTATGCGTGCGTGTTGGCTCACGGGCTGAATCACGCGCTTAATGTCTTTTACACACATTTTGTGCGCGTGACGTATTTACTTCGGTACTCCATTGTTAAGTTTTGAATTCTTTCTCCTTTGAATACCAGGCCACACTACCTGGCCTGGCCTGCGGACCAGTCACGGCGCTGGTTGTCGGCTCCACCGGTTACTGGTACCCGGTCTTCGTCATGGCGTCGGCCGTCAACATAGGGGGCGCCCTCATCTACGTCAGCCAGAGCTCGGCGAGCCAGATCCTGTAGTCTGTAAGTGCCCTGTTCTTGTCTCGTTTCTTGGGAGCAGTCTTTTAATCACACGGAGCTCCTAATTTCAGCCTGCCACCGTATGTGGATATTAAGTGGATATTTTACAAACCGAGCGGTTTGGAAGACGTAGATGGAGAGAATTTCATCATTATAGATGCTGCATGCTTGCATCTACCTTGGGATGTAATGTGAAACCTGTCTGTACATGGGCGTCGTTAGGGGGCAAGGGGGGGCGCTTGCCCCCCTGGAAAAGCAAAAAAAAAAAAAAAAGGAAGAAAAAAAAAGAGAAAAAAAGAAAAGAAAAAGAGGCGCGAAGTCATAGAGGTGTAAATTTAATGAGTTGGGGGGGGGCAAAATGTCCCTGCCCCCCTCTAAAAAGTGATAAATCAAGAATATGTTGAGAAATACAGGAATTTTGAATATGTTTTGCCCCCGTAGAAAAAATCCTGGCGACGCCCATGTGTCTGTATTGTCGTTTGAGATGGAGAATTACAACAACCCATTTTGTCTCAAGTTTGGTCCACGTAACACTGGTGTATGTAACACTTTGGGACTTTCCATACACAGTGACAAGTGTCTCTAATTATGTGTCGCTGTCGCTGCGGTTAGAATAACGCTAGAATCTCAAGACAGATTTTTTTTTTCAGTCTCTTACCAAAAAATAGTGTACTAAACCAGTACTCCTCATGAAAGGTCAATGTCTGTATGACTATTTTTTTCGTATCCATCACCGATTATTGCTTTCTTGACGCAAGGACTCCAGAGCTGGCTAGGCTAATTTGGAACGCTGTGGTCCGATGGTTTGTTGTTTGACTCATGTGCCGTGGAACGTGGGTTCGAACCCTGACGGGGGAACAGGGTGCTAGTGTTCTCTGGCAAGGTACTTTACTACAATTGCCTCTCTTCACCCATAAGTATAAATGGGTGCCTGTGAAGGTAGAGACCAGAATGCGCTGATCTCGAGCTGCTGCAGAAAACTGGTCTCATGGCCTGGTGAACAGGGGTAATAATTGCGAAGCGCTTTGAGACCTTTGGTATAAAGTGCCACGTTATTATTATTATTATTATTATCAAACCAGCCAGACAACTTACAATTTATTGCTCACTGCTAAGGGAATTCCAATGAGTCCTAACAAGTTACTCTTCAAAGTTCCAAAGCATCTTGGATCAATTCCAAACATCTGTGGTTGCCAAGAAACAGCCCGGCAACAATGTGTGGTGCCAAAGATGACATCTTTTTCCTAGTTGTCAAGCAACAAGGAAATTAGTTGCTTAGAAACTCGGATTAGCATTACCAAGTCGGCCCCCCAAAAAAGTATGTAAAATGTGTATTAGGCTGAATTTTGAAAGAGCAAATTTAATTTAAGAAGCTGTCCCTTTGGTACTAATTCATCTTATTAGGACCATGGGTAAATGGATAATATCTGAAAAATGTATCTTGTTTTAATTATTTGGTAAATATTATATAAGTGTATCTATAATGGAGAGTGTATCAATTCACCATTTTATTTCTCAGATTGTACATTTACCGGTAGTTTGATACATGTACTTCATTCGATACTATCCACTTTTTTTGGACTGAGTCTTCAAACATTTGTGGAATACATTTATAGTGTAGTTACTAGAGGTATCTACACGACAGGTTTTATACTCGACATGTTTTTGTAGAATTTGCGTTAAGTAATTTTCTTTGAAGAAAATTATGAATCTAAGGCCCCCCCAAAAAAATACTCGGTCTCTGGTCAGGCCAAAGTTCCGGAATTGATGCGGCGACGCGGCTTTTTTTTTTTTTTTTTGCTTTTTTTTTTTCAAGCTTGGATTGTACAGACAAGGTGGGGTACTATTTTGCTTTTTTTGTGTCCTCATGTACATTGGTGTCCTCCATAGTTTGCCTTGGTGCCCTCGATCATTTGCCTTGGTGCAATTTCCCATTCCTTGGTGCTCTTTGGTAAAAACAATTGAGGAGGTGCAGCAATAGAGGGCGCTGTTGGAGCTACCGTGGATCATTTTGGAAAAAAAAAAGGTTGACACGCATGATTAAAATCGACGCGCGCGCTGACCAGAGACCGACTTATTTTTTTTGGGGGCCTAAAACAAGTGTTTTTTTGCAATGTATGGGATACAGTCTTGCCAATGCATTGAAACGTGGCCCTTCTGCTTTGAATGGAGCACCACTCTTCGGAAATTTTTATAATAAATGGTTACAAATTGCCTCAACAAAGTGACTAAAATAGATACAGGAAAGATTTTCTTTAAGCTAAAGATTTAATTAGTTGCGATTCGTTTATAAAACGGTGCATAGCAATATAAAGGGCTAATATGTATATTTACAAAGAAACATAAAGATAAATTGTGACCCAACTCAACAAAATGAGTTTTGAGAAATGAGAAAAGCTAATAGTGAAAAATGTCCTTAAGACTCATTTTGTTGGATCCGATCACAAATGCTTGCGTAATATCCACAAATGTGCCGTGAACAAAGTTAAAAAAATATGTTTTTGTTGTTGATATTTTTTTATGGTTGAGGGTCAATTGGTCTGTAGAGGGGGCAGTACCCGATTTTACGAAGCGCTGCGACGCGTCGCAACCCGATTTACGACGTGTAACATGTCACAACTCGCGATGCGTCATATGATCCATTTCACGAAACTTGCAATGTGTTGAACGTGTCGTTAAAGTTCCTTGACAACGGCTTAAAACACATCGCTAGTTACAACGTGTCTAGTGGTCATCGCAAAATAAGAAGCATTCTTTTCTTAGCCTTTTTTATGCCATAAAAAAAATACATAAACAAGACTATAATACCGAGACAATGTGTGTAAAGTTGTAAATAGAAAATGCATTGAATAATTATAAATTAGCGTGGAATATTGCAGTTGAAATTTCAAAGTAGCTATACAGTCCACTGAGAGCTTGTTTTCCTTTTTTTGCATCACACGTCCACCATTTTGTTTTACGTTTTAAAACTTTTTGAGAGGAGATCTGACGACTCTTCGTTGAAAATCAGACGATTATTTACTGTACGCTGAATAAATACATAAAACAGTCACCGAGTTGTGCCAAAAATACACCTACGACGCGTCACACTTACGACGTGATTTGTATAATGGATCGCAGGACGCGTCGCAGTTGCGACGCGTCGTAGGGATACGACGTGTCGCAGCGCTGCGATGCATCGTAAGTTACGATGAGTTTTACGAAATCGGGTGCAGGACTATGTTAATTGCTCCTCATTTAAAAAGAAGCTTGTAAAATGTGCATTGAAGGATTTAAGATTAAAATGGGGACTACCCTGTGAAGCATTATCTGAACAATAGCTATCACAATGCTTTCGCCATTGAAGGGGGCCTTCGTGATAGAATTGGCAGCGTGCCTGGATTGATCCACTGTCTCATTTGCTAGGCAAGCACTTACACACGCTGCACACTCATCAATATTTGCACTTCAGAATTAAGCGCTGATTGCAATTTGGGTGAATTTATTTACAACCGACCTTAAGCCAAAAAAAAATAATAGTTCTGCTTCCGGTTTCCCTACCTACCCTATTCTGACAGCCCCTACCTTATTTTTTTATGGGCAAAATGAGAAAAAACACCCAAAACCATCAATTTCTAAGGTTTACCCTTGACTTCACGCAGACACCTCCATATATGATTGTACACAAAAAATTGGCATAAAAAAAAAAAAATCCCTACCTACCTACCCTATTTTAGAATGCCATGTAATCGGAAGCAGAACTATTATTTTTTTTGGCCTTACAACTAAATTGACAGTACTTAAGTCATGATTTTGGCTGATGGCAGCCTGCAGAACGTGTACAGAGTTTGTATTCAGAAAACCTGTGTAAAGAACTTGTTATTAATTGGCAGGCTGTGAAAGTATACATGTTTGTGAGGCATTCGGGCACAAGTAGACTGAACTAGGCACCGGTCGAAATAAGGGTTTGCGGTTATTAGGCCCCCCCCAAAAAATACTCGGTCTCTGGTCAACGCGCGCGTCGATTTAAATCATGCGCGTCAACCTTTTTTTTTTCTTCAAATTAACACGGAAGCTACAACAGCGCCCTCTATTGCCGCGCCTCCTCAAATTTTTGTACCAAGGAGCACCAAGGAATGGGGAAATTGCACCAAGGCAAATGATAAAGGGCACCAAGGCAAATTATGGAGGACACCAATGTATAATGAGGACACAAAAAAGCAAAATAGTACCCGCCTTGTCTGTACAATACAAGCTTGAAAAAAAAAAAGCCACCAAAAAAAAAACACCAGAGACCAACTATTTTTTTTTTTGGCCTTAGGAAAGAACATGAAATTATCCTGTCAATACTCTTTGTTGCACTTCAAGTTATTGCTATTAAAATTTCACAATTGTTCGACATGTCAAAAAAGTAAAATACTGAGAAAAAGGCCTTTAGAGTATCGAGTTAAGTATTCGTGAAAATGAAAGATTCCTATTTTTTATTCCACTATGTTTGTACTGTTTCCTTAAAGTGTAGAAGATATATATTCAAGATTACAAACATCAATAAATCTGAAAATCAAAAAGCGTCACGTCCATTTGGTTGTGCATATTTTCCCACTATGGCCTGTGCCCATTTCCGTCTCATTTTGCAAGAACGCTTCACATATTTGGTCATATTCATTCAATATCCCAGGAAAGTTATTAAAAAAAAGGTGTTCAGTTGGGATGGGTTGGAGAAGAGGGGGGCGTGAGGGGGGATTGGAGGGGCGTGAGGGGGGATTGGAGGGGGCGTGAGGGGGAGGGGAAGGGGTGGGGGCATTGTGCCAATCATTCAAGCTGCATGCACGGTGTGCAAATTTGATGGCTTTATACAAAGTTTTGTTTCATTCCGATGTTTTTGTAACCCTAAAATCTGCATGAAGATTGAAGAACAAATTAAGAAGTCTGTGGTACAAAATTGTGCATTTAAGCCTGAGTTTGTAAGCATTTGCCTGGAACCTCCCTACAGCCTCCAAGATCTTCAAATATTGCCACAGCCCAATCACATTTTCTTTGTACTGAAAAGTATCAAGAGGCTCCATGTACAGTTAATATTAATTGGGCTCAACTTGATCAGTCCTGGAAGAATTGTGGCAAAACTTCTTGGCAAATTTTTGCTGGATTTGGGAGGAAAGGGGGCTAAATTTGGCATAGTCATCAATTTTTGTTTTTACTGCGGTTGCATTATTTATGCTGTATATTGTAAGTATTTAATTTCAACATTTTTAATTCGTGTGGCCGAAATTAACACAGCGAAAGAAACTCAAACGCTTTAGTGGCG